AATAATCTTTTTAATTGTCAAATTGTGCAAAAAATGATTCAATAAAATTCTGTGCAAAAAATCAATGTTTTTATTTCTGGCAATTAAACATTTTCTCAATCATGTCCCTCTAAACCATATTATGCTTAAGAAGATAAAGGCAGAATATTTCTCATGTTGACCTTTGACATGAGAAAGTTTTTTACTTAATTGTTATAAAAGATCTTTATGTTTGCTTTTTTTCAATGTTGAAAAAAGTTGAAATAAATTTATGGAGAAAAAAGTCTGAGAATTGGACTGCATTGAAAATCTGCAGATTAAGTTAACAGCATTGGTACCTAGGTGTCTAAATATTATACAAAGGTTTCGTAAGCAGTTTATTTTTTCAGCAGTTATCCGTTTTATATTACCAGATGTTGTATGTAATCTAAACATCATAATTCCCCTGGAACCAGAATTTCAATTTGCATTGGCCACTTAGAACATTAACCTTTATTTGCCCTCCAACAAGTTGCTTGGGAACTTTAAAAATCATATTTCAATTAAATATGTTTGATAAATATGAAGGATGAACTTTTTGGTACATTTTGTGGATAAAAGTCAGATTTTTTTGTGAAGTCAGATTTGTTAGCAGATCAGCAGCTGTTGATGTTTTATAAAAAAAACTTCAATCTGGAAAATGGCTTTGATTTTTTCAAGCAAAGAAAAATTTAAAGAGATGTTATAACTTTTGTCCAGTGTCTAAAAAGTTAATTGAATGTTTTCATCTTTTATCTGGTGATATATGGTGCTGTATTTACCATAAAATTCATCATCTCTACAAATTTAGACTAGAAAATGAAAAAAGATAATTTTCAAAAACCAGTAGCTTGAAAACCAAAATTTCCTTACTTTTCAAAATGATTTTATACTTTTACCAATTTTAGTATAGGAGAAATGGTAATGAAAACGTTAGGTTTTAATTTGTTTTGAATTATTAATTGTTTTTTTTTTTTCTTCAAAATCATAAAAAGAGGATGGGTATGGGAATGAAAAACAAGCAATAAAAACCTGTTTGGACAGTTTGTACTCACAGTACTGTCAAGGTTGCATTTAGTGTACTAAATAATGGACAGAAGAGGGTTTCATCTGTAGATCAATAGGGTTAAGTTTATTTACTTGATAATGAAAATCATGATTTTTTTATTTAAAAATAGAATCAGTTCCAAGAACTATATGAAAAGTTAACAGCTTCTTTATTTATTTTATTGAGTGTATAAACAAGCTCATTAATTTGAAATTTGATTTAAATTTGAAAACATGATGAAAGCTATAAATAATTGTTTATTCCCGGAATGAAAATTTATATTGTATTTTAAGCCCATTTAAATCTGTAAAGCAACAACTTCAATGGCTTTCACCAATCAAACACTTTATTATAATAAGCTACTTTATAAATAGCAGCTCAAAAGTAAGAGCACTTAATAAATAGATTTATCTAAGATTTTGGTGACAATATTACACAATAGGTGCCCTTGATTTCATTTGTTAGGTAAATCTGCGGTCACGCTTATATTCATATTCAGATCAAAAACACTTGATTTGTGTACATTTCATGTTTAGAAATAGATACAGTTATACCCGGGATATCCGCATTATATTATCTCGGCTGCGTCACGATTAAATTTAAATAAGTAATCCTCATAGCATAAGTGTGTAGTAAGTGGCCTTCTCTTGATTTTGTCAACAATATTTTTGAAAAACAAAAATCAAAGGTCTTCTGGGAAGGGATAACAAAATGGGGTGTCAACAACTCTGCATAAAACTCTTTATCCTCCAAAAATAACAGTTAATTTCAAAATGTTTCTGCAAGAGTTTGGTTCGGATATTGTCAGTTGGCCATTCATGACTTTACTTAACTTTGATGAAGATATTTGCAATTTACAGAAGTTTCTTGAATTGGAGAGGAAAAGAGGTTGGTGTTTGTGATATTAATTATAATAAAATAAAAATTCAGATTTGAAATAAGCGCATTGGACTGTTTGCAAATGTTATAATGATTGCAAATAGATTTTAAGACAGAATTAGATACTACTTGAAGGGTTTATTTTTAAGTAAGAATTAGATTTACAAAAAAATGTTTTTTTTTATTTTATTAACAAAAATTATTTCATTGTGCTTGAAGTCGTGCATATTTTTTTCAGCCTTTTTTGTAACAGTTTATAAGTTCTATGCAGGCTTATTGATAAATATGTTTGGATTTAATGTTAAGAATGATCATAATTGTTACCATTATGCAGATATGATTTCTTTTGGGGATTATTTTGATGGAGAAATTTTAAAAATAATTTATCTAATATTACAAAAATATAAAATTTATGCCTAAACATCTGGTAGATGCCATCACACTATTTAAATTTTAATATTATGTAGAGGTATTAGACTTTGGGTCTTCATAGATCAATTGTTTATGCTTGACATTTTTTTCTTAAAAGAAAATTGACACTAATTGTATAAGAAATTAAACAAATTGAAAAGATGTTGCGGCATAAGTCGGGATCAGGTGACTCCTCTGATTTCCAATGCAGAAAGTTTCCATCAAAGAAACACCTTTCCAACCCAGTGGCTTTATAGTTACAATTTCCGTTAGAATTAAAAATAAATAATTATTTCTATTATGCCTCCAAAAAAGTAAATTATTATGTTTCGCACTTGTTGTTAAAGTTAGCTGAAGGGGTATCAACGTTTTTGTCAGTGTGTTATATATTTGACAATGATGGAAGCTTTTCACCATGTTACAAGTGTCAAGTAGTATGACATTTCAAAAAAAAGTAACAGTGTCAAGTTCCACATTTATATTGCATTTTGAATTAGAATAAATTTACAAATCATTGAACTATTAGCCAAAATTCAATGCATTGGTTTATCGTGGTTGAATAAGTTTGATAAAGATAAACATTTAAAAAGAGGAAAAGATGCAAGGTGGTAAAAAAATCATTTTATATGCAAACAAGACTTATGAAAAGTATTTAAATTCAGAGGTTGAAAGGTTTTGAATCAAACTAAAATTAATAAGTTTCTTTTCCTCCCTTGAAATTCTGTCACTTAACATAAATTCAATGCTGAAAGGTAGATTTTGTTTAAAATAGAAAAAAAATATTAAATTGCCCCATTGTTTTAAATAAATGATATATACATCTATATAAATATATACACATTAAGGAAGAAGCTGTCTTTTTATTGATGTACAACCCTATGGCTATGAAAGATTGCATAATAAAATTCAGTGATAAGTAGTCTTAGAAATTCTGTTTGACGTAATGTTTCCTTCAATGTTAAGGCAATGCAAGCTTATACCATGAATAAGACACAGAATTGCATCAAAAACATTAGCTAAGAAAAAAGCAAAAAAAAAAAAAAGACGAAAATTTACCTTTCACATATATAAACTAAAGTAATGTATAGAAAATAAAGTTATACTTTTCTGAAAAAACAATTTTTCTGCACCTAAAACTACTAAACAGGCCAAATCAGAGAACATTTTCTGTTTGTATTATTAAAGATCTTCACATAAAACGCTAAATGCAGGGGATTGATTGCCTTGAGTTTTCTTACTAATTCTCGCCAAAGGGATCTTACTTCATACAAACGTCTAAACATCATCTTGCGGTATGGATTTGATGTAAAGATCAAATATTAAACAAGTTGAAATAGTTCAAGATATTGTTATTTGTAAATTTAAAAAAGTCATTGCATAAAATGAGGTGAAGGGACGGTACATGTTGGATTTTTTTTAGCCAATATGGCCTCCCATAACCATTTTATTGAAAATTTATTATGAAATTTTTTGAATTACATATTTAGAGAGGAGACGTGAAGATTAACAGCCACCCTGTTCATTTCCAAAAAAGGTGCACTGGTTTCATTTGAATATGCAGCCATATGGCTGAGAGAGAAAAAAAATTAGCTTGAAATAACTGAAACAGCTGGTCAAAATAATGGTGATTTTAAACTTTTGTGGTCATACCTTGACACACTGCCAGAATGGCCAATGAAGGAAAGTGTATGTTGACCACATTTATCCTATTTTCTGTATAATTTATCTGTATATTGGTAATTTTCTATACAAATTGCTATAAATTTAAACAAATTTGACCACAGTGTAAACATAGTTTAAACTTCTTTGAAGGTTTGATAACTTACAGAGCTATCAGATCCCCAGGGCATTGAATTTATCTAGACTAGATTAGATTATCTAATTAGTGGGTACAGTCCTTGATATTGATGGGAGATAGGGGAATTTGTCTCTCTGTGTAGGTGTGGTGGTGTCCAGTTTTAATTAGATTTCTGACTGAACAATAAAATTCTAAGGCAACTATCAATTCTATTTAACTATGTGGTTCAAATTTTATATTTGTGTTTGTGGTATTAAATGTCAAGGACACAGAGAAATTTATCAATGAAAGATGCACAAATTTTAAAATGACAATTTAGAAAGAACGTGTATTAGTCAAATTTTTAATTTGACTTCAAAGTTCTTTTTCTAATTTATATATGTTACATGTATTAAGCATCAAATATATAAAACAGATGTACAATTGCAGAATAGCTTTTGCATGGATGTCTGTTCAAGCTGCAGTTTTTAATTTTGCTTTTAATGTTCTATAGTAGAGGTGTAATGTACATGTGTGTACATAACATTAAAACATTTCATAGATGATTTAATATGCAGTTTGTTCGCAAATTAGCTTTTCAAATATGCATACAGAATATAAATATTTAAATTATTTGTTAAAAACTTATTCTTTGGTCGACCCTTTCATCTTGCATATTTAATTTAAAATCTAGAAACTATAATTCCCCTTGGGTGTACCTCAGTAGGTTTTATTAATGAAATTTGTAAGTAGGTCAGCCACGCTGGTAAATGTAAACTAAAGCAGCAACTCTTTCATTCATAAAAGTTAGAGTAATACAACTAAGGTGGAGCTTAGATATATTATGTAAATTAGTTTGAATTTGATTGGAGCTTACATGATTTAGTGATTTATGGAACCCTGCTGGCTAATCTAGTTTCATTCATAAAGTTTTCTGTTTAGTGTAAAAAATTCCCAGGGGTGAATATATGAATTAAAAAGTGTGTACAAAAATTAATGTAGGCCATAAAAAAGTTTGCATAGAGGATTAGTGAAGACAATGAAATAGTGTGATTTTGGGATAGACAGAAAAGTTCTCTAATGGATGGCAAGGTGTGATCACATTATCTGTTGATACAGGTGGACAGATATACATTATTGTTTGTGTAAATGCTGGTCAAGATTCAAGTGTTTATTTGCTCAAATTTGCGTAACTTAAAGTTGACACAAGAAACTTTAGCCATTGTTTGGAAACTTGCATAACTTTTAAAGAAATTTCTTCAAAACTGACTGGACAATTGGAAACATTTAAAGCAAAGTGACTCTCGACAGCTGCTTAAGAACTTTTTAAAAGGAGAGCAGAGAACTAAACATAACAATTACGACTAATAAATCTTGGATTCAAAACTTTTTACCTTGACTCTTAATACCTTTATGGGAAAAGGTGTAATCTAGGTTGAATATGAATGATTAAATATTACTTTTGGACAAAAGACACATTAATGGATTCTGATTCAAATGTTAAATTTTATAAATGACTCAGAAAGAAAAGAACATGGTAATAGAACGTGGTACAAAGAGTAAGGGAATAGCATCATTATTCCCCTCGTGGCATACTAACGGCAAAGTTTTCACCTCTGGTAAGTACCTTAATTGTGGTCTACAGAGATGTGACTTGTCATGTTCCTTTTTTGCATGTAGATGACCTGTGTAACTTCCGCATTAGGGTCTTAGAGCTTTTGGGTTGTTGCATGATTAATAATATTGTGTTTATATGACAGTTACCAAATTGTAATTGATAATTTAAATGTCTAATATTTAAATGCATTTCCTTAATATGGAAGATATAAATGGCAGAAATGCTGCATGGCTGTCACACGAGTGTCACATGCCCTCTCTTAACATGGCTGGTAAGGATGCTAGAATGAAATTAAGACTGGATATTAGACAAAGTTTTAATTAAGTGACACACATCTTAAATTATACTGAAAATTTGACAAACCATACTGGAAATGATAAGTCAATGTAATGTTCATGTTGTTCATATTGGTTCTGCAAGTCTGGATCAGCAATAAAACATAAATTTCAGAAACAATCAAGATGAAGAACACCAATAAAAGCTTTGTCCCTTTGATATATTGACTATTTCTTAGTATTTCACAGTATTTTTGTATGTTCACATCGTTGATGCATCCATTCTTTTCAACTGTATACTGCATAAGTTGCATACAAATACAGGAAAAGTATTTTTTAACTTTTTTATAACTATGAGAAGATGGAAAATAAATGAGGTTAAGACTTGGTTTAGCCAATTTGTTTACTCAAAGTTACTTTAGCTATATCACACCTTCAATTTGAATCTTCTTCTGGAATTCTGTCTCGGACATTTGAAATATAAAAACTGTTAATATTGCTTGCAGACAAAGGTCAGAAATGATGCTTTTAACTTTTGAGAATATTCTTTATGGAATAGAATTGAAAAGTACTTATGAAGCATTTTTTTCTGACTGATGAAGTCTAATTAAGATACTTTTCAATCAGACAGCTCAGTACAAAAATGTAAATCTTGTGTTTATTTATTTGGATTGGGTCAGAAGTTTATTCCATTGGTATAAAACACCTGTGTTCATCATCTTAATTATCATAACAGTTAGGGCAGGTGATGGTAACCCGATCGTTACACTGCACGCCAAAATCTTCTTCTACATGCTAATCTGACTTCATTAACCAAAGATTTCTATAATCTTTAAAACTCCTACACCTGAAACGTGCAACCCATCAGTCATTGAAGCAAAATTACTGCAACTGGTAAAATCGTGTTTGATAAATTTGAAAAAGGGAATGATCTCGAAGACTTATACATTCTCATAAAAAGATTTAAACACTCTTTTACAGATCAGCAATATTTGCCTCAATCAAGGTTTTGCAAGAAAGTTTTGTACTTTTTGCCCTAATTATCTACAGACACTTGAACGAATGATAATGGTATTTGAAGTTGTTTTGTTTTTCTTCTTTTTGCATGTATATAACAGATGAATACGTTTGATATGAAGGAATCCTCTTTATAAGTTTTGCACTGGTCCTTTATTAATTAAGAACAATTTTCGTGGGTGTAACCTTGCAATACAAATAAAACAGGTATTCCTTATGCCAAGAAAGATAGTTGCATATTTAAGTTTGTAGATAACTTTTGATGTTTAATGAAACAAACATAATGTGCTTTACAATCTGAAATTATACAGAAGTATTGATGACTAAATTGCTATTGGTAAAGATTGAAGAAATTTGTTTTTGAATTCTTATTTTACAAATTATTAACTGCAAGTTTCAAAGATTTCAAGTTAAGAAACAGAGACAAAAATGTTTAATATCAAAGATAAGAAAGTAAAAAAAAAAGTGGCCACCTTCCATTGTATTTCACTCATAGGGTCAGTATTGATAAATTGATGAAACATAGATTAAAATTCTTTATATTAACTGTTTAATTCATTCATAACTTTTAAAACTTGTGGGTAATTTAAGCTTGACTATTGTTGAAATTATATGTTGGCTTCAAAATGATTTTTTTGTTATTTTTGCTGTTGGGTTGCTGTCTCTTGAAATATACCTCATATTGCCTTTCATTCATACGAAATGACTTAGATTGTTTGCAAATTCCTTCAAATCCGAATGGTATTCAGTCTCAAAAGTTACTATTGAAGACAATCTTGAAAAAAAATCACAAATTGTATAAGTTTGTATAAAATTTTGAGTTGAAAAACTTTCAAAACAGGAATGAATTTATTTGTGAGCTTTACTTTTTTTTAAAGGAATGGTTTTCGTTTGGCATATTGGTCCTATTATTTTTTAAATAGATAGTCACAACTTACCAAACTTTATCAAATTTGAAAGTTTTAAGCATCTTTAATCATTAGGTGACTTGATGAAATGTTAAGAAAATATAATATAATTTTGTCTGAACAGCAAAATGCCTACATAAAGATGATACTATGAATTTTTACTCAGCTTCTAGATATTATTTAAATGTCTCTTCTAAATTGACAATAAAATTGTTTTATAAATAACCCAAATTGAATTTGGGGTAGTGAATAGTGACCTAGATAAAGGACAAGTGGACTCTGTCAATAGAGTTGTTCCCCTTTTTAAAACTAATTCTCTTGTTTGAATTATAATATAGGTGGACATCATTTATTTTTTCAAGATGAAAATAAACTGTACTTCTTGTTAAGCAGTGAAGTAAACATTAAAATGATATAAAGATGTCAGATAAGATATATGTAACGAGTTAATTATTAGATTAAATTTGTTTCTACAACACAAAAACAACATTAAAGTTAACAATTTGATGACAAAAGCAGAATATTTAAGACATCTTTTAACTTAAATTTACACATGTTATGTCAGTTAGATAAAACTTAGTAATAAACTACTAATTCATGTTCCTGATAACTAAACATGATAAAAGGAGTCATTCTGTCCATGTAAACAATCTACAAGAAAATCACAGACTTGTTAAACAACATATAATTTGTATAATAAAGTTAAATTGTAGATTGTAGATCAACTAACTATGGTTTATCATAGAAATTACACATGCCTCAGGGAGGAGGGGCACTTCACCGATGAAAAGTTCTAAAAAATGGTGTAAACTTTGATTTAATTTTCCTTTGTTTAAAAGTACATGTATGTTGTAATGAAATATGAAGAAGATACAGAAAATGTATTAATTTACAAGTTATATCCAGAGGGAATTAGAGGATTTCTTTGTTGTAACTATTCACAAGTATATAAGCGGTAAAAGTTTACAATCTAGTTTGTAATTGAGAGTACTGACCTATGACCTTGTGTTATAAATATTTCCTCAAATTATGCAGTTTTATTTCAAAGTTTAAAGATCATTTATTGTTTGACCATATTTAAAAAAAAACAAATAAGGAACTGAGTTATTTTTAGGTCAAATTCAATCAACAAATTTTTGTTTAGTCATAAAAAATATTTCTGATTTTAGCAATCAGTGGTAGTATTTTCAAAATTACCAGAGTACAAAATTTATTCAAATTTTTAGATGAGAAGAAACTCCTTACACTTATGCTTTTAGTAAAGTTTTTAAGTGTGTTTTGAATTAAAATGAATTAATTTAAATTTATATCAGTTTTGTAATCAGAGACGACATAGAGCTGGTTTCCTGCTACTGGCACTTCAGATCAGAGTCAAGGATATAGCCACTTAGTTCCTCCAGTAATTAATTAAAAAATACATGTACTCTTTACACTAGGAATCAGGTGGCACTTTAACATGCAGATGACAGGAGACACTCTGGGGGTTGTAACTGTGTAAAATATCATTTGAGCTCTGTCAGATCTTTGACTACACAGATAGTCGTTTAAAAAAAAAAACTTTTAAATTTTTTTCCTTATGAAAAATCTAAATTGTCAAGTAATCCAAATTCTTACTTAATCATAAATGACAATCATCATACTTAAATCAACTTTGGGTGAGGAAAACAATCAAAAACTTAGAAAATTTATCTGGTCTCATAACCCTATTCTATATTCTTAAGAGTCTTCTTGTTTCTAAAGATTGGAAAAACTGGAAAAAAAACTTATATGAAAGAGGAGTTAAGGATTCCAAGTGCTAAATACCTACTTTATTTCATGTAGTGATTAACAAGTTTACATTGAACATTGATAAATGAGAGCTGTATGAACTTCAGAAAGAGTACAAAGAAGGTTTGGTTGCTATAGTCTTTTACTTTGATAATGGATGGTTTGCTGTATGTTATATTGATATCAAAGCTACAAGTGGTCTGTGGTAAGGACTTTGTGGTATGAGTAAATTGCTTGTCTGCAGTGGGGAGTTTTTCTGTGAATTATAAATGATGAAGAGGCCAGTGAGCATGGTGTGTTATGGTCATTTGATGTATGTTTTAGAAAGAGTTGTCATGGAAACTAAATAGTGTGATGATTTGATATAGATTTATTAAGATTGTGGTTTTTTTTTTAAAAAAAACATTCTTATTAAAGTGTTAAAATGATTTCAATATTGGAGGATTTTTTTCATTCATATTGAATGTTGCAAGATTTTTGGGCAGAATATAAATCAGCCAATAAAAGAAAAAGTTATTGCTTTAAAATGTCTAAAATGAATGGTCACTTTCATCTGAATTTAATGATATTAAACTTCTTTGGTCAGTGCCCTTTGGCCATAGAATATAAATCAGCCAATAAAAGAAAAAGTTATTGCTTTAAAATGTCTAAAATGAATGGTCACTTTCATCTGAATTTAATGATATTAAACTTCTTTGGTCAGTGCCCTTTGGCCCCATATGTTAGAAATTAACCTTAATCAGAGATTTAGATGTAAATTGAAGTTAACTGTATAATTAATCTGTCACATATAACATTTACATTGCCAATAAAAATATCCAACTTCATTAACTTCATTTAAAATGTCATAATAATAAGGGGGAGGTAATTATGGAGTTCATCCCCATTACCCTTAATGATTCAGAATGAAATAATTGTTCCCCTCCCCTGTAGAAATGAGGATCAGTATGAAGTTGTACAATACTGGGAACACAGCTAGGAATGTTGGGTAGGATTTTACTTAAAGGTTAAGTTGGTCAAGATTTTTTTTCCTTACATCTTTCTTGAAATATTTGCCACTGCACATATTAAAAATCAATCAATCAATCATTCAAGTGAAGTTTCTTCTAATGATACTTTAAAAATTGAACAAAGGTAAAGATTCAGATTTTAACACTCTAAAAATCTAATAGCAGCAACTTAATATTTCATCACTAGATGTTGAAAACTTTTAAACTCAGTTATGTATATTTTAGCGATTCCTTCATTTGTTAAAAAGAAATAGTGATTTCACCGATAAAACAACCATTTTTAATATTATTTTTTATATATTGATGAAAGGAGTGTTTACAATCAAGTAATTAGTATAGTGTCACAAGTCAATGAATAGGTTACCACTTGAAAAGAGTGTGTGTGTTTAAATGCCCATCCCCTCCCCCTGTGTCTGACCACAAAAAGTCTGTTACTCTACTTTAATGAAGGTCAACTTGCATAATACAAAAACCACCAGGCTTTCTTTGTTAGAATTAATGATATCTGACAGCTTATGTACACCCACACACTCTTTACATTAGGTCAAGGTCACTTAAAAATAAAAATGATACTTTAAAAATTGAACAAAGCACTTAAACATAGAAGGCACTAATGACATTGCCCACAGAAGTAAAGCAAAATAGGAGTTTTTTTAAAAACATGAATAAATGAATAAATAGAACCATGAATCTATTGATGGAGATAAATTTTTAAAAGCAGTTCTATTTATATGACTCTCAGGAGTTTTGTTGTGTTTACTTATTTATGAAAATTAAACTTGTAATTCTTATTGATGCCTCACAAATGGGTTTCAAGGTTCGTTTCATATTTTGTTTTTGTGTCATGTTTTTGTTATGGATACTGTAAATGTATTAAATATAAGGCCTTTTAAACTTTAGATTTATTACCAGAGTTTTTTTTTACACAAATCATCTAATGACATTTTCCTTCAAGGATCATCTGAAAGATGTTCTGTAATATATTGTAATGGACACTCAGACTTGGTTTTGCTATTTCTTGAAAGTATTTATACCCAAAGGTCTCGTACATCTATGTTCTAACCTGGATTATCCTTATTACACAAGGAAGGTAATATTATTCCATTTCTCTACCCTCTTCTTGTTTTTTCTCCCCTTGGAATATCCTCTCTTACGGCAGCTGTACTCATTTATAGATATGAATAAACTTAGATGTTGGTACACATCAATGTTCCAGCAACCCAACAACACAAAAATACAGTTCAAGGTTACCTTGTCATGTGACTTTGCATACCCTACTGTAAGAGAATTGTTACATTAAAAATAATACATGTACATGTATATGCAGTTATGTTATACGACTTGGCTTGCTCTTTCATTAATATCATTTATCAATTACCATATCACACAAAAAGATTGTACCTAGTCATGTGACCAAGCACCCCACCCTCGTTGAATAAGACTATCCTACCCTCAAGAGCTATCACATATATGTAGGAAGGGTTTAACTTCGTTCATATGACATAGCATCTCATATCCTCACAGGTGATGGCATGAGGAAAAGAGTGTCTTATCATGTGACCTGTAGCATCCCATTCCCAGTCTGGCTTGTCCTGACACAGGAGGAGCTGTTCCGGGGAATCAGGAAGATAGTTCCTAATCATGTGACCTATTGTACCCCATTCCCAGTCTGGCTTGTGACAGGAGGAAGCAGTTCTGTGGAATCAGGAAGTACATTTACATCAATGAGTTTCATATTCCATGTTTTATACCCATGAAATGATAATTCAAGTTGGCATAAAGCCTGTGACAGTTTTAATGGTTTGCAGATTTAACAAAAAATAAAGATTCAAAAGATAAGATATAGTAGATAGATATACCATGTGTGTGTGTGTGTGACTGATGCACATTTTGAGCTTTCCCCCCATGGCAGCTGTTTCATTCATAAAGAAGTCATGTGGTCCAGGGTTATTAACATAAGATTTATGAATGTACCTAATAAGATACTGTGAGAAAGAGGGTCAAAGGCTAGAAATCTAGGACAGTTTTTAAATTTAAAGTATGAGTCAGTGTTTGTGGTTTATTTGTGTACCTGTTATAATTATGGTTACATAAAACCTTAAATTTAAACGGAGTTCAAGTGAACAATCATAAATATGGTGTCAGTTGCCATGTCAATAATTGGCTTCAAATCTGCAATGTTACATAAAATTAAATTATTCTTGTTAAATATTTTGAAAAATATCAAAATGCAATAAAAACATCGTTTTTATACCTGCTTGTTCTCACCTTGTGCATATTAAATAAGCATGTACTATAAAGGATTGGTAGGATTATAGGGATTAAAGGTCAGAAAGCTCTCAAAAAAGGTCAAACAGTCAATGATTCATTTAAAAAAGTGTATTTTAAAGAGTAAACCAAACAAAAAGAAATGAAAGATGTTTAATTTGCTTTTCAGTAATCTGCCTAATTTGCATTATTCATAGAAAAATATAGTTTTGTAGACGGCTGTTAGTATACCATCACCTGTGTGCTTATAGGTGAATCATTTACATGGCAGCAAAGAAAGATAACTCTCCCAATAGTTAAAGAGAATCTTTACTTGACATAGACATTGCACAATGCATTAGAATTATAGCATACCCAAGTGGTTATCAGAATATCCATGTAGTCTTTAATAAAATAATTAAAAGTACACATAATGTATCATGAAATTGATGTTCATTCAGAAACAAGACATGTGAAAGTAATTTTAAAGGTATTTGTAGGTATCAAACTTAAAAAAAAAATATGTGTTATCAAAATTTATTCATGAGTCTTTCTTTAAATCTTTGCAGATATACCTGTAACTACCCAGGTTCTACCTTTGACACCAGGAACTTCTCAGAAGATGTCACAGGCTCTCCTTGATAGTTTCAAAAGCTTTGAAAAAGTACAATACGACATCCCTAAAGGTACATTTGCATTCAGAAATATCAACAAAAAGTCCAATTTTTATGTATGAATAGTATATTTTTCAAAATGGAGGATAGCTGGCTTCTTTTTAAGTCAATTGGCCTCTTATTATTAACAAATTTGGGTCTAATAAAAAACAAAACAAAAAAGACATGCAAATAAAACCTCTAAAAAAGCACTTGAGAAATTTGATTGGCCACTCCATGTTTTTATAAAGCAAGTCTAGCCCTTAATAAAGTAGCATTTTCCATTGATCAAATGAGACAAATTTAAGTTGAAACAATTATGTTGATTACTGTAATTTTCTATTCCATGTGATGCTCTTATTACAGAGTAATTTTTCATTCAGAGTTTGACCCCAAAATCATCATTTGTAGTTCTCAAATTAGGATAAGTATATTGTTTTCTGCATTTTTTGTATTACGTAAAATACTTTTTACAGAAATAAATGAACAAAATTGCTTAAAATTTTATTTAAAGTAAATTTGATTTTTATTTTAAAAAAACATTTTCAAATTTGTTTTCATTTTTAAGCGCCCACTCCCATGTCGAAATTCAAGTAGGCTTAAGTACTTAGAAAAAAGAAAAATGATATTTTTCATATAAAAATTATGCAACTCGATACAGCAAAAAAATGATCAATGAGAGGCAGTTAAATAGTATGACTATTAAATGATGATGAATCTATGATCTAAGTGTCCCTTGTGAGAATAGTATGACATGTGATCCAATCTGTTCCAACGTCCACGGAGACAATACTGGAGACAATACCGATGTTCATATTTTAATTATAATACCTGTGTTTCATAAGCTGGTCATTATTTTACCTGCCACCTGATTATCAAGGTGTTCGTATTTACTAATTAAACACATGTTTAAACGACCATTTTAATTACTTAACAGGGTTGTGATGTGCACTTGAGATGGTATTCATGTTGCGATCTGCAATCAGTAAATTGTCGTATTAATTTGGCTTCTCCTAGATATGATTTAAACAAATTACAAAGGTTTAGACTTTTTGAGTTAACTATATTAAAACATAATGGTAATGTTTGATTATAATTGTTTCAATCTTTAAAGGTTAATGTTTGCGCCATCATTGTATCTGCATTTTAGCTTGTTTTAGTTTTGTGAAGTATCTGAACTGTAAGTTATACTTTTGTATTGACAGACCCAGCACTGTGGACCGAGTCACACATTACTAAGTGGTTACAGTGGGCAATTCAGGAGTTCCATTTGGAGAATATCAATATGAACAATTTTAGGATGAACGGACAAACTCTCGTCAAAATGGCAAAAGAGGATTTCCTTCAGTTGGCTCCCCCATTTATGGGAGATATTTTATGGGAACATCTGGACTGCTTGCAGAAAGGTACATATAATACATAACAGTTAACACTACATTTTTTTTTTATTTAGTTGAAAGTTTGTTCAGGAAGTTTCTAGAAATTTAAAAGTCCATAATGGTTTGACATTTGTCATAAAGAGTTTTTTGAAGCTGAAAGTTTTTGTTATAGAAGGTTGTTAATTTACTATTGTCATTTACTTGTAAATAAAAAAATGAATTCATATTTAAAATAATATTTGTCTTGGTCCTGCCTATATCAAGAGGATTGGCATCAAAATTACCACATTAGAAAAAAGTGTTCTGGTATTGTTTTTGTTTTCATAGAGGAAAGCAATCTTTTTTCCCTTCCCCTTAAATGTTGTTTTTATGAACCTTTTATTGTCATATTAAGATAAAAGTACTTATCACACAGATGATAGTATTAACAGGAGCAGTATTGTTTTGTTATTATAGCCATTTTATGAAAATTAGATAATTACTAAATTGTTGACTAAATTTGAAAATTGGATTATATGATAAAATTTGATATGATAATTCTTCATATGATGCATGTGAAAACAAGCATAGATAAGAATTAAATCCAATTTATTGATCGAGCACTTGAATGTTCCTTCAAAAGTTCAGAAATTAAATGTGTTTTATTTTGTAGAGGCAGCTGAGGAGAGGGCATCATTGAGTAATGTCCCACAGAACTATAGTGAAACAATGTGTGTTCCAGAGTTTGCTGATAGATACTCAATGCTTCAAGGTAATTACAAAAATAACAGGAGAAATGTTATTTTTTTCTTTTTTCTCACTCTTTAGGTGAATCCTGCACACAGTTTATCTCAAGTGTATTTTACTAAATACATATTCAGTACTCTTTTCAAACGGGTCATGAAAAATGGTCTATATAAATTTTGATTATGTCTGACATGAAAGTTTTTTTAGGCGATTAACAGTTTAATAATTTGATACATAACTTTATATAAGCAAAACAAATAATTGGAAGGATCTATCCTGTCAACTGTAAAGAAAAAAATCTTTGCAATTTAAATTCTTAATAGGAAAATTTTAATTTTTAATTTTAAACACTTGATATTGACTTCTAGAACGATACATTTATCTTTGTATAATTGTTTATAAAGTGATAATAAAATAAATAATTTGTTTATTTTTCAGGTTATGTTGATAACAAGTCAACACCGTATGTGGACAATAAATGTAAGTAAATAATCATATCTTATATAGATATGAATCATCTCCATATATATTGTTCAATATAGGGCTTTTCTCAGTTTTCAAATCAAAAAAGTTGAGAGACAAAAGAAGTTGTAGTTGTGATCAAATTTGATGTTATGCTACATGTAGTAAGATTATGGTCAAATCAGAATATAACTGACTTGATAAGGAAAAATGAGATTTCCACAAGCAAAATAATTTTAGTTTGAACATTACATTTCTGCTAATTTCACAAAAAAGGCAAAAAACAAAACACCAGGTTTTCAAGATGAAGCAAATAAAAACTGTTGCACTTATAAAACTTTACCTCAGTTTTTTTTTTCTCTGAGTTATCTCCCTTTAAACTGGTAATAATCAATTACCACCCTAATAGTGTGTTATCACCCTTTAAACAAAATTTATTGTGTTTTAGGTTCATATGGCAGTCAGATCAGTGAGTCTATCAAAGCTTTGAATGAAAGTGAGGCTTATGAAGATACATCTGATTACCAGAGTGTGGAGAGTCTCCATAACAACAGTTACTATGACCACAGTCCTACAGAGTTTTATCCTATGATTCCAGAGCAAAAATATAGACCACCTATTGACAACATGTGTCGAAGTAAGGATAAAAATATTTACAAAATTTAACAATATTGAAAAAGCCTTGAAAAATCTTGTGAAATATACAGTAGCATCTAAATGTTCACTTTCTTCTCCAAAAGACAAGTTTATCAATTTATCTAAGGTCAACAACTTTTATTCATCAATAGAATTGGTTTTATAACAAACGAAAAAGAAATATTTTTGTAACAATATCTTATCTTCTATAAGTATTTCAAACTTTTTGTTAAAAAAAAAATAAATTCGTTCTTAAAGTTGTTTAACAGAAGTAATTGGAAATTTGAATATCTTTATAATGCATGGTGTCTTTCCTTTGTAGACCCATTCATTCCACAAGATCCATACTATGACCAACAACCATATCAGATGGTACCCACTATTAAACAGGAATGTCCATGGTCTCAGCACGACTGTATCCAACAGGAACTGAATGAGAGCTGGTCGAGTCGTAATAGTGGTGGATATCGTAGTATCCAGTCGTCACCAACAGATATGTACACTACAGAGAGTAAACCTATGATACAGGCTGCTGCTCTTGCTGGTTACTCAGGTAAGGGTGCTTTAACCATATGTATAAACACAAACCTTAAAAACCATAAGTATTCATGATGAAAGCAAAAATAAATCATCATCTTTCATCAATGATACTTTTATTTGCCTTATAAATATGAACGAAATTGTAAAGAATCAATTTGATTTTCAGTTTCATACATATTTTTGACAAGTACATTGAAGTTTATTTGTTAATACACTAGGTTATTTCTTCACTGTATTTCATGATTTGGATTTGGTCGTTGTGAATTTTAAGAACAGTCAAACATCATATATCTACAATAAGTTCTTATAATATTTAGTCAGATACATATACTAAAGGTTTCTTTATTTACATTTATAGGAAGCGGACCAATACAGTTGTGGCAGTTTTTACTTGAACAGCTGACAGATAAGTCATGTCAACATTTTATAAGCTGGACAGGAGATGGATGGGAGTTCAAACTATCAGATCCTGATGAAGTTGCACGAAGATGGGGAATTCGTAAAAACAAACCCAAAATGAACTATGAAAAGTTAAGCAGGGGTCTAAGATACTATTATGACAAAAACATTATACACAAAACTGCAGGAAAGCGTTATGTGTACAGATTTGTCTGTGATCTGCATAGTCTGCTGGGATACACCCCAGAGGAGCTGTTTGAAGCATGTGATGTCAAGCCTCAGCCTGACAAAGATGATGAGTAGTCAGTTAAGTGCTTGGTTTTAACTAACCGTGATCTGTGATTGAAGCTGTAGAGGCAGCAGAATAATATATTCTATTTATAGTTTGTTCCTCAAACATTTTGTTGTCGGGGCTAGAAGGTATAGGATGGCTTGAGAGGAAACAGTCATGATTGCAGACTATTGTTTTGATTGGTGAGAATTTTCGGCTGTTTGAAATGTTGTGATAAAGCGGTGATATGGTATGGCTTTTCAGCAGAAAGGATTTTTGATTGATGGAAAAGCTATTTTTAGCTTTAGCATGACAGTTTTTGTGAAGAGTGACTCAAAAGTGCAGATCAAGTTTTTACTTGAAATTTTTTTTTATTACTTTTTTCAAGCAGTGACTGCTTGTTGACTTTTACTGATCATGTGATCTTGAGATGTACATTTTATTGATCATGATATAGGAAAAATAAGAATGAGTTCATTTGACCAATCAGGTTGAAAGGTTGGACATTTAACCAATCAGGTTGATAGGTTGGAAAGTGTTACTTGTTGATTAGTTAATAGCAAGAATATCTATTTCTTGTTTGGCCATAATTTGTTTATTTTGGTTGGCCAATTGTTGTAAATTGGTATGTGGCACTGTGGCCACAATTGTTATATTTGTTATATTTTATTTTAATAAATGTGCTTTTAAGGATATTTATTCAAGTTGATGCAAATAGTTTTCCTTGGTGCCTTTGTAAAAACTTCGTCCAATTTTTAAAATGTTTTTAGATGCCTTGTGATGTTATATTCTATGAAATATTTAATTTCAAGTAATAAATTAATGGGAATACTTATTAATTGTTCTGTTTCAATAAAAGGGTAGTAGCAAATAAAAATGATCCCCCTTCCAAAAAAATGATACGTAAAATCAGTTTTCTCCTGATTTTGAAAAAAAATATTTGAGAAAATAGGCTAAACGATTTAGTCAGTGCTAAAAACATTAATACAGAAAATAGTTTTAAACATCTGCAAAATAAGATAAACTTGTTTGTTTTATAATGAAAAAAATATTTGATCAAATGAATTTTGAAGATCTGAGATAGACTGCTTTACTGCATATAAGAACAAATTTCTATTTTACTTTTACTATTGACTGATATTTTCGAACAGTATGACAAGTTTATTCGCCTACGGAAGACCCAGGAAATTTTAGGAATATGCATATCATTATCAAACTGTGTCTTATATAAGTGCCATAAGTTTATCGAGTTTTCACGCAATGGTTTACCTTGTAATGGTAAAGGCATTCTTGTGTTCATTTATTGGTGCCCAAACATTGATATTTTTTAGACAGAATTTCATTAGTGTCATAATGGTTATATATTTTTTTTATAAATCCAGTGCATGTTTGAAAATCACTTTTTGATCTCTTTGAAAAATTCATTTATCAAAATGTCTTGAAATGCTTCTTTTTTAAAGTGACTTCAGATGATCATATTTTGATTTTTTCTTCATGTTATTTTTGATAAAAGTGAATGATACAAAATTGAAGGTTTTCTACATGCTCTTTTTTTTTAAAGTTAAATTAATGCAATTTGAAATGGGTTTGAATTCTTTTTTATTTTGCCTTACGATCTATCATTTTTTCGCATATTTCGAAAAAGAAAAGAATTTAAAACCTTTTAACACAAAATGTGGAAAACTAAATTGTTTAACTTTTCTCTTGTCAAGCTTTTTTGTACATTTTTTTAGTTAAGGTCAGCAATTTTCCATGTTATGTTTGAAATTACAGAAATAATTACGTAGAAATCACCGAGCAGTATCAGATACTGATTCTGCCACTTATGTCATTAAATTGTAAATTATCCATCATTTTGTATTATGTAAAAAACATTCTTAATTATACAATTGCTTTAGACAATTAGATGTTAGTATTTGTTAGAGAACATTTAAATGGCAGACTTTTTGTAAGTTTTTACTAGTCTAAAATTGTCTCATTCATGAAATATTGTGTTCATTGGAAATTTTATTATGAAAACAAATTTAAATACTGCTGATAAAAGATAAAAGCAATAAAAGGGTATATACTTCAATAAAACTACAGACTATGTATAAGTCATATCTAGCTTTTAGTTAATATGAACAAAACCGCTTGTGTTCTAGTTATTTTATTTTTTGTTTTATTTGCTTTTCTGCAATACTCTAGTATTAACCAGGGGTTATAACTCTTATTATTAAAGTGCTGTAACTCCTTGCATTTATGAAATAGTTGTGTTCATTTTTTTGTTGAATTTTTTATTTTCTCATTTGTTATATCTTGCCATTTGTCAAGAATTGAATATATTTGGATATTCAAGAGCAAGGTTGAATGATCTCTCTGTTATGACTTTGTTCGGTTCTGTAACAGTTTTCTTGGGCAAGAATGACCAGAGAAAACATTTTCTTTATAGTTTAAATTGGGCACGATTTTTAGACTTGATCATTTAGATAACAAAACTATTTATTATTTAAGTTGCCATTTATTTTGTATTTTCTTGATAAAAACATTATTTTGTCCCTGATAAGTTAAAATAAAAAAAATATAAATTGTGGGCAATTCTTATTGAAATGTGTGGAGGGATAACTGTGTGTCCCAAAGTGATTTTTGATGAAGAGAAAATATTTGGTATGCAAATGTGTTTAAAGTTTAGGAATTGAAAATACAACTAAAAAAAAACCTTCAAAATTTTAAGGCAACACTTTTGTGGTGATGTCTTCTTCTTTTGTGCTGACATCATTTTGTGTCCACAAAAGCCCCAAAATTCACATTCTGAAAAAAGAAAAGAAAAAATGCTTTTGAAAATTACTTAAGAAGGTTTTAATGTGTTAATGCAGATAAATATTTGTGACTGAGAAAGTGAAATTCACAGTAAAAAGTTTAACCCCTTTTTTGTTGCTAATTCAGATACTTTTAAGTAAAACCACTTAAGTGATCATGGGACACACAGTGGAGGGTCATCTTTTAGTTTGGGTGAACAGCAGCTTTAGTTCAGCTATAAAAGAAAACAGCAATAACAGTACTGTTCTTTTTTTATATTTTTATTATTTCTCACGATTTTATGAGATTGTTATCTTATATACATCCACCACCTACTTACTTACTCTTCAAATGTAACAAAAATCAAATTTAAAATATTTTTATTCTATAAAATATGATCAAAGATGAAATGGAAGTTGAACTTAATAATCTTAAAGGCTAAATACTTATCATTGAAATATTGAATATTTTATTTAACATTTTAAAATACTTTTTTTTAGCTTCCAAATTCTTAAGAAAAGAATTTTAGATAGATTTGGGATTTTGCTTTACAAGTTTTATTTGTAATTGCACGTTTTAATATTGCCAAAATTTTAATCAAATAACAAATTTAGTCCACAACTCTGTTTATCAAGATTATGTATGATATACATACCAACAATTAAGCCTTCAAACAAACTGTCATGATATGAACTTAGTTGTAATAATAAAAAATGATATTTTTGTTAAATATGTTCCTTACAGATATATGAATTGTTGAAACATTACTATTGTATCTATGCACAAAATTTGTGCAGTCAAATATTATACATTATGGCAACTGTAAATATTACAGAAATAAATCTAAAGTATTGTCTAATAGTTGCTTTTATTTGTTGCTCACAAATCTTCAGTTATGAGGAGAAAAGATGGTCTGAACAATTGTATCCAACCATAGTGGATGGAAATTCCATCCTGGTGTACTCCGTGTTGTCGTTTAACTCACAAGTCAAGTTTGTTTATGTCATCAAGCTGATCAGTGTTATAAGTCAGCTTCTATAAATTCATTTATTTTCATGGGCACCAATTTCCGTGGATTGAGGAAAAGTTGTATTTTCATGGATATTTGATTTCGTGGTTTTTCCAATGTCTACATACAATCTTATAGAAAATGTATACTTTGTTGAACATTTAAATTTGTGGTTTAATTTTAACAATGAAATCCACAAAATTGGTATCCCATGAATAATAATGAATCCACAGACCCTATAATTAAGCAACAGCGTTCTGTGATTTCAATAAGCACAGATGGTCCAGATATATGGTCAACTGGTAGTACAAATATGTAGTCTCCTGCAAGAGTGATGTGACTGAAAAGCTAAATTGATCAACTTAACTACCTATTCAGGGATTTCCCTTTCATACAGTGAAGTTTGCTAAAAGTAGCAAAATTGTCAAGACAGTCAGCTATGTTTTTATATCAATATTTAATCACCAGTGGTGTTGTGTATATGTTCATTTGCCCGTTAATTCGATTGGATGATAAGCTACCTATACAAATTCCTGGCCAATTACCCCTTATATGTCTTATTATTTTGGATAGATGGTCAGCTACCTGTTAATATCACTAGCCAATAACCACTGGTCTGTTGGTATTATATAGGATGGGTGGTCAGCTACCTGTACAAACCACTAGCCAATCACCACTGGTCTGTCAGTATTATAAGATAGATGGTCAGCTACCTGTACAAATCACTAGCCAATAACCACTGGTCTGTTGGTATTATGTAGGATAGATGGTCAGCTACCTATACAAATCAACAGCCAATAACCACTGGTCTGTCAGTATTATAGGATAGATGGTCAGCTAACTGTACAAATAACTAGCCAATAACCACTGGTCTGTTGGTATTATATATGATGGATGGTCAGCTACCTATACAAATCAGTAGCCAATTACTGCTGGTCTGTCAGTATTATATAGGATGGATGGTAAGCTACATATACAAACTACTTGTACAAATCAATAGCCAATCACTACTGGTCTGTCAGTATTATATAGGATAGATGGTCAGCTACTTATATGTACCACTAGCCAATAACCACTGGTCTGTTGGTATTATATAGGATGGATGGTCAGCTTCCTGTACAAATTACTAGCCAATCACCACTGGTCTGTCAGTATTATATAGGATAGATGGTCAGTTACCTATACATACCACTAACCAATAACCGCTGGTCTGTTGGTATTATATAGGATGGCTACCTGTACAAATAACTAGACAATCACCACTGGTCTGTCAGTTTTATATAGGATAGATGGTTATCTACCTATACAAATCAACAGCCAATTACCCCTGGTCTGTCAGTATTATATAAAATAGATGGTCAGCGACTGCTATAGTAATATAAATCACTAGCCAATTACCACTGATGTGTCAAAGTTATATAGGATAGATGGTCAGCTAACTGTATAAATCACTAGTCCATTCACCACTAATGTGTCAGTATTATATAGGATAGAGTGTCATCTACCTACACAAACCACTAGCCAATCACCACTGGTGTGTCAGTATTAAAGAATAGAAGGTCAGCTACCCGTACAAATCACTAGCCAATAACCACTGGTCTGTTAATATTATATATGATAGATGGTCAGCAACCTACACAAATCACTACTCAATAACCACTGGTATGTCGGTATTATATAGGATAGAGGGTCGTCTATAACACAAAGCACTAGCCAATCACCACTGGCCTGTTAGTTTTATATATGATAGATGGTCAGCAACCTGCACAAATCACTACTCAATAACCACTGGTCTGTCAGTATTATTACGGACAGATTGTCAGCTACATAAACAAATCACTAGCCAATAACCACTGGTGTTATAGTATTATAGGACAGGTAGATTGTCAGCTGTCTAAACAAACCACTAGCAGATCATCACTGGTGTGTCAGAATTAAAGGAAAAATTATCAGCTACCTACACAAATCACTAGCCAATCACCACTAGTGTTATAGGATAGATGGTTAATGCCCCTGTGATAGGATAGTGATAGAAAACCAACTACACCTTAAATCACTAGCCAATCTCCATTTTTGTGTGAGCGATCAAATGACCCAATGATAGGATAGGAATAGAAAATTAGTTTCACCTTAATTCACTATCTCATCACCACTGGTGATTGAGGGTCCAACTTACCCAATGATATGATTTTGATATGAGAGGGGTATAAAAAGAGAGATGCAAGACACCAAAGGGACATTCAAACTCATAAGTAGAAAATAAACTGACAATGCAATGGCTAAAAAAAGAAAAAGACCAACAGACAAACAGACAAACAACAGTACACAAAACACAACATAGAAAACTAAAGACTGAGCAACACGAACCCCACCAAAAACGGGGGGTTCTCCAGAAGGGTAAGTAATCCAGTGGTAACCCTACTCCACATGTGGCACCCGTCGTGTTGTTCATGTTAGTACAAACCCGGTAATAAGTCTAATTCGGTAGGTCAAATTCGGGGAAAAGGGGACGGGATTATAGTTACGACAATTGGAACATATCCGGTCATCTGTGAAACGGGTATTCCATAAAGGTCAACCAACTCGTGATGGCGTCCATAAAATTTACGAAGTGATGATTTCAACTTCACAACTTGGAACTCTTGGTTTAATAGCTTCCTTGTCAGCAGCAACCCTTTATCAAGGAAATCATGATAGAAAATACAAGCCCTGGAATATCGTATCAACTGGGAGATATATACACCGTATGCAGGTGCTGCTGGAATGTTGCTACATAAAAATGGAAAGTTCACAATTGGGAAGCTGAAATCATCTCTTTTGTCGTAAAGTTTTGTTTTCAAACGACCCTCATTGTCAATTTCTAGATGTAAGTCAAGATATGAGGCAGACTTAACTGTATCTGTTGTATCCTTTATCTCAAGTTCGATGGGATAGATGCGTTCAACATAGTCACCAAATTTTGAATTATTTAGTGAGAGAACATCATCTATATAGCGGAAAGTAAAGTTAAAGGATACTACTAACTTCTTTTTTTTCTTCCTAAGAAAATTCATGTTTGAAGACAGCCTCATATGAATAAAGGAACAAGTCGGCATGAAGAGGGGAACAGTTGGATCCCATGAAAATACCGATTGTTTGTTGAAAAACGCGTCCTCCAAACGTAACAAATATGTTGTCAGTCAAGAAATCAAGCATCTTGATAATGTCGGTTTCAAAGAACTTTTTGTTTGACTCAGAGTGATTTTTTACAAAGTACGATTTATCCCTTCCCGAGACTAGATACGTGTATCTACGTTGTCCATTCTTTTTTATAAAACAAAGCAGGACCAACTCTTTCAATTTGTCTTTTTATATTGGAATGGGGAATACTTGGTGTAAAGTGTAGAACAGTCAAATGTTTTAATACTATTGCAAGATGAAAGAGTCTTAGATTGTATGTACTCTAAAAGATCTTTGGAATTTTTTAGTATCCACATCTGATTCACGCCACCTCTAGAATAGGTAGTTTCACAATAACTTTGAAGCCCGGCTTTGATCGCTGATAAAATTGATGTTAATAATTTAGAAAGAGGTTTCGTGGAGCACTTGGAAAACCCAGCAATATAACGTTGTTTGCAAGAACACTTATGTAGTTTAGGTATCTAATACAGTGATGGAAGATCCAGTTCTTCATCTTTTGTTGAAATTCCAAAGGAACATAGAACAGACCTATGATTATCCAGGATTACCTCCTTGGTAAGTGTTATTCTTCATTGATTTTCTGTACAGATTAACTCCGGATATTGCACATAATCGTGTCTTCATGTACCATTATGACATTGTTATAAGAACTATATTATATTATACTAAAACAATAACTATATTATATTATACTAAAACAATAACTATATTTACGAAACATAAGAACTATATATTTTCATTTGAATTTCGATTGCGTTCATACCGACTTCTGCTGAAAAGTTCTATGGTCAACACGCTTCAGCAACTACTGAAATGAAGCCTGCTCCTTAACACCACAAGGTTCTCACTATGTTTGTTCCTCTAAATGTTGATATTAAAACCATATAAATTTCGCTTTATAGCTGCATCCAGTAAATGTCAATCATGTTCCAGTTCTTATATGACTTATCTCTCACTTTCGTTTAGGACATCGTTTTATAGTATTTTGTGACAAAGCATACTTTTGATAATAGTTGTGTTTATTGTTTCTGGAAAGCAAGAGACTCTTTGTGAGTCAACATTCCTTTGAAGCCTGTTTGTCTGTATTGACAATTATCAAAGGGATGTTCGCAGCTCTGTATACCACATTACCAAACCAGGTTGTCAAACAATAATTTTCCTATTTAACAAAGCAGTTTTCGATTAATCTGTTGCGGGCGTTACGAATTCCCTTTCAGTCACAAAGCAACAATAAATGAACATAAGACGAAAAATTGAAAGCCACAGTAATGTTTATACCAAAATTTATGAAAATGGGACTTTTCCGTTTCTATTGTTAGTTTCCCGTTTCTCGTTGATGATGTTACGTTGACTCCTTGCTATGGATTATTGTAAAATTGAGAATGGAAATGGGGAATGTGTCAAAGAGACAACAACCCGACCATAGAACAGACAACAGCAGAAGGTCACCAACAGGTCTTCAATGCAGCGAGAAATTCCCGCACCCGGAGGCGTCCTTCAGCTGGCCCCTAAACAAATATATATACTATTTCATTTCTCAGTTGGTTCGGTACATGCGTGTTTGTAGTGACGTCTTAGATTCAATGCACGTAATATTTTCATTGTTAAAAGACTTCCGCATTAGGGATACAGGTATCATTAATTGATCAAATCACAAATACAGTTATTTGTTCTCGAAGTATAATTCAGTCTGCAGGAATCTAACATCTGACTTTTACAGTAATACAATTTATAAAATTATCAAGTTTAGACTTGTTGATTTGCCAATGAGACAACTATCGACCAGAGACCAAATGACATAGATGTTGGCAGCTAGCAAGTATTTTTAGGGGATGAATGCATAAATTTGTTAATTACAGTAGTTTGAAATAACACTTGAACTTGTCCTTCGTTCTCCTGCATTGGAATAATCTACAGTTTGTTCTGCGTATTACACAAGATCGTGACTAACAGTTGATTTTGCTGTATGGCGTCTGCATTAAAGAGAAGCCACCGACGCCCGCGGGTAAAGAAGGACATAGATTATATCAGCAGGCTATGGAAACGACCATTCTGGTGGTTGCAGGGAGATTTTTTGCGGACGGAATACTCAATTACAACTTCGCTAGGCAGGCCTATTTCTTGTCAATGTAGTACTCAATTGCATGTATCTTGCATTTTGTTATTCATATTCATATTTTCAGTTCTTAGAAATTCTGCATATTCATTACCAAAAAATCCTCCCCCCCCCCCCAAAAAAAAAAATAAAAAAATAAAATGGTCGTCCTCCCCTTAAATACTTTGCTCATACTTATAAAAATAAGGAGATGTAGTATGATTGCAAATGGGTTATAGGCAACTATACGGCCTTCAACATTGAGAAAAACCCATACCTATTGGTCGGCTATAAAAGGCCCCGACATGAAAACTGTGAAACAACTCAATTGAGAAAACTAACGATCTAATTTATAACAAAACAAATTACGAAAAACAAATATGACAGACATGAACCAACGACAACCACTGAACTACAGGCTCATGACTTCGGACAGGCACATAAAGAACGTGGCGGGGTTAAACATGTTTGAAGGCGCCAACCCTCCTCTATCCTGGGACAGTGGCGTAACAGTAAATAAACTATAAAAATCAGTTAAAAACGGATGAGCTCATCAGATCGACACCAACACAGAAAAACATCTAACAAAAACGCAGACCGGACGTGGCAGAGTATTTATACATCCCTCACAACAAAAAAGACACAAAGTAAAGTTTGTTTTTGTTATCATAAAAATTCAAGTGTTTTTCCTGTCACTGATGATTGTTGTGCGTTCCTTTGCTTTCCTTTCCTTAGTCCACTGATCGAGATTATGAAAGATGAAGGATTGAGATATAAAACAAGACTAGTGTCACCCTACCACATGTAAATGTTTCTTAAGTGGTTGTCTCTTTGCATGTTAATATGTTTTTGTCATTTTGGGGAATTTGATGCCGGATAATGACAGATCGATCTTTGATAGTCAATAATTGTTTCATATTCTTTTCTTGGTGCTTGTGTTTTTGTGCTCTGTGTAATATTGTCATTACAGAGTTGCGGTTCTTAGTTCTAAACTGTTATTTTTACTATACGTCTTACCTTAATGTTCCGTAAATCGAAATTAAAAGGTGAAAGGTTATTTAAACATATTTTATTAAAAGAAATTATGTTCATGACATATACGTATATAAATGCAGTAACATTTAAAAATACAAAGGGATTCGGAAACAAGGTTTCCATTATATTAATCTGTCTCCCGGTCAAAAGAAAAAGGGAAATATCTGCTAATAAATATAGGGGGAGAGTTGAGATTCAAACAATACCAGTTGTAGTAGTTAAAAACCTTCACATGTTGATTTGCCTGCCGTCCAATATTACTAGGAAACCTCGTCAGTGGTTGTCTTTATATCTTTAGTTTTTTGGTCATTTTTGTATTGATTCCAGATTTTGTATGTTTTTTTTAGGATTGTATTCACTTTTTTCCTATACTCAGGTCGATTTAGATATTGACCAGAGCTCTGAAGCTTGATATACTGTATACTTGGTTGATAGTGTCATAAGTTTTCTGTCTCATTGCTTATACTCAACATCTTTTGACTAGCGTTGTTTATTATTATTTCGGATGAAATTACCTCAAGATGCATCAAATTAAACTACAACGTATTATTTCATTCTGAATTTAATAAAGAGGAAGGACATATCGTTTTGTAAAAAGTTTGCATCGAAGGACATCTTAAACCAAAATGCACTAATATCTATCTGAAAGACATTTTATGTGAAAGCTTCCAACAGAATTTTGGTTTTCGTAAAGCTTGCCCTTCCAAATTATAACTCAAATTTTGCTAATTTTCATTAAAAATGCACGATTCATCTTTATGAAAGTATAATGTGGTAACATTTTTAATACGCAATATGTTTGAATTTTAAAGCAGCGGTTGAAGTTCACCTATGAATCTATGATATTGCGGATTTCAGGCAACTTTTGGCCTTTAAATTCGAAAATCAAAGTGTAGTATAAATTTCTGTATCAAATTACTCTTGAGACTTCTATAACACAACACCATCCCGAGACGTTCAACTTCGTAAGATATTAGTTTATTTGTTTGTGAATTGTGCATCCACACCATCCTTTATTTTATGGAAAAACAGGTAAAACTGCCAAATAGCATCACATTGTGGTCTTATTATTTTAATTAAGGTTTGAGACATGAAGGCCTTAATAGTTTATAAATAAGTAAATACACTATGATGTCGGCCTTTCGGTACATAACACAAGTAGCATAAGATCTACGTAGATCTTTTAACCTACATACAAGACAGCGTACACCCCCTTTTTTATTGAAAAACAACACGGCTTCAGTGAAATCGTGGTACCAGAGAGACATATAATACATTATATTCTCTGGTGGTCCTGACACAGTCTGCACTGCGTCCAGCGCCCTAGACCACACACTCTCTCTCTCTCTCTCTCTCTCTCTCTATATATATATGTATGTGTAATGCCTTATCCCATGGGACTAATATATTCATTGGTCTCATCTTATCCTTAAAGTTATTTTGCTGAAAAAGATATATACAAAAATGTCTCAGCAATGTTACGGGGTAAACTATCTCGTTATAGATAAGTCATGCATTCATGCATGAGGAGTTTTGAGTTAAAAAAAAGGCAGGATGAGCAACTTGGCAAAAAAAAAAAGGCAGGATGACAATTTATGTAAAAAAAGTTAGGATAAACTAATAAAAAAAGGAAGGACCGAACCAAGGATAGGGAACAGAGTGTAAAATAAAAAGGCAGGACAGAGATTACAACTAAAAAAAATGCAGGACAAAATTTTTCATCCTAGCCCCCCCTCCCCCATAAAATTCAAATGAAAGGTCCCCTTAACAAAAAGCAGATGGAAAAACTCGGTGAAAATTAAGAATAAAGACAATGCTCCTAATATAACAACAACAACAAAAATCGAACAGACCCCCCCTCCCCCCCCCCCAAAAAAAACGTAGAGAAAAGTAGAGTAGACAATGGTTAGAAAAAAACAAAACCGAACTAAAATAATTGTAAAAAACACCACTCACAAAACAGTTCAAATACGTAACGCGGCCCTGTAAGGAAGCACCCTTTCTAACTTTAACGTTTACGTTTACGACACTCGCAGTCGAAATCTTGCAGAAATATATCGTCAAACTTACGTTCTCGTAAGTCCTCGTAAACTTAGAGGACCTCAATGGAAATTAGACTTCTTCTAATTGAGTTACCCTCTTTAAATAAAGAATTTATTATTATTATTATTAGATGACGTACGAAAACGATGCCCTGGTTCCCTGCGATGAATAGTGCTATCTCTGTCGATGTCGGTTACGTCAAGGAACAGGTTTGTGGTTATAAAAGGGAAGTTACTCTAACTTTTAACCTATCATGAAGTGAACTCAGGAGAAATGGTCCAGTCGTTCGAAGAATTTTGTGGTGGTTCTCTATGGGTTTGTACTGTAGAAAAATAGTTTATGCTTGCTTTAATTAATTGCATCTATGGTGCGACTGTACGTATTTTTCCCATAACGACAAAACCGAATTCATTTACTTGATCAATGTGACTTTTATCAAGAATCAGACTCAGTCTCACTCTCAATGACAATGATGCATTGTTTTATTGTCGCAGCAGTTTAATATTTTTACGTTTCATAGCCTGGATGATCAAAGTAATCCCTCCCCAGAAAAAATCAGAGCTGATTTTCAATGAAGAATTATATTATCATGTAATTGCTGAAAATGCAACAAAGTTCTAGTTTATGACCTAAAATATAACATTAAATAATCAACATGTAGGACTAAATATGGAACATCTAACCTAAAAGCCAATACCCAACACACAATAACTCTAAATATTACAAGAGTAAAGAAAGTTGATAGATATTTTATTTGCATATCTTTGAGATGCAAAATTTCTTCAAATATGATATATATTGTAACTAAGGTAACGCTATGTCCACTACTCTATGAACAGGGCCAGGGTTACTTTTGGGGTCTATAGATTTAGCCAATGTGCCAAAATGCCCTAACACATCCAAAAGTGTTCTAAAGTAAAAAATAGTTGAAGTAACATCAATTGTAATTCTTGGGTACATTTGCTATATTTTTTTATGTACAAGCAGAAGCTCTTCCTAATCCTGGTTAGTTAGATCTTTGATAAACTGTCTAATAAAATTAAAAATCAATTTAATAAAAATGAATAAAATTAGAATTGATTATTTAATGCTTTTAAAATAGTAAAATGCCAAATTTTACATATTTTATCGAAATATTTTAAAGAACTTAAATAGATATTTGTCATAGAATTTGATATGGTAATCTAAAACCTGGTAAGTCCTGAACTATTTCTAAAAAAGGCATGTAGTCTTCCAGGACTGCAGGCAGAAACCCTGTTGAAATTAAACAAAAGAGATGGAACTCTTTGTTAGAGAAGGTAAAAATGGCCAAGTTGGTAAATTTGAATTGTTTACATCTGTTTCTATGGGCTTTTAATGAATGTGCCTAACTTAGGATTTAATGCATCTTATGTATGTGTTTTTACTTATATTATTGAATTGAGCTTCGAGATATTTGTACACTTTTAAATTATAGACAAATTTTCACAATACAGTCGATTGTGGTAGGTGCAAATTCTCGTGGATCTTTTTTGTGCATAAGCATAATTTCCGCTTGAAAAAAACTTCAAAGAAAGATAATAGATTGATCTTTCTAAAGCATTAATTTGCATCTCTGCCCAAGGTGTCTTTTTTTTTGGAAAAAATCCCCAAAATAGGCAATAATTTCATCAAAAGAGAAAGTCGAGTACACCTTTTTAGGTTCAGGCATGTTTGAGTTGACTATTCTGTCTTGAAAACGTATAAAAGAAAAATATTTGGTACATCATCTCGCTTCAGATTCTATTATTTTTATATATTTAGGCTATAGGTTGGTACAATAACATTAAAAATTTACAGTACGAAAAGATGAAATTGTAATGAGTCATAACAACAGAGTAGGTGTGTTCGAATAACAAATTTTTACTAAAAGTACTTGACGACAAACTTTTCTGGTGGATCTTAAAAATGCATAACTTCAAAAAAAACTTCATGGTACATGTATCTAGGGTAAATAGTCTTCAACCTCTGAAAATTTTTAGTCTGCCCTTCCATGAAATATTTAATTAGAATTTTTTAAAATATTTTTGAACTTTCGAAAATAACCCCTGACAACCGATAGGACAATAGTTTTAAGTTGACCAAATGCATTAAAGTACATTAAATGATGCTCAATAGCTAGTAGAATCATTTGTCTTTTAAAATACAACTGGCATATAAGGATCGTAATGATACTATGTGGATAAATTTATCGGTTTTCATAAGTTGAAGACAAACTGACAATGCCATGATGCCTTAAATATATTCTTAATAACATTAATGGGATACATAGAAACTGTAGATAGCAAAACTAATAAACCAGCCAATTCAAATGCACAAATCATTTCAGTGGTATTTATTTGACAATTTATTAGAAGAGTGCCATTTGATTTTTGAGAGGGGGTTTATTTTTGAACATTTTGAAGGAAAATAATGCTGATCATGATTTCAAAGTGGTACTGGCACTGAAGAAAAAAAAATACTGGCCATGATTTCACTTGAATGCACTTAAAAAGCTGTATATTGGAAAATAAATAATTTGTTTTTGACCAAAAAATTGTAAATCAAAAAAGGTGGAAAGAAATAATGAAATGGCATATTTTCAAGGTGAGCAATTAAGAGCATCTATTAAGTTCCAGACGTCATAATAGCAAAATCAAAGGAGGTCAAGAAAATTTGACATTGCAGTTGAATTTTGACCAGCGAATACTGTAAATCCAGGAATTATTGCGAGGTTTTTATGAATGCGAATAACGCGACTACTTGAGTATCGCAATTATAAAAACTCGCATTCTGATATCAAATACATATATTTGTATGTAGCTTTTCTAAAATTCGCAATAGTTAAACTCGCATTTTTGTTAATTTTTCAAAAATTGCAATAATAAATGCATGCAATAATTTCTGAATTTACAGTAACTGAGAAAAAAACCCACATATTGGTAATAGATAATAATGAACTAGTTTGGAAAAGTTTAAATCAACTTTTTTCTTAAAACAAATAGGTCTTTTCATGTGACTGCCTAAATTATTGTAAAATTATCTTCCAATTGGACAGGTATTTTTATGTGAATGTTCACATTCCATTATTATTTTTTTATATTCATCAAGCCCAAAACCTTAAAATTCTCAGATACTTTTGAAGATACTGACAATAAAAATGTTGCGTTCATATATGTACATGTAACCATTCTATAATAAGTTCAACTGTAAACAAAATGATGAGATTTTGATAATTATTAGTCCTGACCAAATACTATCATGACCATTTACATATTTGAGGTACAAGCTTTGCTTTTATTTGAAATATGAGGTTAACTTCTTCAATTTTTTTAACAGGATGAGACTAGATTACTGAATGGTAATTACCCAGAGTTCACAGACTGTTTCCAGCAGACGTTACTTGTTTGGGTACCATGTGGTTTCCTGTGGCTCAGTGCACCGTTCTACCTTTATCATCTTCTCAATGCAGATGGAGTTTCTCGTCCTCACTCATTTTTGAGTGTGGCTAAAACTGTTAGTACATGTGTAATATTTCTGTGTTGTCAACTAGTTTAACCCCGCTATATGAACTTTTGCACGTTCCCAGTATAGTCAGTTCTGTCTTTTTTTCTTATTTATGTTTTATTTTTTTTTATTGAAGAATTTGTTGTTGACTACAGATTTTTAACAATCTCTTTTAAATTTGTTTACTACAGGGTAATTTAGAGTTTGAGGCATAGGTATTAGTATAGACACCAGTTTATTGATTAAAGACCATATGTTGACCTCAGAGTAGACGTCATTTGGTGTCAAATTTAGCACTGTTTAGTTTTTGTCAAATTTTCTGTTCCAGAATCCATAACTTTGGGTTAAATTTTCAACAACACACACAAAAAATGATGTGATTGGTTAAAATCGTTGTAAACAATAGAATTCATCCAATGATGTGACATTATGTTTTTTTTGGGGTACGAACAATGAAATGATCTAATTTTTATGCCCCTACCATAGGCAACGGGGGCATTAAGTGTTACCCTTGACCGTCGTTCTGTCCATTTGAATTTCCTTCCATCCCATTTTTGATCCGCACTCTAACTTAAGTTTTCCTCATCCAAATTTTATGAAACTCATACAAAATGCTAAGAACCAAAACTAGCTGACAGAATTCAAATTTGGGCAGTGAGTCGCTTACCGTTCTGGAGTTATGCATCTTTTTTAACTTTTTTAAATTGCATAGCTTGAGTGGGGACATTCGTGTCCTCAGACTAATTCTTCTTTCATTATGCCCCTGCTGTAGGCAACAGGGGCATTTGGTGTTACCCTTGACCATCCTTCTGTCTTTCCGTCCGTTCATCCCATTTTCATTTCCGCTCTATAACTTAAGTTTTCCTCATTCAAATTTTATGAAACTCCTACACAATGCTAAGAACCAAAACTAGCAGACAGAGTTCGAATTTGGGTAGAGAGTCGCCAACTGTTCTAGAGTTGTGCCCCTTTTTAACTATTTAAAATTGTAAAGCTTGAGCAGGGCATTTGTGTCCTCAGACACATTCTTCTTTTATTGTGCACCCGCTGTAGGCAACATGAGCATTTAGTGTTACCCTTGACCGTCCTTCCTTCCGTCTTTCTGTCCGTCCATCCGTCTTTCTGTCATCCCATTTTCATTTCTGCACTCTAAGTTTTCCTCATCCAAATTTGATGAAACTCATACATAATGCTAAGAACCAAAACTAGCGTATTTTAGGGAACATTTAATGTTTCACATGTAGTATTTTATGAGAAAAGATAGCTAGATAACCTTTGTTGACTGTAACAGTGTTATTGAAAGTTTATTTTATCACTGTTATTGAATTAGGGTCAAGTTAGATATAGATCAATAGAATATTCTTTGTTTAGTAATTATTTCGTTGAAAAACAAGGAAATGTAAACTTGATTATGTAAAGATAATATCTTTAATTTTTTTAATTTTACATTTTTATTAATTAAGTACAACTTAATCAAAATATACAAAAAAGTTTTTCATTATATCCCCATGTCACAGTTTAGGTAGGGGTCATATAAAATACTTTTAGGCATTGTCTGCCAAGAAAACTTCTCAGCTAGCAAAACAAAACAGCTATAACTTGTTCTGTCCATGTAGATGATAAGAATTAGGACCTGTGATGTGTTGCATCAATCTTTGCATCAGATGTTGCAAATAACTTAAGAAAAACAAAAAAACCAAACAACAAAAAGATAGTTGTATTAACATTTTACCCTTGACCATCCTTCTGTCCTTCCGTCTTTCCGTCCGTTCATCCCATTTTCATTTCCGTTCTCTAACTTAAGTTAGCCTCAACCAAATGTTATGAAACTTATACACAATACTTATTACCACTAAACACAGATCAAGTTTGAATTTTGGTGGTTTCACTTTTACTGTTCTAGAGTTATCCTTCTTTACAAAAGGAAAAATTGCTGAATTTTTCGTTTCCGTTCTCTTACTAAAGTTTGCCTCAACCAAATGATCTGAAACTTATACACAATGCTTATTACCACAAAATACAGATCAAATTTGATTTTTGGTGGTGTCACTCTTACTGTTCTAGAGTTATGCGGCATAACTCTAGAACAATTGATTAAATTACTATGTATTATATTTTCAGTTTGTTAGTGGTGTATTGTTTTTCCTATCGATCGTTGAATTACTACGAGATGCTAATAACAAAGATGATGAAGAAGCCAGTAAGAGAACTCACAATTCTCTTTTTGTAGCTCATTCACTTAAGGCTGCTACCTTTGTAAGTTAATTTGGCAATATATAATGTAATTCGGCAGTGTATTGTACACTGTATATGTGAATTAATGCTATATTCTGTAATAAGACAAAAATCCAGGGCTCACTCTTCTTTTCTGTTATTGAAGACCAAACATTTACTATTAAATGTCTTTTCGATTTAATATTTGGTGGGTTGCTGTCTCAATGATGATCATCATACATCTAATATGTATATCAGGTACCTAATTTGTAAATTTGTTAGCATATACTCAATGATTAGATTAGCCATCCTATGTGTGTGTGTGAAAGAGAGAGAGAGTAAAAATATTTTGATATACGATAAGATTGTGCAGATTTAGAAATATTGCAATAACTCATCCATGTAAGTAGAAAGATAAATATTGCAACTGTAAAAACAGCAATGTATATTTCATTATTTGCAGTCAATTTCAACAGAATCTTGTGAATTAATATAGCATTTTTCAAAATAAAGATTATATGTCTTGTTTAATATATGTTATTCTTAATAACCAGTATTTCTTTCTTGTTTGAATTCTTGATTATAAATGTTCTTACTTAATGACATCTAAAACATTTGCTTTACTTTTATTTCAGTTGTTGACAATATTATTAATATACCTTGAGAGAATCAGAGGATTTATTACATCAGGAGTTCTATTTATATTCTGGTTATTGATGTTAGTAGCTTCAATAATACCATTCTACACATTGATTGAACAAGATGTAAGTAATAAATGACCATACTAGTTTAGCTTACCTGGCCTGAAAGATCATGTGACCTGATATCATCCAATGGTGTCTATTGTCTGTCTTTCCCTGTAGACATACCTGGTCTTGTTGGAGTTCATTTTATTCCATTTAATTTCTTCACTATCTTTGTCTGCTTTGAACCTGGACTTGTACTAATTGATTGTTGATGTTTTCTGCCCCAGCAACACATAAAAAAGAAAAGCTATTCATTGAAACCACAAGGTCAATGTTAAGTAATAGAATAGAGAATGAAAACAGGGAATGTGTCAAAGAGAAAACCACCTAGCCAAAGAGCAGAAAGCAGCCCAAGGCCACTAATTAATAAAGCTTTGTTTGAAACATCAAGTTTCGACCACAATCTGACATAGCTGCCACTTATACAACTATTAGATAATTTGACCCTAAAAAAATAAGAGGAGTATAGCATTGATGGTAAACATGTACGGGTATATAGAGTTCTTTGAAATAAAACATATGGGAAGGGGAAGAGGTGATTTCAAAGAGGCTTTTTGGAGCCTCTTATATTTTAACAAAAAACGGTTTTAAAATTGAAAATAAAAAATGGATACACATACATTGGAGAAATTATGTGGAATCCATTAATCACTTGCTACAATATTTTAAGCTTTATTTTTACAGATGAATGAAAAACAAAAATGAACTGTTTTCAAACAGTGTTGTTCCTTTATTCAACTGACTTGTCTGGAATATATAGATATAGGTAATAGTTAAATAAGATTTACCCGGTATGCAAAAACTATGTTTTTAATCACCATTAAATATTTGCTTAAAATTTATATAGATGTAAAGCCAACATTTAATAAACTTTTTGTCTTACAGGTGTACCATAAGGATTTCTTTAGATTTAGCATATTTTATGTGTATTTCTTCCTGATAGTGGTCCAGTTTGTACTCCATTGTTTTGCTGAGAAGATTACAAGAAGAGGATATTATGAATTAAATACAGTAAGTACATCATATGTAACACAGAGCAGTGCTGTAAAATGAGGCATCATGGATGAGGAATTGAATCTTTCTATCAGCATGGCAGATAGACCACTTATATTACAGATTAAGAAACATGTTATCCAAATAATCCTTAAGATATCAAAATAAGAAGATGTGGTATGATTGTCAATGATACAACTCTCCACCAGAGACCAAATAACATAGAAGTTTAAAAGAACTATATGTCACTGTACAGCCTTCAATTATGAGCAAAATTCAGCTTAAGATGTCCATTTGGTTATTTATATTTGTGGGTTGCTGTCTCATTGACATTTACCCAATACCTTTGATTGACATCAAATTTTTCTTTTACTCATGCTTAAAGTGTATGGGTTTGGTGAAACATTGGTTGTTATTTCATATGAACATGAAACTTTTATCATTTACTGTACACTGTGATGCAATATAACTTAAAGAACTAAAATATCATTTAAGTTTCCATTCACCATTTCAGAAACAATGTTTGGAAGTAGAAGCTTCATTCTTATCCCGATTGACATTTTGGTGGATGACTGGGTGAGTACATGTTGTCAACTTTATAGCACCTTAGTCTTTAACTTCTTTATTTGTACCATATGTAAATTGGTATGTCAAGAGAATAAAATGGATAATGATTTTAATTTATAATGAAAGAACACTATTGATTCCTATATGCAGATGAAGGACTTGCCTAAGTGCATTTATTCCAATAGATTTTTACAGTTAGGTATCCCTACAATTTACAGTCGGAGAGAAACTTTAAACAAAGAAATGTGATTTAAGTAGGCCCATCATATGAAAACAATCTTCAATAGAATCAAAAATAGTTTGGATCAGGAATTATTTTGACTGTTAGTCGAGATATGTCTATTTTTATTATGTTAATTAGGGTCCAATACTTATCAGCATTCTAGATAATTGGTTTACCCTAGTGGGATTTTATTTTAAGTGTGTTAGATAACAAGTTTGTACATCAATAAAATACACAAAAAATTAAGTTCAGATGAAAATTTCATCAACACTTTGAAAACTATTAGCCTGTGTAGGAATTCATACTGGTGTCATAATGAAACATTTTTTTTAAAAATCAAAATGTTCCGGTCTGTGGACAAGCCATCGTCAGGATTATTTTTCATCAATTTGTGAGCTCATGTAGCTTTTAAGTTTCCTATTGCTTGAAATGATTAATAAAATTGAAACTATAATAAATATGAATGAAATGAATGAAATACATAAAATTAATTAAATTAGAATCTGTGTTACAGAAAAAATGAAGTAAAATATAATAAATAAATGCATATTTCAGAGTTATTTTTTCTTTATAGGTAAAATGGTGTAGATTCTGTGTACATAAACATAAAACATAAAAAAATAATTCATGTACATTTTGGTTTGTACTACAATATATATTTAGATATTTGCTAATATGATGTTTGCCTCTTTAAATGTCTTTTCAGACTGATTATAATAGGATACAAGAAACCATTAGAAGAAGCTGATATTTCAGAACTTCACCCAAGAGACAAAAGTGATGTTGTTATACCAACCTTTGATGAAGCTTGGAAAAAGGAATATGCAAAACATGAGAAGATCAGAGAGTTTGTATAGTTATTTACTTCTGTAATCACTGTTCAAAAATTGTTCGGCGGTTTTCTCAGAGTACTGATGCTTCCTCTACTGATAAAAAAGGGGCAGCAACAAAATAACTGAGAGTTAAAAGTGGCATTTAACACTAACAATCAATCAATCAATTAATTGTTTGGATTTATGTTGTTAAAATATATGTGCCCATATTGAAGTTAATTCTTAAGAGGTCTTTTGTTTCTTAATCTTCTTTCTGTTTTGTTCAGAAAAGGACAATCAATGTTTGGATGTATAATGCTGTTTTTTTTCTTTCAGTTTCTTGAATTTTGATTTTCTTGAAGTTTAATAGAGTATGTAATTTATATTATTTATGCTTCTTATAAAAAGACAACAAATGAAAACTGTATATAAAGTTTATAAAAAAATGTGATGTATAGAAATAGAAATAGAAATTCTTGATTTGACCAATCATGGACCCTTACAGGTTTTAAATTTCATGCAGTGATTACAATGATTTTTTTACGACAACAAAATAATAAGATATAACATTACAGAACAATGAATTAATAGGGTAGACAATCCATTAATATTATATGGATTATTTCCCTTTGAACATCATCCAAGAAACTTTCAAGATATTTTGTTGTTCAGAGTCTTTTTTTTTTGTGGGGGGGGGTTTCCAAATTATCTAATATGAGGGTAATTTCCTCCCATGTAAAAGCAGCAAGCAATTACGAAATATTTATGTATTCAACATGTAAAATGCAAGAACTGGATTAGCACCTTTACAATTTGACTTCAGATTAACACATACATTATGCATTAACATATACATGTATAATGCATACAAATAGATGCTGTTATGTTGTTTTTTTAAAATTTTTAACATATATAAATAAACTAAAATAAGAAACTTAGCCTTTTGCAGACTTTTTTTAACCTCAATTCAAAACGCTGCATAAGAAAATGACCTAAATTTTCATGTATATCTTTATCTTCAGTGATCATTAACCATAACATTTTTGATTTGCAGTCTTATAAGTTATTAAAATTTTGACAGTGCTCATCAGTTTGTGCATTCAATAATTCATGAAAGTTATTATATACGAACATTTTATTAAAAAATAAAACTCATCTTCTATAACTTTTACTCGTGAATTGAAATATCAGTATCAGTATTAATGTCATCTTGTAGAATGGAAGAAGAACTCTCTATAGATAAGTAAGCAATATCAACAGGCATTCCTGTGCACTTCAGACATAATTATTCCCTATGACTGTACACATTCCCTATGACTGTACACATTACTAATTCCTATACCTCACTGTTCACATCCTGGTATAACCCTTTCCAGAATCTCATTGCCAGAATCGCAAATTTTACTCTAAAATTATAGTTTGAAGTTAGGTATCTAACTTGTCGGGAAGTAGAACATTTTCCCTGCAATGAATCTCAATGAAGAGTCAGTGATTAGAGATTTTTAATCCCTGTTGATTTAAAGATAATATTTAGTTTATATAGATTTACAAATTGTTAATGATATTTTGTCTTCCAACATACTCGTAATCAAACTTGATTATAAAGCTGGAAACCTTTTCACAGTTGCTCTGCACTGCAGCGAACCAGTATTTATACCAGTATTCTTCCCAACAAGGGAAATAAATATATGTTATTATACTTCACGTAAAAATACAATATTTTGATTGGCTTATATGAGGGTGTTAATTTACTCTATTCTATGGTAAATACTCTATTACCCTTCACAGAGACACTTGATCAAGTGTGCGCTTTATTAAATACGACTCTATCCTATGGCAAATACTCTATTACCCTTCACGGAGACGCTTGATCAAGTGTGCGCTTTATTAAATACGGATGGTTGTTATGTACAAGACGTCATAGTTTATTACTTTGAATTTGAAATTTAATCGACAGTAATAACAGAACATTCAGTATAATAAATTAAATAACACATATCTGAGAGGGTGATAGAGCAGATTGTTACCCCTCGAAAAGACATTGTCAACCTTGGCTTCGCCTCAGTTGACAATGTTTTCTCAGGGTAATAATCTGCTCTATCACCCTCTCAGCTATGTGTTATTTATTTATTATTATGATTTTAAATCAGATTCTGGCTTTTGTAAGTGAGTTTCTAGAAAGTCCTATACAAAAGAATAATTGTTTTTTCCACATACAAACCTTATGATTAAGGTAGTCATTATATTCAGTTACCTTTTTTGTTTTGAGAATGGGAGTAATGTGTTAGATATGTTAGGACTTTAATAACCCCACTACCAAATAATGTTTACAACTTTATATTTTCAGAATTGAACCTTTTTTTATTTTACACTTCCTTCACCTTTAAAAGTACATGCTTTGTGCAAAATTGAAAACAAAATCGTGCATTTATTACATCAATAAAAAAAAAAAAGAACTTTGATACATAAACAAAACAAACAATGAAAAGTTGTTTAAATTTTGTAAGCATTATATATTGCGTGTATTGCATTCCTGTGAAAAAGATTAAAAAAAAATTGCACTGAAGTTTTGTAATCTTTTATTGTTTCAGAAGAAAGGAAAGTTGCTCATTACAAAATTTGATATTGAAATAAAATAAATAATTCTCTCAAGTTAATGAACAAGTGTTCAGTAGGCAGAACCAGTTGAGTAATAATGTAATTTTGATTGTTTTTAATCATTTTGACATATGGTAATAATACAGTTGAAATATGGTAGACAAATGAATTAAATTTTAAAAAAGAAGGCATTTTTTTCTTCAAAAAGAATCTTGAAAGAATAATGGAATTCCGTGAAATGAAATGTTGTTTCGATATATTTTAGTTTGATGAATATTTAAACCTTTATTTGTAGAAAAAGTGTCAAATATAGTCGGCCTGCACAATCCATTAATCAGGAACATCGATCGTCAGAGAAAACACCATTGTTGTCAAGACAACCATCTGTTACATTTAAAACTGGAAAGCCAGTGAAGAAAGAAAATAAAGGCTCCCTATTTAAAGTACTGTGTAAAATATATGGACCATCGATGTTGAGAGCATGGTTCTGTAAATTCATGTACGATTTGATGCAGTTTACCTCACCTATACTTTTAAGGTATGTACAAAATAACATTTTTCTTTTTACATGTCATAACAATATTAAAAAATTTATATTGGTCAAGATGCGCAGTTCATCTAGGCGACAATGGTAGCCTTTACCTCCATTCCTCTGTCCATATCGTAACTTGGATATGTATGATGGTACGTTTAGAAGCTGAGACATTTTTGGCTCACCTTTCCAAAGGAAATGTGAGCTTTTGCCATCACTTGGCATCTGTCGTCGTCGTCTGTCGTCATCCATCGTGGTCGTCGTCATCGTCGGTCCGGTATAAACTATTTCAAACATCTTCTCCTCTGAAACTACTGAACCAATTCCAACCAAACTTAAGCTGAATGATCCTTATGGTATCTAAAATAAAGTTTGTGCTTTATTTTCTGTTTCGTCAAAAAAACATGGCCACTGTGGCTAAAAATAGAACATAGGGGTAAAATGCAGTTTTTGGCTTATATTTCAAAAACTAAAGCATTTAGAGCAAATTTGACACGGACTGAAAATGTTCATCAGGTTAAGATCTATCTGCCCTGAAATTTTCGGACGAATCAGACAAGCTGTTGTTGGGTTGCTGCCCCTGATTTGATGATTTTAAGGAAATTTTGCTGTTTTCGGTTATCTTGAATATTATTAAAGATAAAGATAAACTGTAAACAGCAAAAATGTTCAGCAAAGTAAGATCTACAAATAAGTTTTTTATGACCAAAATTGTCAATTGACCCCTTAAGGAGTTATTGCCCTTTAAAGACAATTTTTCACAATTTGTTCATTAGTTTGCTTACTTTAAATTGGGCTTAATGAGTTTCAGAGTATCTAGTATAAATTTTGTACTATGGCTAAAATGGAACATAGGGGTAAAATGCCTTTTTTGTGCTTTTGAAGAAAAAATATGACAGATACAAAGAACATTTAAATGGCATTTTTAAGCCGCTCATTAATATATATTGAAAAGCAAAAATGATCATTGATGAAAGATTTAAGCAAAATATTACAGGTGAGCGATTCAGGCTCTTGAGAGCCTCTTGTTACAGATGCAGTTAAATTTTTGGGGTAAGAAGTCAGAATAAATTTTTCTGAAATTGGGCAACCCAGAAAGGCCCCACAATATGCTGCTTCTGCAAGTGAAAAGTCTATTTTCACACAGTTAAATTATTTGGAAATTCAGTTCTTTACAAACATTTAATAAGTTTTTGCATCTATAAGTTAAAAGGAAATAATTAAAGATGACTGACACCACCTAGTTTTTACATCCAAGATGATAGGTAGAAGTAAATTTGTTTTCTGCTGCCCAGTTAATTAGAAAACAAAATTGAAATAGTGAGCAATGAGTGTTGGCTTTTGGTGTAGAAATAGCTAGAAATTTGGAGGAAACTCTTTGTGACGAGCAACATTTTCTGTGCAAAAGGGGTGTTCTTCATTCTTACTATTTCAAAAATTTCGGAACCATAGAGTCCCCTTAAAAAATGCCATTTTTCTATCAAAAAAAGCTGCAGCACCATATGTCTTTTTCAGTTTTATTCACAACCAAAGGTTTTAATTCAGAATTTGACAGTTTTATCAACAGATCTTTTATATTAAAAAAGCAGGACCCCAAAAGGCTACCATTGTCTCCTATGTAAATAATTATTTCATTTTAACCTTTATTGTACAGGCTTCTGCTATTCAAAAAAACACAAATGGTGAAGCTCAGTCAATGACTTAAAATAGCATGATGTCCAATATCATTGCATACAGTTTTTTTTACTTCTATTTATAGTTGAGTACCTAACTTTGAGGTGCATTAGGGATATTGACTCATATGTGAATGCTTGGAAAAAATGTCATTGTAAACTTGACTTGTACAATCATAGTAAGATCTTCATCCAAAGTTGATTTTTATGCCCCATTTATGGGCATTATGATTTTCAGTCTGTGTGTCCTTTCGTTCGTCCATCCATTCGTTCGTCTGTCCCGCTTCAGGTTAAAGTTTTTGGTCAAGGTAGTTTTTGATGAAGTTGAAGTCCAATCAACTTGAAACTTAGTACACATGTTCCCTATGATATGATCTTTCTAATTTTAATGCCAAATTAGAGATTTGACCCCAATTTCACGGTCCACTGAACATAGAAAATGATAGTGCAAGTGTGGCATCCGTGTACTATGGACACATTCTTGATTCTTCTGCATTTAAAGATTATCAAATGTTTTTATGCCCCCGCCGTTTCTGTTCTCTAAATTTAGTTTGCCTCGACTAAATGTTATGAAACTTATACACAATGCTTATTACCACAAAACACAGATTAAGTTTGAATTTAGGTGGCGTCACTGTAACCATTATAGAGTTATGCCCCTTTACAAATGGAAAAATTGCTTAATTTTTCGTTTCCATTCTCTAACTTTTGTTTGACTCAACAAAATGCTATGAAACTTATACACAATGCTTATTACCACAAAATACAGATCAAGTTTGATTTTTGGTGGTGCACTAGTACTGTTCTAGAGTTATGCCCCTTTACAAAAAGAAAAATTGCTGAATTTTTTGTTTCCGTTCTCTAACTTAAGTTTGCCTCAACCAAATGTTATGAAATTTTTACACAATACTAATTACTACAAAACGCAGATCAATAACAAATTTGGGTAGCGTCACTTTTACTGTTCTTCAGTTAAACAAAGGGCAATAGCCCTGAGATGAGATGTAGCCTAAACACATCCTGGAGTTTGAAAAAACCATTGATAAAATGTTTATCTCTGTTTTCCTAGTTAAAATCAATGACATAGACTTAATACGTCATTCATTCTCTTTCTACTCGACTGAGAAAATCCATATCACTTGAGTAGCATGAAATGAAAAATTGTCACAAAAAAAAAAAATCAAAAGCAAATTTAAGAAAATAGCGATAAATTATAGATATCTTGTCTGTTTTTTTTACTCCATATAACTTAACCATATCGTGCATATAATGTTATTCTGCACCTCTTATTTTGGTTTGTTGTCAAAATTATTTTTGGAGTTTCCCTAAGCATTTATAGACTTTTGCCATTGTGTGGGGGTGGTCCACATTGTTTCCTCAGATAAATAACAAGTTTGTTTTGATCTCATCATATTATTCAGAACTAGTGATAAGAAAAATAGATAAAAGTTCAATTTTTATATTGATTGCTGTTTATATAAAATAATTATTCCCTACGAATGACGGAAAATCAGCAAAATGGCTGCCTCAGGATTGCAAATATAAGTTAGATATCTGATTTGAACATAGAAATTTTACCACTTATAAATGATAAGAGATATATCATTGTACATTTCAGTGCCTTGATAGGGTACACAACAAATAAAAAATCCGGTAAAAACGTGCAACCAGAATGGCATGGTTATACATTAGCTGGAGCCTTCTTTATTGTGTCATTTCTACAGTCAACATTTTTCCATCAGAATTTTCACATCGGTATGAGTACAGGAATGAGGGCCCGATCGGCAATGATTGCTGCTGTTTACAAAAAGGTTTGTATGATGTAAAAACTTTTACACTCTTTTACACAAACTTCAAAATATTTATTGATGACAATGCTATTAAAGAGAGAAAATGGCATTGAATATTAAAAAGAGTTTTTTCATATTACTGACTTTTGACTTCTGTGTATATAATTTTCGAAAGGTTACCAACTCTGTGATAGTACTTTCTGTTACACTGTTAATTAAGAGCAACTAAAAAACATAAAATCGAGGTTACAATTTTGAGAAAGAAAAAAACATTTCCAATGATTTTTGTCGCATACAGAAAACATAAAACAGTTATTCTTCCCCCCAAATTTTACATATTGTAAGCTGGATTTTACATGGTTCAGTTGCTCTTTCTTGACCAAGTACCAGAATGTCCTACCACAGAGTAAGTAACAAAAATTATTAACTCCGGAGTCGAAAGTCAGTAATATCAGAATAGTCTATTATACTGTTCTATTTTCTTTAAAGTGCTTACCTCTGTTTAAGAATCCTTTCAGGACTAAATTCATAGGTGCCAAAAGCTTCTTTTATTCCCACCGTAAAAATTGTATTATTTAATTCTTATTTAAAGTTGTCAAGATAACACAATACATGTATATAATGAAATATCAAGGTAATCATTTGACCTGATCCATAAAATGAATATGGTATATTACAGTATAAAAAATCAATACTGTGGATTCATTTTTATTTGTGTGGTACATGTATTAAAATTCATGGATTTTGTTAGTATAGGGGGAGCCACAAATTAAAAACAACAAGGAAGTACAACTTTCCTAAAGGCCAGTATTCAGAATTTGTCAAATTAACAAAATCACTAGTTTCCATGAAACTCTAATCTTTCCTGATGGGTGGAAGAACTTTTTTAGGGATGCCAGGATTGGGCCTTTTTTTGCGAAAATTCAGGATTGGGCCGTTATTTTCATGGGAATTTGTGATTTACATCATCGGTACTCTGGAATTAATGATTAATTTTTCGGGATCCAGGAAAGAATGCTTTATTTTTCGGGATGACACCCCCTCCTACCACCCCTCTTTTCTCAATCTACTAAAATTAATTTCCACCAATATAAATAAATCATCAGGACATGCTTCTTGTATCATTCTGTAATAACTGTAGTCCATATTACCAACATTTTAAGTTCACTCCTTAGTCACAAATAATGTAGTTATTTGACCTTTTAAACAGTCCCTTACAATGAACAATGAAGCCAGGAAGACATCAACTGTAGGTGAGATTGTAAACATCATGGGTGTTGATTGTCAGAGACTTCAGGATATGTCAGGATATTTGTGGATGTTGTGGTCTGCACCATTCCAGATTACATTGGCTACATTGTTACTATGGCAACAGTTAGGACCATCTGTTTTGGCAGGTATGTATAGAATCTAGTTATTGTATGGAACTGAACTTTTAATTCTTTTAAGTTTCTGTATTGCAACTGTAATATCTTAATTAGTTCTTTTGTTTTAATGTTACATAGATATAAGAAGATGTGGTATGAGTGCCAATGAGTGCTAGCTTTAGTTGCTCATCATCTGGTAGTGATCATATAAAAAAGTTTTTAAAATACCCTATTAATCAGGAGATGTAAATGCAATCATGAGAAATACTGATTTTTGTCGAGCCTGCGACTTTTGTCGCAGAAAGCTCGAAATAGGGATAGTGATCGGGCGGCGGCGGCAGCTACGGCAGCGGCAGCATTAGCTAACTTCTTAAAAGCTTTATATTTTAGAAGGTGGAAGACCTGGATGCTTCATACTTTGTATAAAGAAGCCTTATGTTACGAAGTTTCCATCTGTCACATGTCCATTGTCCTTGACCTCATTTTCATGGTTCAGTGACTACTTGAAAAAAAAGTTAAGATTTTTTGTAATGTTAATTTCTCTCTTATTATGAGTAATAGGATAACTCTATTTGGTAATTGCGTACCTTGCAAGGTCCTCATGCCCGTCAGACAGTTTTCACTTGACCTTGACCTGGTTTCATGGATCAGTGAACAAGGTTAAGTTTTGGTGGTCAAGTCCATATCTCAGATACTAGAAGCAATAGGTCTAGCATATTCGGTGTATGGAAGGACTGTAAGGTGTACATGTCCAACTGGCAGGTGTCATCTGACCTTGACCTCATTTTCATGGTTCAGTGGTTATAGTTAAGTTTTTATACGACCGCAAAAAAATTTTGTGGTCGTATATTGGTATGACGTTGGCGTCATCGTCGACATTGTCGTCGTTGTCGTCGTCCGAAGACACATTGGTTTTCGCACTCTAACTTTAGTTTAAGTGAATGGATCTCTATGAAATTTTACCATAAGGTTCAATACCACAAAAGGAAGGTGGATATTGATTTTGGGGGTTATGGTACTAACAGTTAAGGAATTAGGGGCCAAAAATAAGCATTTTTGTAACTTCCAGACATAACTTGTGTGTTAGTGTATGGATCTCTCTGACATTGTACCACAAGGTTCCATATCACAAAGGGAATGCTGGGATTGATTTTGGGGGTAATTGTCTCCAAATTTTAGGAATTAGGGGCCAAAAAGGGGCCAAAAAAACAAGCATTTTCTACTTTCATGACAATAACTTGTGTGTAAGTGTATGGATCTCTCTGACATTGTACCACACGGTTCCATATCACAAAGGGAAAGCTGGGATTGATTTTGGGGGTAATTGCCTTCAAATTTTAGGAATTAGGGGCCAAAAAGGGTCAAAAAACAAGCATTTTTCTAGTTTCATGACAATAACTTGTGTGTAAGTGTATGGATCTTTATTAAATTGTACTACAAGGTTCCATATCGCAAAGGGAAAGCTGGAATTGAGTTTGGGGGTAATTGCCCAAAACGTTTAGGAATAAGGGGCCAAAAAGGGGCCAAAAATAAGCATTTTTCTAGTTTCCAGACAATAACTTGTGTTCAAGTGTATGGATCTCTCTGAAATTGTACTGCAAGGTACCATACCACAAAGGGAAGGCTGGGATTGATTTTTGGGGTAATCGCCTCAAAATTTTAGGAATTAGGGGCCAAAAGGGGGAAAAAAACAAGCATTTTTCTAGTTTCAGGACAATAACTTGTGTGTAAGTGTATTGATCTTTATGAAATTGTACTACAAGGTTCCATATCACAAAGGGGAAGCTTGGTTTGAGTTTGGGGGTAATTGCCCTAAACGTTTAGGAATTTGGGGCCAAAAAACAAGCATTTTTCTAGTTTCCAGACAATAACTTGTGTTCAAGTGTATGGATCTCTCTGAAATTGTACTGCAAGGTACCATACCACAAAGGGAAGGCTGGGATTGAGTTTGTGGGTGATGAATCATAAGGGGGTTCAAAAAATTTGGGGGGGGGGGATTTTTTTTTCCTTTTTCTTCTTTAAAATTTTCCATTTTAAATTGGTTATTTCTGATTTATATATAAAAGCAAATAATAATGATATTGTTTGAATAGGTAAATTAAAATTTTTTAAGTTCTGAGACCACATTCATTCTGTGTCAGAAACCTATGCTGTGTCAAATATTTAATTACAATCCAAATTCAGTGCTGTATCAAGCTTGAATGTTGTGTCCATTCTTGCCCCAACTGTTCAGGGTTCGACCTCTGCGGTCGTATCAAGCTGCGCCCCAGCAGAGCATTTTATTTTTGTGTTTTGGTCTGTTTTTCTTATACTGTATGCAATAGGTCTACTATATTTGGTGTATGGAATGATTGTAAGGTGTACATGTCTAGCTGGCAGGTGTCTTCTGACCTTGACCTCATTTTCATGGTTCATTGGTCAATGTTTAGTTTTCTTGGTTAAGTCTGTACCTTAGAAACTATAAACAATAGGTCAACTATATTTAGATTTATATTTAAGATTGTAAGGTGTACATGTATTTCTTGTTTGGTTTATATGACCTTGACCTCATTTTCTTGGATCATGTTAAATGTATGTGATAGTTGTAGTAAAGCTTTATATTTAGGACTATCCACATAATATCAATGATTAGTAAAGAAGGCGAGACATTTCATCGTGTGCACTCTTGTGATTAGCTAATTATCACTAATCACCATTGTTTCCCATTGGAAAAGTTCAAATTAGGAATCAACAATTTTTTATATAGATTTCCCAAAATCATGTTTTAGAGCTTTATTCATTGTGCAGTCAGGACAAAAGATAAAAATCGTGTAGTTCACGTCTAAATTGTGAAAGTTGGCTTATATTAAAATCTGACTGTTAAAATATCACCACTGAGGTTTTTTTTATGCCCTATTTTTGGGCATTATGTTTTTTGGTCTGTGCATTCGTTCGTTCGTCCATTCGTTTGTCCGTCTGTCCCGCTTCAGGTTAAAGTTTTTGGTCAAGGTAGTTTTTGATGAAGTTGAAGTCCAATCAACTTGAAACTTAGTACACATGTTCCTTATGATATGATCTTTCTAATTTTAATGCCAAATTAGAGTTTTGACCCCAATTTCACGGTCATCTGAACATAGAAAATGATAGTGCGAGTGGGGCATCAGTGTACTATGGACACATTCTTGTTGAGTCATGTAGTAATAACTATGTCCATCTTTCTGTCTAATTTACTTAAACTTACTCATTCATAGCAGAATAAAGAACCAAGATATACGCAAAATTCTGTGCTGGTGTAATTTCATGTATGTGTATGAAAGCTGACTTATTGTAAAATACATATATATAAAATATGGTAAAGCTGTTATTGCTTATTGAGATTTTCCAGATTGAAGCTTTTTGAACTTAATATTTGAAGATCTGCTTTCTTCATAAAATTATTTGAAGTTTCTCAATTATCTTGTATTAACAGTTTGTATAAAAGACATTAGTCGGTCAGATATCAGTACAGTTAAACATGTATAAACCGACAGGCTATGGGACTATGAAAAAGGGCGGGTTTGGACAGTGGGTCCTTTAATTCATGTTTCTGTTTTAACAGGAAGTTATTGACTTGTAATGAGATATTTTGCATGTTAAATTTCTGTCTAATTGTAAATTGTAAACTGATAAAAACAAATACTGTAATAATCTGTTTATCAAAAGTTATGTCATGATTTGTGTGAAAATATTGTGACATGAACATTACTGTAACAAATGTTCCTTGCCTTTCACCATTGAACTAAAAACAATTGTTGTTTTGAGTCTTCGTATTCATTGGCATTTTAATTTAGAAATATCTGAAATTGGTTGTCCCCCGAATTCAAAAAATCATATTCTAACTTTTTAGCTCACCTGGCCCGAAGGGCCAAGTGAGCTTTTCTCATCACTTGGCGTCCGTCGTCGTCGTCGTTAACTTTTTATACGACCGCAAAAAAATTTTGTGGTCGTATATTGGTATGACGTTGGCGTCGTCGTCGTCCGTAGACACATTGGTTTTCGCACTCTAACTTTAGTTTAAGTGAATGGATCTTTTTGAAATTTTTTACCATAAGGTTAAATACCACAAAAGGAAGGTTGGGATTGATTTTGGGGGTTATGGTACCAACAGTTAAGGAATTAGGGGCCAAAAAGGGGCCAAAAATAAGCATTTTCTAGTTTCCAGACAATAACTGTGGAACGGCGTATGGATCTCTCTGAAATTATACTACAAGTTTCCATACCACAAAGGGATGGTTAGGATTTGCTTTGGGGGGTTATGGCTCAAACCGTTTAGGAATTAGGGGCAAAAAAGGGGGAAAAACAAGGTTGTCCTGGTTAATGGACAAATACTTTAGTACAAAACATAATTTAAAGCAGTGTAAGGGAGATAAATCAAATACATCATTGAAATTATCTCCCCTACACTGCTTTTAAATTATGTATAAAGTAATGGTTAATGAACAATAAAGATAATTTAAAACAGTGTAAGGGAGGTAATCCAAATTTTTTTTTAACAAAAAAATCCATATGAAAGATTTGACACTATATTTTTAATTCTATTATAAAATAGATTAAGTTAGCACTATGGTAAATTTAAATGGGTAATTATGGTTGCCAACTCCATTGGAAATTTGAATTGAGATTATGACCATATCTTGAGGGAAAGAATTTTTTGGGGGAAAAAAGGGGGGGGGGGGGGGGGGTAAAAAGAAATTGTGGGGGGATCAATTTTTTCTCATTTCAGATTTCAGAAATTAAAAAGAATTATTCTTCAAATATTATTTTTTTTCAAATTTCAAATATTGAAAAATTTCAAGAAGTAATCTTTAATTGCACAGTATGGCGCATTAGATTTGTAAAATCTTTGATCACATTTATTTATTTGTTATGCCGAATCTAACAGTGTATTTAGATTTTTAATTTTGGGTCCAGTTTTCAAATTGGTCTACATTAAGGTCCAAAGGGTCCAAGATTAAACTTTGTTTGATTTTAGCAAAAATTGAATATATGAGGTTCTTTGATATGCTGAATCTAAACATGTATTTAGATTTTTGATTTTTGGCCCAGTTTTTCAAGTTGGTCCAAATTGGGGTCCAAAATTAAACTTTGTTTGATTTCAACAAAAATTGAATATATGGGGTTCTTTGATATGCTGAATCTAACCATGTATTTAGATTTTTTATTTGTGGACCCCGTTATCAAATTGGTTCATATTGAGGTCAAAAGGGTCCAAAATTAAACTTTGTTTGATTTCATCTAAAATTGAATTATTGGGGTTCTTTGATATCCCAAATCTAACCGTGTATTTAGATTTTTAATTTTGGTTCCTGTTTTTTAAATTGGTCTACATTAAGGTCCAAAGGGTCCAAAATTAAACTTAGTTTGATTTTAACAAAAATTGAATTCTTGGGGTTCTTTTATATGCTGAATCTAAACATGTGTTTAGATTTTTGATTATGGGCCCAGTTTTCAAGTTGGTCCAAGATAGGGTCCAGTATTTAAACTTTGTTTGATTTCAACAAAAATTGAATATATGGGGTTCTTTGATATGCTGAATCTAAACGTGTATTTAGATTTTTGATTATGGGCCCAGTTTTCAAGTTGGTTCAAATTGGGGTCCAAAATTAAACTTTGTTTGATTTCAACAAAAATTGAATATATGAGGTTCTTTGATATGCTGAATCTAACCATGTATATAGATTTTTTATTTGTGGGCCCCGCTATCAAATTGGTTCATATTGAGGTCAAAAGGGTCCAAAATTAAACTTTGTTTGATTTCATCAAAAATTGAATTATTGGGGTTCTTTGATATGCCAAATCTAACTGTGTTTTTAGATTTTTAATTTGGGTCCCTTTTTTTAAATTGATCTTCATTGAGGTCCAAAGGGTCCAAAATTAAACTTAGTTTGATTTTAACAAAAATTGAATTCTTGGGGTTCTTTGATATGCTGAATCTAAACATGTGTTTAGATTTTTGATTATGGGCCCAGTTTTCAAGTTGGTCCAAGTTGGGGTCTAAAATTAAACTTTTTTTTATTTCAACAAAAATTGAATATATGGGGTTCTTTGATATGCTGAATCTAACCATGAATTTAGATTTTTTATTTGTGGGCCCCGCTATCAAATTGGTTCATATTGAGGTCAAAAGGGTCCAAAATTAAACTTTGTTTGATTTCATCAAAAATTGAATTATTTGGGTTCTTTGATATTCCAAATCTAACCGTGTATTTAGATTTTTAATTTTAAGTCCCGTTTTTTAAATTGGTCTACATTAAGGTCCAAAGGGTCCAAAATTAAACTTAGTTTGATTTTAGCAAAAATTGAATTCTTGGGGTTCTTTGATATGCTGAATCTAAACATGTGTTTAGATTTTTGATTATGGGCCCAGTTTTCAAGTTTGTCCAAGTTGGGGTCCAAAATTAAACTTTGTTTGATTTTAACAAAAATTGAATATATGGGGTTCTTTGATATGCTGAATCTAACCATGTATTTAGATTTTGGACATTGGACCATAATAGGTAAATTAAAAAAATTCAAGTTCTTAGACCACATTCTTTCTGTGTCAGAAACCTATGCTGTGTCAAATATTTAATAACAATCCAAATTCAGAGCTGTATCAAGCTTGAATGTTGTGTCCATAATTGCCCCAACTGTTCAGGGTTCGACCTCTGCGGTCGTATCAAGCTGCGCCCCAGCGAAGCATTTTATTACATTTTGAACTTCTTCTAGAGAACCACTGAATGGAATGAAACCAAACATGGCATGAATGTTCCTTATGAGATGTTGACCAAGTGTTGTTACTTTGCAGTCGGTCCATCATCCAAGATGGCCGCCAGCGGGGGACTTAGTTTAACATAGGACCCTATGGGAAATACATACAAATGTCTTCTTTTAGAGAACCACTGAATGGAATGAAACCAAACATGGCATGAATGTTCCTTATGAGGTGATGACCAAGTGTTGTTGCTTTTCAGTCGGTCCATCATCCAAGATGGCCGACAGCGGGGGATTTAGTTTAACATAGGACCCTATGGAAAATACATACAAATGTCTTCTATTAGAAAACCACTGAATGGAATGGAACCAAATATGGCATGAATGTTCCTTATGAGGTGCTGACCAAGTGTTGTTACTTTGCAGCAGATCCAATATCCAAGATGGCCGCTAGGGGGGGGGGGGGGGGGGGGGGCTTAGTTTAACATAGGACCCTATGGGAAATACATACAAATGTCTTCTTTTAGAGTACCACTGAATGGAATGAAACCAAACATAGCATGAATGTTTCTTATGAGGTGCTGACCAAGTGTTGCTACTTTGTTGCCGATTTACTGTTCAAGATGGCCACCAGGATATTTTATTAAATAACGGGACCAATATTAATCCAAATTTGGCCTCAATCATTATTTGGGTATCTGTTATGATTTTTATCTATATTTACATGATTTCTAAAACCAAAGTAGAGTCAGGTGAGCGACACAGGCTCTTGAGAGCCTCTAGTTTTTACATATCCTCGTATGTCAAATCAATCTCTGTAGCAATAGTCTCTGACTCGTCAGTTTCAGTTTCACTTTGAGTTCATTGTTTTCATTTGCATTAATATCCTCGTTGTTTGAATTGTTCAAGGAGAGTTTTGTTTTACTTTCATCATTCATTTCTTACGTTGGTATAGAAGATAAAAAAGCAAGAATTTTATCAAACTAAATTTCATCATGATCGAAACATTGTCGTACAATGTACGATATCCATAAACCTGACAATGGATTATCGTCATCCGGGTCTTCTTTATTATCAGGGTTGTGAAACCCAGCATTTTGAAAACGCTATGTAAATTTCTTACTTCACGATTTGAAAATTTATCAAAACGTAAGTTCTATTCATGATATATTAGAGTTTCTTTTACTTCATTTTAATTAAAACTTAATAGTGTTTCAATAATAAAGCTACTGTAAGTTCAAGGTTTAACACCTTGCTAATTGATTATCCTGAAAAACCATCTTGTATAAGCAATTATGTCTTTATTGCATATCAATCAATACTGTTATCATGCTACATTAATTAAACCAACCGATTTTGTCAGGTAATAATTAATGTAATGTAAGAGAATTGGGACTGCATAATTAGATCGGAATTTGGAATATACAATGTCCAGTTTACAGGAGGTATTTTTACGAAGACTTTGAAGGGGAAAATATGGGACTTCAATTTTCGGCCGGAATGGAAGCAGGTTTATTCAGGGTTCCTTTTGCCCAGGTTTGACTGTATATATATGGTTTTCTCCAAAAACTGCTAAAGATAGCTCCAATGTGATTTATGTCATTGATATGTATATGTGATTCTCCCTACACAAAATGATAATTTGCTGTAAGATGTTTTATACAAATATTTGATGAGGAATAACATATCCTTTTGAGCAGGAACTATGTACCCTTATACACTACTTGAACAGTGTCAAGTATAAGTCAAATAAGTCGATTTCGACATATTTATGATATCATTAATAGCATTTCTGAGCTAAATGGTCAAGATAGTATCATTTTATTCTTTTTTCATGAAAACTTTTTTAACAAAAAATAAAATATTGCAATTTAGACTCCTCCTTTCACTTCATGTAGTTTTCTAGAGTTATGTCCCTATGAACATAGAAAATTTAAAGAATTAATTAATTATTCCCATATGTGACAATGTTTTAATGCTGACAGCAGTGACTAAGGGCTTAAGTTGTTCAGTTTTGCTTAAATATTCAATTCATACAAAATAAACATTGAAGAGACAATTAGATATTTTTCTAATGTAGAAGTATTGATGCTAAGATTTTTTTCTGTTAACAGGACTTGCAGTAATGATTTTGTTAATTCCATTAAATGCTGCCATCTCTGTCAAACAACGTAACATGCAGACAGCTCTGATGAGATACAAAGATGCTAGACTGAAGTTAATGAATGAAGTTCTCAGTGGTATTAAGGTATGGACAAGATAGTGTATCACAGAAATTATGAAGTCCTCTTGTTTTTAGATATGAATGGATTAGACATATTTTATAATAGGGAGATGTGGTATGATTGCCAATGAGACAACTATCCACTAGAGTTCAAATAAGTAGATGTAAGCTATTTTAGGTCACCATACAGCCTTCAACAATGAGAAAAACCCATACTGTGTGGTCAAGACATATTTTAGAATAAGGAGATGTGGTATGATTGCCAATGAGACAACTATCCTCTAAGAGTTCAAATAAGTAGATATAAGCAATTATAGGTCACCATATGGCTTTCAACAATGTGAAAAACCCATACCGTATAGTCAGCTAGAAAAAGCCCTGACATGAAAAAGTGAAACAATTAGAAAGAGAAAACTAACGGCCTAATTCATAACAAAACAATTTACGAAAAATATATATGACAGACATAAACCAATGACAACCAATGATTTACAGCCTCCTGACTAGGAACAGGCACATAAAGAATGTGGTTTGTTTATGTATTTTGCTATATACCAAATTTAGATTTAAGATCATTGTAGAAAAAATATGCTGTACATATTTACATTTACTGTCTGTAATTATAGTGAACCAATAATGGGATGCCTACAATATCGTCTTGAATCTTTGTAGGTTTTGAAACTGTATGCTTGGGAACAATCATTCCAGCAGAAAATTATAGACATCAGAAACAAAGAACTGGGTATTCTGAAGAGCTATGGCTACCTCCAGGCATTTAGTACCTTCTCCTTCACTTGTGCTCCTTTTCTGGTAAGATTTTTACATTAGATTGATTAGCACTTCTTGATTCAAATAGCGTCATTGACACTTATTATTGGGTACTGACATGAAAATATGGATTTTTTTTGCCCCCAACGTAGCGGAGGGGGCATTAAGTTTTACCCTTGTCTGTCTGTACGTCCGTCCGTATGTCTGTCCATACATACGTACATCCCAAAATTGGTTTCCGTTCTCTAACTTAAGTTTGCCTCAACCAAATGTTATGAAACTTATACACAATGCTTATTACCACAAAACACGGATCAAGTTTGAATTTCTGTGGCGTCACTTTTATCGTTCTAGAGTTATGCCCCTTTACAAATGGAAAAATTGCTGAAATATTCGTTTCTGTTCTCTAACTTTAGTTTGCCGCAACTAAATGTTATGAAACTTATGCACAATGCTAATTACCAGAAAACACAGATCAAATTTGAATTTTTGTGGCGTCACTTTTACTGTTCTAGAGTTATGCCCCTTTACAAATGGAAAAATTGCTGAATTTTTCGTTTCTGTTCTCTAACTTAAGAGTGCCTCAACTAAATGTTATGAAACGTATACACAATGCTTAGATCAAGTACAAATTTGGGTAGCGTCACTTTTACAGTTTTTGAGTTATGTCCTTTTATAACGTTATATGCAAGTGGGAGCATCATCTGTGTCCCATGGACACATTCCCCATTTATTTTATTAAAATTTGGAAATCATTTTAAAGTAAGTAATGTAATAATAATAATAATAATAATAATAATAATAATGATAACTTTATTTAAAAGAGGTTGACTCAATTATCATTCACTAATCTACATTGAGGCCCTCACAAAAAACATACAGAACAAATATTACAGATATTACAATTTTAGAACATATATCTAAACTTTCATGCTAGATGATTGTCTGTAGAACAAGAAAAACAAAATAATACATTCTACACAAACATTAAAAGACATGATAGAGTTTGAGAGTTGTTACATATCATTTATAGTTAAAAAATCTACACATTTTCTTTTAAAAATTCCTGAGATTCTATCTCTCCTGCATAGCTCTGATTCCTTGTCACTTCTTGTCTTTATCTTTCGTCTTATTTGTATTTATCAGCACTACAACATTTGTATTAGGCTTTGGACTATTACATATTTTGGTCTTCAGCATAACTCAAGATATGTTAGTTGTCAAATATGCATCTAGTGCAGTAAAATTGGTATTGTTAATGTTTCATCATAAGAAACTGTAAAAATTAAATACAAATGAGACTACATGAAATGTATTTTATAGCATCTATTTTAAGGCCCTTTTCAATTCAAAAGAATCACTGAATTGTCAAGTTGACAAATTTGATGTCATACAAATCTTATTTACAATTCTGAATGCTTTCATTGTCCCTCTTTTACACAATGCATACATAAATACTGTGTACAATATTATGTTAGTTTTGAATTAGTTCTGTGTATTTCTTTTTTAAATCCCCAAAATAAAAATCTGTCAAATGTTATCTTTACAATGTACCAGCTTCCAGTTGTACATTTTTATTGTGTTGGTACATTTTGCAAAGCCAAAGATATTTCATAAAATATTTCTTCATTGTTGAGTATATTTATAGCAAAATTGACCATTTGCATGAGGTAAGATAATTTTAGACATTACTGGACTGAAGTGACTTATCTTATTACAAAACTAGTGTTACTTTTATAAACATATTAAACTTGTATGCAAATTTGTCCACCATTACTTAAAACCACACAAGTTCACTGAAAATGTTGACTCACAATTTAAAAAATTAAACGTCATAATTAAAAAGTGATTGTTGTATGACGTCAGAAGGTTATTAGTAAACAGATCTAGAGTCAATCAGAGACAAAGTTCAGCTAAATACCCAAAGTGTAAATACAACTATTATGAAATGATATACATGTATGCATGAAAATATTTTGAACATTATATTTCAGGTAACACTTGCCTCATTTGCCACCTATGTACTGATATCAGATGAGAATTACCTGGACGCACAAAAAGCTTTTGTTTCCTTGTCGTTGTTTAATATACTCAGGTTTCCCATCAATCTACTACCCATGATGATCTCTTATGTTATACAGGTAGATAATATATTAAGATTCCCAATAGGCTGTTTTGTAAATTATAAACCTCATTTGATTTTATTTATAATATTGGTCAAGGCCTTGAAGGCTGCTAGTGGGAAGTAGACTACCTTGACCTATAATGGTTTTACTTTTACAAAGTGTGACTTGGATGAAGAGTTGTCTCATTGGCACTCATACCACATCTTCTTATATCTATCTATATAAGAACTAAGATTTGTCATTACTCCTAATCACAGTTTTTAAAACTGTTGTGTTTGTCAGTCATGACCTTTAATTTCATTTTTGACCATCTAATTGCAGGTATACAACTATCACATAATTTAGAAAAAAAATTAGTTTAAGGTGATCTTTTTGACTAAACACATTCCCTAGCAGAGGCATACCACTTTGTTTGCATAATTACAAATATGTGCATATGCTCAGGTGTGAAATTTAGAAATATGAATTAGAAAGATTTCAAGATGAAAAATAAGTTATACAAAGTATTTTATGTTATCTCGAGTATTTACTTGAAGAAGTAACTAGAAAGAACTGCTCAGGTCAAGAATATGTACACAGATTTCACATATTCAGTCTCTTACATATGACAGACTATCTTTGTCTTGTCAATATACAGAAAATGTGTACTTTAAAACAATAGTAAAGTTTCTAATCAGAGTTTGATTGCATTAATACAGAGCAAAATGCAAACATAAGTCCACTGATGTTCCACACTTCAAATGGTTCACTGTCAGTTAACGGAACTCTTAAAATTTGCTGTTATAAAATTTTTGAATTTATTTTAAATAAAGGAATATATTTTCCTCAAGCAAATCTCTGATTCCTTTTCCAGATTATACTTTAGGTCCTTTTTGGTTTTATCAGCTCATCAAGATTTTTATAAGTTATGGTTTTTGTCTCGCCTTGACGGAGTCAAAAAGCGAGACATAGGTATGCTGTTTCCGGCGGCTGCAGCGTCAACAATGTATTAGTTTTTGATTAGGTCTAGTTTAAGGTGAACCACTAGTGGTTGGTCAATGGTATTTGGTATGCAGTTGTATTAGCACTGGCACATCTCATTTCCATGGAGATTATTTGGCCTTGCCCCCTCAGTCATGGTCTATTGACTTTGAAACTTTTGCTTAGTTTACATGTATTAGTTTGTGATTAGGTCAGATTATGGGGAACCACTAGTGGTAAGTCAATGATATTTGGTATGCAGTTGTATAAGCATTGGCATATCTCATTTCCATGGAGATTATTTGACTCTGCCCCCTCAGTCATGGTCTATTGACTTTAAAACTTTTGCTTAGTTTGTGATTAGGTCAGTTCAAGGGGAACCATTAGTGGTAGGCCAATGTTAATTGGTATGCAATTGTATAAACATTAGCACATCCCATTTCCATGGAGAATATATGGTCCCGCCCTCTCAGTCATGGTCTATTGACTTTGAAACTTTTGCTTAGTTTACATGTATTAGTTTGTGATTAGATCAGTTTAAGATGAACCGCTAATGTTAAGTCAATGACATTTGGTATGCAAATTTATTGGCATTTGCAAGTCTCGTTTCCCTGGAGATTATATAGCTCCACCCCCTCATCATGGTTCATTAAATTTGAAACTTTTACATAGTTTACAAATCAATGTTTGTGTTTAGGTTTGTTGAAAGGGAACGACTGATGATAAATCTATGGTATTTGGTATGCAGTTGTATTAGCATTGGCACATCTCATTTCCATGGAGATTGTTTTGCCATGTAACTTCAGTCATGGTTCATTGACTTTGAATATTTGCATAACTTACATGTTAGAGTATTGCTATTTTAATTTCAACATTTGCATTATCAAAAGTACAAAAAGGCAAGACATATCTCTGTGTTAACGGTTTATTTCAAATATATTGGCCTCGAGCATCACTGAATTGTTGAAATATTCATGTGGTGGAGTAAAATGGTACCGTGAATGTTATTTTCAATGTAAGAGTAAATGGAAGTTACTGGAATCCTTATCAAAAGTAATTGTTCATTGCCCTTGATAGGTTACAATGCCTTTAGTTACAGAGTCTAAATAGATGAAAAACAGGATAGAAAAAAAGATGTCCAGCTAGATCAAATCTTATTTGGATTGATTGATTAGTGCTTCCTTACTTTAATATTTGGCAAATATTTTATGCATATTTAGAATGAGAACAAATTAGAAATTTATATAAAAGATAGGTTGTGCAAGGAAGGGCGGTTTTTGACTGTAATTATGGATAGGGGCAGAAATTTTGCCTTGCAATAGGCCTTTGTATCCACCCCTCACAGAGTTGTTGCAAGGGTTCTTTAATATGTAGAAAGTGTGGCACTCAATCCACCAGAGGCATCAGATTTAACATCCCCAGTTCGACTGTGGAGCTGTGAGTTTATACATCCCGCACAGCTAAACAGACACCCCACTTTAGCAAGGGTTTTTCTGCCAAACAGGAGAAGTCTAGGAATGACCATATTTCTACACAAATAAACCCTTGGGTTAACCTTTTTTGAAACCCTGCTGCTAACCTTACACTTCATATGACTTGTAAAATAAATTCAGAATTAAGTATCAGCAGATTGTTTTTATAAATAAACAAATTACAAGAAAGTCAAGAAAAAGCCATTTAGGATGTAAGGACCTCTGTGACCAGTTAAAATAAACAAATTGAATTCTGCTCCAACGAACAGTCTATTATTATATTGGTCTAATTAGACATGTTAAAAAGATATTTTATCTTTGCATCATACAGAAAAGTTCAATGATATAGTGAGCTCAATACTACAAACTATCCGAAAGACTGCAAACATATTTTCATATAGCACTAACAGCAAATATATTTTCTTTATGTTCTCAGCTGAACGTATCTATTACAAGATTGAGCAAGTTTTTGAAGAATGGTGACCTTGACCCTGATAATGTTCAACACAGACCATTAGAAGGTAAATCTCTAGACATAGATATTTTTTTTATAGTTTGTATGTCTACTTTGAAGTATCAGATTTCTTACTTGTACTTTATGTAGATCTCTCTGTTATTTATAAAACTTGGTAATTGTATAAAATCCTTGAGTTTCCAAAATAACATCATAATCTATTCTTTTGATAATTTTTAACTGGGTTTTCTGAAGGAAAAAAACAATTATTGAATTGGTGCAGTACAATGGGCAGGCTGCTCCAGGCTGGCTGCTGCCAACAGTTTCGAGGCATTGACTTATGAACTGTTCAACCAAAGCTTTTCAAATTTTGATATGTTGATACTACATTTATATTACAAAATGGAGGTCAATTTTGATATTGACAATTTTCACTTTTACTGTTCAGGAGTTCAAAATACCAAAAAAACATAGTTTGCTGTCAATTTGACAGCTCATTCCTTGTTGAATGATATTGTGATATTGTTCAGTCTATGAACAATACAAAACGTACATTCTGTATGTTTTTTTTCTTTTCAAGCCAGGGGTTAAGGATATTATAAGTATGATAATTATAATACAGATGTACATTTATTTGTTAATAGGTGTAGCAATTAAAGTGGAAGGTGGAACATTCAGCTGGGACAAAGAACTTCAACCAGCCTTGAAGGAGTAAGATTTGATAACTTTGTTATAGTCTTATAGATAATCTTATTTATTTTGTGTTATGTTTTTATTTGTTTCTATATTGACAGCATATGCAAAGGGGGGGGGGGGATTGGTGGGGTGTGTGCCTCCATCATAATCTGAGCATGTACTAGTCTGAAAGAAAATCACAAGGTGAATACTAAAGAATACCATATGGACCATGAAGCTTTATTTGATTGATTGATTGATTGGTGTTTAACGCCACTGTCAACACTATTGTGCTATTTCGTGGCAGTCATTTTTATACGACCGTATGGTCGTATATTGGTATGACGTTGGCATCGTCGTCGCCGTTGTCGTCCGAAGACTCTAACTTTAGTTTAAGTGAATGGATCTCTATGAAATTTTACCATAAGGTTCAATACCACAAAAGGAAGGTGGGGATTGATTTTGGGGGTTATGGTACCAACAGCTAAGGAATTAGGGGCCAAAAATAAGCATTTTTGTAACTTCCAGACATAACTTGTGTGTTAGTGTATGGATCTCTCTGACATTGTACCACAAGGTTCCATATCACAAAGGGAATGCTGGGATTGATTTTGGGGGTAATTGCCTCCAAATTTTAGGAATTAGGGGTAAAAAAGGGGCAAAAAACAAGCATTTTTCTAGTTTCATGACAATAACTTGTGTGTAAGTGTATGGACCTCTCTGACATTGTACCACAAGGTTCCATATCACAAGGGGAATGCTGGGATTGATTTTGGGGGTAATTGCCTCCAAATTTTAGGAATTAGGGGCCAAAAAAGGGCAAAAAACAAGCATTTTTCTAGTTTCATGACAATAACTTGTGTGTAAGTGTATGGATCTTTATGAAATTGTACTACAAGGTTCCATATCACAAAGGGAAAGCTGGAATTGAGTTTGGGGGTAATTGCCCAAAACGTTTAGGAATAAGGGGCCAAAAATAAGCATTTTTCTAGTTTCCAGACAATTACTTGTGTTCAAGTGTATGGATCTCTCTGAAATTGTACTGCAAGGTACCATACCACAAAGGGAAGGCTGGGATTGATTTGGGGGTAATTGCCTCAAAATTTTAGGAATAAAGCGCCATAAAGGGGCAAAAAAACAAGCATTTTTCTAGTTTCACGACAATTACTTGTGTGTAAGTATATTGATCTTTATGAAATTCTACTACAAGGTTCCATATCACAAAGGGAAAGCTGGGTTTGAGTTTGGGGGTAATTGCCCTAAATGTTTAGGAATAAGGGGCCAAAAAGGGGCCAAAAAACAAGCATTTTTCTAGTTTCCAGACAATAACTTGTGTTCAAGTGTATGGATCTCTCTGAAATTGTACTGCAAGGTACCATACCACAAAGGGAAGGCTGGGATTGAGTGTCGGGGTGATGAATCATAAGGGGGTTCAAAAAATTTAGGGGGGTGGATTTTTTTTCCCTTTTTTTTCTTTAAAATTTTCCATTTTAAATTGGTTATTTCTGATTTATATATAAAAGCAAATAATAATGATATGGTTTGAATAGGTAAATTAAAATTTTTTAAGTTCTTAGACCACATTCATTCTGTGTCAGAAACCTATGCTGTGCCAAATATTTAATAACAATCCAAATTCTGTGTTGCATCAAGCTTGAATGTTGTGTCCATACTTGCCCCAACTGTTCAGGGTTCGACCTCTGCGGTCGTATCAAGCTGCGCCCCAGCAGAGCATTTTATTTATTGGTGGAGGAAGCCCGAGTGCCGGAGAGAACCACTGACCTTCGGTTGGAAACCTGACAATCCTAGTCAATTAAGACTGGAGTCAAGTGCACCTGCCCCATGCGGGATTTGAACTCACAACCTCAGTGTTAACAGGCTAGTGATACAGTAGTTCGACTACTTAGACCACTCGGCCACCGAGGCCCAAGCTTTAGTTGATGCAGGTACAAAATCTAAATTACCACTTTTACACATACTATGTATTCATTTATTTTAATGGATACCAATTTCCATGGATTGTGGAAAACTTACATAATATATATATTTGATTTTTGGGTTTTTGCCAAGATCTGCATACAAGCCTTTCTAATTAGTTGAACATTTATTTTGTGGTTCAATGGCATTCATGAAAATTGTTATCCTACAAACATAATGAATCCACAGTACTCCTTCTGTCAAACCATGAAAATTGGTATCCTACAAACTTAATGAATCCACTGTACTCCTTCTGTCAAACCATGAAAATTGGTATCCTACAAACATAATGGATCCACAGTACTCCTTCTGTCAAACCATGAAAATTGGTATCCTACAAACATAATGAATCCACAGTACTCCTTCTGTCAAACCATGAAAATTGGTATCCTACAAACTTAATGAATCTACAGTACTCCTTCTGTCAAACCATGAAAATTGGTATCCTACAAACATAATGAATCCACAGTACTCCTTCTGTCAAACCATGAAAATTGGTATCCTACAAACATAATGGATCCACATTACTCCTTCTGTCAAACCATGAAAATTGGTATCCTACAAACATAATGAATCCACAGTACTCCTTCTGTCAAACCATGAAAATTGGTATCCTACAAACTTTCCTTCTGTCAAACCATGAAAATTGGTATCCTACAAACTTAATGAATCCACTGTACTCCTTCTGTCAAACCATGAAAATTGGTATCCTACAAACATAATGGATCCACAGTACTCCTTCTGTCAAACCATGAAAATTGGTATCCTACAAACATAATGAATCCACAGTACTCCTTCTGTCAAACCATGAAAATTGGTATCCTACAAACTTAATGAATCTACAGTACTCCTTCTGTCAAACCATGAAAATTGGTATCCTACAAACATAATGAATCCACAGTACTCCTTCTGTCAAACCATGAAAATTGGTATCCTACAAACATAATGGATCCACATTACTCCTTCTGTCAAACCATGAAAATTGGTATCCTACAAACATAATGAATCCACAGTACTCCTTCTGTCAAACCATGAAAATTGGTATCCTACAAACTTTCCTTCTGTCAAACCATGAAAATTGGTATCCTACAAACTTAATGGATCCACAGTACTCCTTCTGTCAAACCATGAAAATTGGTATCCTACAAACATAATGAATCCACAGTACTCCTTCTGTCAAACCATGAAAATTGGTATCCTACAAACTTAATGAATCCACAGTACTCCTTCTGTCAAACCATGGAAATTGGTATCGTACAAACATAATGAATCCACAGTACTCCTTCTGTCAAACCATGAAAATTGGTATCCTACAAACATAATGAATCCACAGTACTCCTCCTGTCAAACAAAGCCTTTTCTAACCAAGAACATTTATTACAAAACAATAACTTGCATACTTACAAGATGTTAAACAAATTAAATATAATACAGCTCCACATGACATGGAAAGTTCAAAACATGTTTGATATTTATAGATAATTTAAGAAGGACTCTTAGCGGATACTATTGTTGCTATACTTATTTACATTCATTCAAATACTGGTACCTGAACATTGTTACTATACTTATAAACAATACATTCAAATACTGGTACCTGAACATTGTTACTATACTTGTAAACAATACATTCAAATACTGGTACCTGAACATTGTTACTATACTTGTAAACAATACATTCAAATACTGATACCTGAACATTGTTACTATACTTATAAACAATACATTCAAATACTGGTACCTGAACATTGTTACTATACTTGTAAACAATACATTCAATTACTGGTACCTGAACATTGTTACTATACTTGTAAACAATACATTCAAATACTGGTACCTGAACATTGTTACTATACTTGTAAACAATACATTCAAATACTGGTACCTGAACATTGTTACTATACTTATAAACAATACATTCAAATACTGGTACCTGAACATTGTTACTATACTTATAAAACAATACATTCAAATACAGGTACCTGAACATTGTTACTTTACTTATAAAACAATACATTCCCTGAACATTGTTACTATACATGTACTTATAAAACAATACATTCAAATACTGGTACCTGAACATAATAACTATACTTATAAACAATACATTCAAATACTGGTACCTGAACAAGTAAATTGTGGCAAATTTCTTGTGAAGAAAGCTACATGAATTTCATGCATGATATGTAAGAGATCCACATGATATGTAAGAAATCCACATGATATTTAAGTGATCCACATGATATTGAAAGAAGGTTGACATATGTTGTCTCATGTGTAAAACCAGCTAAGGGATATATGATTATTTCAAACAAAATTGATGTCCAATTTATGTGAATTTTAGATGCAAATAATTTATGTGAGTGGAACTTTGTGTATATTTCAGCATAGATTTAGAGGTTAAGGAAGGTAAACTTGTAGCAGTTGTGGGAACAGTAGGAGCAGGGAAATCATCTCTTATCTCTGCCTTTCTTGGAGAAATGGAGAAACTTAATGGCAATGTTAATGTTAAGGTTAGTAATGGGGCCTGGGGAGGGGAAAAAATTAAGAAATAGTCAATGCAAGCAAACATAGTTAGTTACTAAACTAAAAACAAAATTTGAAGGAAAACAAAAACATTGGGTCTAATTATTTTGTCCGTGGATCAGGTATAATATAAGGTGCTTCAGTGATTTTCAGAGTGCTGGGATACAGCAGATGAGCTGACTTGTAAGTTTTTATGGTGATGGCCAAAAACAAAAAAATTTTGTAATTAGGTTTAATAATCAAACCAACGCTTCAAAGTAGAGATTGGTGGATATTCTTTTTTAATTTTGTCCACCTTTTTATCCTGTTTACCAAATACTTGAATAATTTTACCTATATTAATGGCCATGTATTGAATTTTGATTGCATTTTCTCAGGAACTTAAATCAATGCTTTATGAAATTTGGAATTGAGCTTCATGTGAGCATGCTATAAATACATATTTCTGATAATCTAAATCTTTTTGACTAAACTTATTAGGCGCAAACAACTGAAATTTAAGAAAATAACTTTAAATAGACCAATCAATGTCTGGTACAAAATAGTTGACCTGTCGCCTGAACAGGTAAATTTTAGCTGTCAGATAACTAATTAACCTTGATTATAATTTGATGGTATTAAAGTAGGGTTAAATGACAAACCCATGTTATATGTCTGTTTCAGGTTCGGCACAACAAGTCAAAAATATGATTTAACGGTGAAGTCCAGACAATACGACCTTTTGAAAGCCCTGCTTTAAAGACATAGAACAGCAGTGTTATCAATTGATGAAATTTACTTTTATTCTTTCCATAAAAAACAGAAAAAATATGTGCACATTCAAATCTACACAAATTATTTCTGTTATAGGGTCAGACATGAATAGCTTTTCAAAGTGAATTTCTATTGTTAAAATATTCAGACTGCCACTTTTCGAGAACTCTGTTAAAATCCTAAATGCCATCATTTTGTAAGCGTTCTTAAACAAGGAGACATAAGATAATTGTATTTTATATTTTGTTGCCAGGGTTCAATAGCCTATGTGCCACAGCAAGCGTGGATACAGAATGCCACTGTTAGAGATAATATATTATTTGGTAAAGAGATGGACGAGTGTAAATATAACAATGTTGTGGAGTCGTGTGCTCTTAAGTCAGACTTTGAAATACTGACAGGTGGAGATCTGACAGAGATTGGAGAAAAGGTATTATTAGTATACATTGTCATATGGGGTTAAATATTGTATCCATATCCAACAAAACACAATTGTTTGGGATTGATGTAAAAAAAAAACATACATTAGTTTTATTATATATTTTATAAAATGTACTGTGAATTCATTTATTTTTGTGGATACTCAATTTTCTTAGATTGAAGAAAAATGTATTTTTGTGGCTATTTGATTTCAGGGTTTTGTCAAAGACTGCCTGTATATACAAGCCTATAGAAAATTTATATTTTGTTGAACATTTAAATTTGTGTTTTGCCTATACCCATGAAATGCATGATAAATTGGCATCCCACGAATAATAATGATTCCACAGTAAAAGATATTCATGTGATCACATGTGATTTTGTGAAACATGTTAAATTTCACAACTCAAATTATTGTAAACAAACTTGAAGTTATGACTAAAGGGAAATAATTCATTATTTTAAATTGCATGTTTGAATAATTTTCCCAATTGAAATTTTACCAAACACAAGTCTGAATAGTACTAATACTTAACATTATCATTTAACAAAAATTCAACTATATCAATATCTCCATCAAGGGAATACAATTTTCCTGACTCCACAATTTTTCATATCATTATTGGACAGGGGCATTAAATGTTACCCTTGACCTTCCATCATCCCATTTTTATTTCCGCATTTTAACTTAAGGATGTATTCTTCTGACGTTCTAGTCTTGTTGAAATCTCGTTCTGGAATTATTTCCAAAATATATGATACAAGTGGAAAATATAATGAATTTAAAAAATGTTATAATCAAACTTAACTCTGTGAAAAAATTGTGTATTTACAATGAGTAGTTTTTGAGAAATCAATTTTTCAAATTGTATTACCAATCAAGTCAGTCTTTTTAGCCAAAATTTTGAGAAAATGGGTGAGGGGTACAAGAAATGATTTTACCAGAAACATGTACATCCCATATCACTTTTTTCTTTTCAAATTTCTTAGATATGTATTTTTTCAATCATTTATAACAAAGAAGTTGAAATAATATGCATTTTGTTCTTAAAACAGAGAAAAATCACAAATTTACAAAATTGACAGCATGGTAAATTTGACACAAAAAAAGCATCAAAATATGATAAAACTTTCTTATATTAACACCTACCTATAGTTTTTTAAGTTAAATTTAATCAAATTGGTCTACTTCATCTTTATTGAAAGTATGAAAAAAAGTTTAATTGTGGAACAATGATTTTTTTCACGATAATAGCCCAAAAATGGTAAAATTTGATGAAAAATGGGAAAATCATCAAAATTGGGTACTTTCAAAGGGCCATAGCAAAAAAGAAGTGCACCACCATATGATTTTTTCTTCACCAATTATTTTTTTACAGTCATATAAACCCAAAAAATCAGGTTAAGAAAAAAAGTTTAATTCTAGAAATTTTTGGCTCCTCAGAGGTGTACATCCTTAAGTTTACCTATGGCAATTTAATGAAACTCATACAGAATGCTAAAAACCGCAACACACAAACAAAGTTTGAATTTGAATAGTGAGTCATTTACTGCACTTCAATAATAGTTTGGCCATTGGTTTCCAGGAAGATCAAAATCAGTTGAGTTGGTACATTTACATGGAATTAATTTTGGACAAAATCATAAGATCTGACTAAGCTTGAAACATGTCAGTGTAAGATAATGAAGATGGTTGATAATAAATATTAAAGCAGGCAATTAGTTTAAGTGGCCTACCAATTTAACAAGTTAGCTTGGCTTTTGTTGTATATAATATGTGTTTTACAGGGAATTAATTTGAGTGGTGGACAGAAACAGCGAGTAAGCTTGGCGAGAGCTGTATACAATAATGCTGATGTTTATATGTTAGATGATCCACTAAGTGCTGTAGATTCACATGTAGGAAAACATATCTTCAAGAATGTGATTGGTCGAGAAGGATTATTACAGAATAAGGTGAACAAGATTTTACGGTGTAGTTGTTGTTCTTGAAGGCTTATAAGGCAAATGAGCAAAACCTCATATATTTATGTACATTCACAAATTAATGCATGCATTTATTATTGTGAATCACCAAATAATTGTAAAAATGTGATGGCAAAACTTTTGTGAAGGAAATTGCTACTGAAATTTTTTATTATTTCAAACTTGATAATGTCACATTTTTCCCATTAATAAAAACATCAAAATAATTTTTGAGTTTACGTAATTTTAAACTGATTATTGGTACAAAAAAAAATATGTATTATTTTTATCTGTTGTTATGGATAATTATGAACAAATACTATATAATTGTAATGTTTACTTCTATGAGAAGCATTTAGCTTTTAGATGCAAGAGCGGAGACTTGTTAAATCAGGGTATTTACAATATTCTGGGATAACGAGATACTGTATCTTGCTGACTATTTACTTTACAAACCAGCATGCTAAAAATCTGGTTTAGCATGTCAGTCAAGTACAAAACAAAGTACTTAGCATAAAAATTAGATAGATATTTTGCTCCATCCAACTGTTTTTTTATGGTCTAATATATATATAGTTTTTGGGTTTTCAAGTGATCTCTTTCAATATATTTGTATTTTAGCAAGTTTTTAAATAATTTTTTTTCAGGAAAATCTGTACCAGACAAAAATTTTAAATTGAACAAAACAGAAAGTCAATATATTGTATGTTATAACTTTAAATATCAACAGGAATTTCATAATAAGAAAGAGTATACATGTATGGGGTAAAGTTGAAGAAGATAATTTCAAATAAGTTCAAATATTTTGACAATGTTTCCATGAGTTATGGGACTTTCACCATGAATAATATTTGGCCTACTATATCATAATGGCATTCTAAGACCTTTTGCAATACTCTTGCCTCTGAAATTGTTTGTTTATTTTGGTCACTTCTTAGTGTAAATTTAAATGAAAATTTAGTATTATGCCTAAATGTTAACAGCATTCCCCAAGTATTCAAAAGGACCAATTTCCATTGATATGTCAAGAATAAGGGAAATAATTCAAAAAGCTTCTAATTTCAATGAAATATGTCTTCTCAAAAATTTAATGTATTATGAGTGGTGGGGGACATTTCAATATGGCATAACTGTCTTTTATATATTTTAGAGGAGGGTTTTGAGAACACATGTAAGATAAATTACTGCAGGATTTTATTGAACTGTTAAATATTTTAAAAAAGTAATTTGTTAAAACATACAATACAATACAATACAATAATGCTATATAAAAACACTTTGTCAACTTCACATGTGAAACAAGAGGTACACATATACAAATTACATTCACTTACGACCATAGAGAGAAATAAAATAACTCTAAAATGGAATATATAATATTTACTATACTTTATAATACTTTAACTAGCTTTGAAACAAAAAAGATAAATTTTTTAGGATCTTTACATTACCCAATAATAGTAATCTTTTCATTTTGCTGCGCTGGGATATTTTACATAGTACTCTGAAATGTGTTGATTTCTGATATTTGTTACTAAGATGGAATTGCATTTGAATAAGTAATGGTATTCATTACCAGTAGCATTCCAACACATTTGACATGTTACTAGTCCCCTACCAACAAAGTCGAAGGGACTTTAGGTTTGCACTCCGTCCGTCCGTCCGTCTGTCTGTCTATCTGTCTGTCTGTCTGTCTATCCATCTGTCGGTCCATCTGTCAGTCCTGCAAATCAGTTTTCCAGAGTATTTTTCTTCGTGCTTGAAGATATTTGATTTGATATTTGGTTTATTGATTTATCATGACAAGTTACAGGTCAAGTTCAATTTTCACGATTTTAGCTTTTCTCTTTGTTCAGTTAAAGCCCTTTCCCTTGAATTAAATTTTTGATGAAATACTTATTAATTAGTAGATTTCTGTTCAAAGGGAAATAACTCATTTTTTAAAAGACAAAATGACATTTTGGATTTTATTCCTTTTCTTTGATAAATTGTTTGAAGAATTTAGTGGTAGGTTTGTTTGTCATACTTGAAGATATTGATTTGATAATTAGTATATAGTTTTATCATGACAAGTTACAGATCAAGTTGGAATTTTGTTCCAGTATGGTCTTTGGATATAGAAAATTCACTTAAATAATCAGTTTTCAACAGTTTTTTTCGTCATGCTTGAAGATTTTGACTTGATATTTTTATGTAGTTTACACCATGACAAGTTATAGATCAAGTTAGAATTTTGTTCCATTACAATGAATTTGTAACCGGTAGGGACTATGTATTGCCATGCAATACTCACAGAATGCTTGTTAAACATACATTACAATGGTTTTTTTTGCTATTTGTTTCAGACTAGAGTTTTGGTGACACATGGTATCCATTGGTTACCAATGGTTGACACTGTTGTCGTTATGTCTGATGGTGTAATATCAGAGATGGGTTCCTATGAGGAGTTAATGAGCCATGAAGGACCATTTGCACAGTTCCTAAAGGCTTACCTCATCCAGAAAGCAGAGACTGAGGACGATGAAGAAGAGGAAGAGGAAGACCCAGAAAGTAGGTCAAGAAGTTGTTTATTTTAATATCACTATTTATAATGATTTGAAAATTCAAGCTAAGCATTGCAAATGAAGATCATTTATGAATGCATGTAGAATATTTATTTGGACAGCTTTGTAGAATTATTTAGCCTTTGCCTTTTCTGACCTTCTAGGTTAAAAAATGAAAATAGCACTTTATAAATCTTATGCATTTGTAGTTCTTTTCTGGATTAAGATCAGGATGGCTCAAAGCCAAAAATTTGCTATGAAAGGATTTTTTTTATGCTTTAAAAAATGCTGAAATCATATGCAAAAATTCCTGAATTTAAGAAGGGCTATAATGTTCAAATTTTTTAAATGATTTTTGGAATCTTAAAATTATATTGAAATTACTTTTTTGAAAAAAAAAAAAAATATTTAGAAAGTCTTCTTATATTATTCTTTTCAGTACAACAGATGAAGAGTAAGATTTTAGAGCGATTAGAATCTGTTACCTCAGATACTGGTACTGCTACTTCAGGAGATGAAAGTAAAGTCAGGAAAAGGTTAGTAATTTGTTGTTATAAAATACTGGTACTTCTGGCATGGATATTCAAATTCAAATCTGGTGGTCAGTATTCCATCACTTTAGATGTTGGCAGCATAATGATAAACATTGTTGTCCCCAGCACAACACATTGCGGTGGAAATAGAAATGCCGGGGGTCCGTCTGTCCAGGCCTGTAAGCCCTCTCACGTGTACAATTCTTACCAGAATTTTATGAAACTTATATCATAGGTTTATATCAGCAATTTCTAGGACAAATTTGAAAATCAGTGCTGATCAATTATTTTTAAAAGAGTAATGCCCCGTGGAAACATTAATTATATGGAAAATTGCATTGTTAGTGTTCTCATTTGTACAATTCTTCCCAGAATTTTATAAAACTTATATCATAGGTTTATATTAGCAATGTCTTTGACGAGTTCGAAAATCAGTACTGATCAATTATTTTTTAAAGAGTTATGCCCCTTGGAAATATTATTTATATGGAAAATTGCATTCATAGCGCTCTCGTGTACAATTCCTGCCAAATTTTTTATGAAACTTGTATCATAAATTTATATCAGCAATGTCTTTGACACTTTCGAAAATATGTGCTGATCAAATAGTTTAAATGAGTTATGGCCCTTGGAAACTTTAATTATAACAGAAATCACATTGCATTTGCTCTGAAGCCTTCATTTCTTCACCTACTGAAGGTCATGGTTCTCTTGGGCAGTCCAGCTTCCTCCACCAATAAAAACTGACCGCCACGAAATAGCACAATAGTGTTGAAAGTGGTGTTTAACACCAATCAATCAATCATTTCTCCAAGATGTTTTTTATTTAAAGTTTTAAATAACCCCAAAAAAGTGTATTTTTTAGTTATTGCCCTTGTACCTTGGATAGATAAAATATGTGCAATGCGGGGAACATTGGAACTTTGTTCTTTTATTTAGATTGATTAGATAAACAATGGTATTTAAGCAAATGGTATTAATACATTATTTATTGCATTTTCAATGTTTTCAATGATTATAATATCACCAGATTTTGTTTTGTTTCCTTCCTCTTATAAGTATTATATAAACAACAAGCAAAATAATATTTGGCTGATTATTTGTCATGGCATTTATTCAACATTATAAAACAACCAACAACAACCAACAACAACCAACAACAACCAACAACAACAAACTGGCAAACAAGTAAAAACTAGATGACAATGGTTCACTGAAGGTAAAAACCAACATTGAATGTAAAATTAATTTCTGGCTGCTGTGCAAAACCACAACAGCTCGAAATGTTACTTGAAAAAAATTGCTGCCAATTGAATTATGTTAATCTTGATATCCAATGCAATTTACTTATAGAACTGAATACCATGATGACAGGCATATTTTTAATAATTAATTTCTGGAATCTCTTTGGCATTTTCAGTATTCATTTTATCTGTTAATGAATGTTGAAGCTTCTGACATTACCAGAAGACCTAAACGGTTCATTCAATACATATTGATATGTTCACCATGCAATCTGAAAAATAAAGTAGGAGATAAAAAATTTATTTATGAAAGGGAAGGAGGGTGGGTTGTAATGTCCTGTTGAAATATAAGCCGGAATCCATGTTTTTAAGAGAATAAAGTCCATGCGTATTATTTAGTATTTTTAAATTTTAAGTTATGTTAAGATTTAAAAGGCTAACCATGAATAAAGGGCTGTACATTTAAAACACAAGACATAAATGTATTTCAATGCAATAAATCAATTTAATTATGAGACCATTAAATTTTAATAACTGTGTTACCCTTGTATCAACGTCCTTTTATTTGTATATAGTTAGTACTATATAATGTGAGTACTATATAACGTGATATATTTTAATGACAAATTATTCAATAGAACTTGTTTACAATAATGAAAGATATGATCAAGTCAATAAAAGTCAAATACAAAAAAATATACTTGTGCTTACAATAGACTTCAAAACGACTACAGCTAGCATCAGAACTACAGTCAAATCTTGTGTCGAAAAACTCGGATGAGTCGAAGTAATTTCTCAGTCCCGGTTTACACAAATCTCATACCATATTTCATGCATTCCAAATTTATGAAGATACACTCGACCTATGAGTCGAACCTCGGATAAGTGGAATACTATGGTAAGGTCCCTTAAACTTCGACACAACAAGGTTAGACTGTAGTAGAAATATAACAAATTTGGATGCTCTCATTCTGTTCTTTAAAACCACTGACTTTCATTGCACTATACTTGTAGAAGTTCAAAGGGTCATTCAAAGAAATCTGCATTGAGCCGTGGAATATCGACATTTGATGCTCTAGAATGTAAACCACTGCCTACTCCCAAAAAAGACAAGAAAGATGTGGAAAAACTGATAGAAGACGAAAAAAGGGAAAAGGGAAAGGTGATTTGTCATATTGTATACATAGATTGAGATGGAAATATAGGACATTTGGCAGGATTGTCCAAAAATATTAAAAAAAAATACCCAAACATGTCTTGTATGAATTTTGTTTGCCTAAAACATGTCTTGTATGAATTATGTTTGCCGAAAGATGTCTTGTATGAATTATGTATGCCGAAAAGATGTCTTGTATGAATTAGGTTTGCCGAAAAGATGTCTTGTATGAATTATGTTTGCCTAGAATATTACTTCAAGTTTCTTAACTTTGGATTAAACCTTACAGTTGCAATGTTTTTATTAAAATGTATCGCAAATCATTGCGATCGGATTGTTATGGCAAAAATAAAAAACTTGCATATTAAATTTTGTATAGCATTATTTGATTATAGCTTTTCTGAAATCATAATAATTAAACCTCACATTTTTGTACATTTTCTGATAATTGCAATAATAAATGCATGCAAACGTTTCTGAATTTACAATACTTGATTGTTAGTTATTTTGTCTTTCTTGTATAAACTAACAACTAGCTTTGTATATCTTTAAATATATAAATTTTCTTTAAGGTTGCCTGGAAAGTATTTATGATGTATCTGAGAGCTATAGGACTAGTGGCCGCATTCTGGATTTTTGTCCTGTACCTGTTGTACCAAGGGGCGTCTATAGCCTCTAATATCTGGTTAAGTCAGTGGACTGATGATAAGCAATTGCAGGACAGGAGTAAAGCTAATACAACTGAGTACAAGGATAGAAATATGATGTTCCTTGGAGTTTATGGTGGTCTTGGAATAGTTCAGGGTGAGTAAACTGAGTACAATGATAGAAATATGTTGTTCCTTGGAGTTTATGGTGGTCTTGGAATAGTTCAGGGTGAGTAATTGAGTACAAGGATAGAAATATGATGGTCCTTGGAGTTTATGATGGTCTTGGAATAGTTCAGGGTGAGAAATTGAGTACAAGGATAGAAATATGATGTTCCATGGAGTTTATGGTGGTCTTGGAATAGTTCAGGGCGAGTAACTGAGTACAAGGATAGAAATATGTTGTTCCTTGGAGTTTATGGTGGTCTTGGAATAGTTCAGGGTGAGAAATTGAGTACAAGGATAGAAATATGATATTCCATGGAGTTTATGGTGGTCTTGGAATAGTTCAGGGTGAGTAACTGAGTACAAGGATAGAAATATGTTGTTCCTTGGAGTTTATGGTGGTCTTGGAATAGTTCAGGGTGAGTAACTGAGTACAAGGATAGAAATATGATGTTCCTTGTTGTTTATGGTGGTCTTGGAATAGTTCAGGGTGAGTAACTGAGTACAAGGATAGAAATATGTTGTTCCTTGGAGTTTATGGTGGTCTTGGAATAGTTCAGGGTGAGAAAGTGAGTACAAGGATAGAAATATGATGTTCCATGGAGTTTATGGTGGTCTTGGAATAGTTCAGGGTGAGTAACTGAGTACAAGGATAGAAATATGTTGTTCCTTGGAGTTTATGGTGGTCTTGGAATAGTTCAGGGTGAGAAATTGAGTACAAGGATAGAAATATGATGTTCCATGGAGTTTATGGTGGTCTTGGAATAGTCCAGGGTGAGTAATTGAGTACAAGGATAGAAATATGATGTTCCTTGGAGTTTATGGTGGTCTTGGAATAGTTCAGGGTGAGTAATTGAGTACAAGGATAGAAATATGATGTTCCTTGGAGTTTATGGTGGTCTTGGAATAGTTCAGGGTGAGAAATTGAGTACAAAGATAGAAATATGATATTCCATGGAGTTTATGGTGGTCTTGGAATATTTCAGGGTGAGTAACTGAGTACAAATATGTTGTTTCTTGGAGTTTATGGTGGTCTTGGAATAGTTCAGGGTGAAACATTGAGTACAAGGATACAAATATATTGTTCCTTGGAGTTTATAGTGGACCAAGAATAGTTCAGGGGGAGTAATTGAGTTCAATGATAGAAATATGTTGTTTCTTGCTGTTTATGGTGGTCTTGGAATAGTTCAGGATGAGTAACTGAGTACAAGGATAGAAATATGATGTTACTTGGAGTTGAAGTGGTCTTGGAATAGTTCAGGGTGAGTAATTGAGTATAAGGATAGAAATATGATGTTCCTTGGAGTTTATGGTGGTCTTGGAATAGTTCAGGGTGAGTAACTGAGTATAAGGATAGACATATGATGTTTCTTGGAGTTGAAGTGGTCTTGGAATAGTTCAGGGTGAGTAACTGAGTACAATGATAGAAATATGATGTTCCTTGGAGTTTATGGTGGTCTTGGAATAGTTCAAGGTGAGTAACTGAGTACAAGGATAGAAATATGATGTTCCTTGTAGTTTATGTTGGTCTTGGAATAGATCAAGGTGAGAAATTGAGTACAAGGATAGAAATATGTTGTTTCTTAGAGTTTATGATGGTCTTGGAATAGATCAGGGTGAGAAATTGAGTACAAGGATAGAATTATTTTGTTTCTTGCTGTTTATGGTGGTCTTGGAATAGTTAAGGGTGAGTTACTGAGTACAAGGATAGAAATATGATGTTCCTTGGAGTTTATGGTGGTCTTGAAATAGTTCATGGTGAGTAATTAAGTACAAGGATGGAAATATGATATTTCTTGGAGTCAAAGTATTATTGGAATAGTTCAGGGTGAGTAACTGATTCTAAAGATAGAAATATGATGCATGCATGTTGTATGGCCATAAAAGGCTAAAATACCTTATAATGTCAATTTAAGAGCTGAAATTTCCCATAAACAGAATTGTTCATCCAAAAAAGATGATTAAACATGATTACTGACATCAAATATGACTAATTTTCATTGGAATAGGTACAACTTCTAAAAATTGAATTTCTGATGATTCTCTGTAATAGGAAGTACACCACTAATTCATGGCCCCGTTGCTTTCTATGTTAAATTCCTCAATTTCAAGCAGGCACAGCTCATTTGTTTTAAGTTCAAATAAAGTGACAATCATTGTATGTCAAAGTAACACTTTATGGTGTCTTGTACTGAAAAAATCAACATACCTTTAATGGCATATAAGAAAGAACTGGTTCCCGGAACTTCGGATGTACCAAAACTGGTACTTCAGATCTGACAAACAGGCAAAATGTACCCTCTTTTTTAAATTTGATGCAGTTTTTTTAATATTCAAAATTATAAGTCAAAAAGTGTTCTACAATGATTACCAGTCATTCAGCTTTCATTTGATACCAAAAAAGCCTAAATATTCTACATATTTTGAAAGTTACACTCATGCGTAGGAACTATTTTGTGTTAAATATGTACTACTTTCTGGTATGTGCTTTCTGGCCGGGCCCGAATTAGTGGTGTTACACCTTTAGGAATTTGGGGCCAAAAAACAAGCATTTTTCTAGTTTCCAGACAATAACTTGTGTTCAAGTGTATGGATCTCTCTGAAATTGTACTGCAAGGTACCATACCACAAAGGGAAGGCTGGGATTGAGTTTGGGGGTGATGAATCATAAGGGGGTTCAAAAAATTGGGGGGGGGGGGCTTTTTTTTCCCTTTTTTCCTTTTTTTTTCTTTTAAATTTTCCATTTTAAATTGGTTATTTCTGATTTATATATAAAAGCAAATAATAATGATATGGTTTGAATAGGTAAATTAAAAAATTTTAAGTTCTTAGACCACATTCATTCTGTGTCAGAAACCTATGCTGTGTCAAATATTTAATCACAATCCAAATTCAGTGCTGTATCAAGCTTGAATGTTGTGTCCATACTTACCCCAACTGTTCAGGGTTCGACCTCTGCGGTCGTATCAAGCTGCGTCACCATAACTACCATTATTTAACTTATACTTCCGGTTAAACCTCTCACCACAAGATTCATATTTCACTGTCATATTTCTTTGCATAATTGTCCTGATGATGCCTATCGATTAGGTGAAACATGTAGACCAAAATAAACAGATAACTTGTGGTAAAAACTTGAGTGTTGTTGTCTTTATTGTCGAATATTCATTTTTTTCAAGATGACTGTGAATACCTAGCGGTATCCACTCGTTCACCACTTCAGGTGTTGGTTCACTTATATTTTTTCTTTTTATTTTTAGGTATAATGGTTCTGATTTACTCCCTTGTTGCCATACTACGACAGGTCAGAGCTTCAGCACAACTCCATTACGACATGTTAAACAATATAATGAAAGCTCCAATGGCCTTCTTTGATACAACACCAGTCGGTAGAATTGTAAATAGATTTTCCAGTGATGTTGCAACCATAGACAGCATGTTACCGATGAACTTTAGGATGTTTCTAGGCACAGTAATTGGCACACTGAGTACATTGGTTGTCATATCCTACAGTACACCCATATTTTTGACTGTTGTGTTACCACTGGCCATTGTATATTACCTCATGCAGGTAGGTAAAGGTGTTGTATTATACAATAATTACCTTTGAATGAGGTCCATATGAGTATATATCGACCTGCAAGTAGTATATCGACTGAGGACAAAGATATATCACCATATTGACCTCATACAAAGGCTACCATTATTATATTATTATTGTCAAGATGTCAGAAATAGAGCAGAAATTCATTTGATTGATTGTTTCGATTATGTCACAAAATATTGAGGTTTTTAATTTCTATTAGTAGATGTTTTAAAAATTACCGTGCAATCACAATTTTCTATCTGTAGTTGCAGTCTACCTTTGAAAAAAAAGTTGGTCATGTGATTCTTTCTCAACAAATCAAGTTTATTTAAATATACTAAATAATAATATTACCATAGATTTTTATTGATGCTTGTGACAAAATGTCTAAGCAGTCAATACAAAAATGTTACGATATCATATGGAATAAGAGAAAAACAAAACCTACATTCTTTTTACATAAACGATGTAAAAGAAAGACATAAACTTAGGAGATTTAAGACAAAAAAAAACATCTTTATACATTAACATGAATTACAAGAAGGTCCAAGTAACTTTGAATAGACAAATGATATATGTTTATTACAGCTCAGTCTTATATCGAATCATTCTGTTACATGTATTCACATACGTTCATGGGCAACTTGAAATATGACATTCAAATATGATGCAATCCTCAAATTAGATCTAGATTTCTATAATCAGGTCTTTCCACCTTTCCGTGGAAAGACCTATTGGTATTGTTCTGATTATTATTTTTTTTTTTTTTCCTTCCGCCTAATTTTTTTCTTGTGTAGTATTGTTGTTTCAAAAGATGTCGCTCAGATTTTTATGCCCAACCTACGACAGTAGAGGGCATTATGTTTTTCGGTCTGTGCGTCCGTTCTTTGGCCGTCCTTCCGTCCGTTTGTTCGTCCATCCTTCTGTCCGTCTGTTCGTTCGTCTGTCCCGCTTCAGGTTAAAGTTTTTGGTCAATGTAGTTTTTGATGAAGTTGAAGTCCAATCAACTTGAAACTTAGTACACATGTTCCATATGATATGATCTTTCTAATTTTAATGTCAAATTAGAGTTTTGACCCCTATTTCTCGGTCCACTGGACATAGAAAATGATAGTGCGATGTGGCATCCGTGTACTATAACACCGGAAGTGACAATTTTTAAACCGGAAGTAACAAATTATCTCCCTTATTTCAAATAAAAGTGTATAGAAACCATATATTTTTGGCAACAGCGTACTTTAAGCTATCATCTGACACTGGAAATGACATGTTTAACTCGATTTTATTATTTTCTTATCACAATACATGGTATTTTGGTGGAAAGACCTTCAATTGTTCTCAGAACAATTGGTTTTTAATTTTTTATATACTTTTGTAAAATGATGTTTGTCTCTATTTGCTAAAATTAATCATACTGTATCATATTGTGAAATTTTCCATGTTGATCTCAAACCATTTCCTTTTCATTGAAATGTTTTGTTAATTCTATTATCAATTTATTTAAACAATGTTAAAGATGACTAACCGTCTTCTAGTCTTGTATTGAAAATTGTTTCAATGCAAAGCAAACCCCACCCCATTCTCATGAATATTGTGTGTACAACATATAATGAGTTGAAGACCCTTTTGATTTAAGCTGGGGTTACCAAACATATACAGGATGATATTTTTGGTGAATTTTTTTTAAATATTTTTCAACCGTTTCCTCTTTATAAGTTATTCTTGGAGTGATTTTTGTCAAGAATTGTTGTTTTATTTTTTTTTTTTTTTTATCCCAAACTGATTTTTTAAAGGTGAGGAATGCATTTTCTCATGAAACTCTAAATTTCAATCTTATCCAAATTAAATTCTTAAATGATATTAAAATTTTGAAGCTAGAAGACCTGGCTGCTTCATATCTTCTATGCAGATACCTTATGTTACGAAGTTTCCGTCTGTCATATGTCATTGTCTTTGACCTTATTTTCATGGTTCATGCATATGTCCGTCAGGTTCACCTGACGGTGTCTTCCTCCTATTCCCACTTTTTAGCTCACCTGGCCCAAAGGGCCAAGTGAGCTTTTCTCATCACTTGGCGTTCGTCGTCCGTCGTCGTCGTTGGCGTCGTCCGTCGTCGTTAACTTTTACAAAAATCTTCTTCTCTGAAACCAGGGCTTCCAAAATTTCCTGACGACAGCCGGACATTTTTCAAAGAAATATTTTGATGGTCAATGATCAGCTGGATACCTAAATGTAACTGAGAGGATGCAAAAATTGATATATGTGTCTAAATGATTAGTAGTGTTATATGCAATAAAATTATTTATAACTGTTTTGTTTTCTTCATTCTAAAAATAATTAAAATATTATCCTCGGTATTGTGTCATTTTTCTGTGTATCGTAATACAGTAACCATCATTGCATCAATCAGCTTCAGTACCTGACTGTTCTCATGTTTTTGTTTCTGTTTATATAATCTATCTTCTCTCTGTGAGTACTTAACACTTTGTAAATTAAGGGTATCTTATTTGAAACTGTTGATGTTGGCTTTAATTGCAGTACAAGTCAACTTGATCATCAATACACGTGATACTTTTCTTTTTGTGTAGTGATTACCTGACCACATGACTTTTACAACTGATGCGGTATTTATAGATAACATTGAGGAGGCCCAATGAAGGATATTGTTTTAAACCGTGTAAAATCTACTGAACAGTAATAACATTTTTCTTTGTACAATTTCCCAACCTGATTTCGAAAATAAGAAGAATAAATAAAAACATACTCAGTTGATAAATAATTTAAACTAATTTTCAGTTCACCAGCTTTGAGGTATGATAAGTACAAAATTAAATGTTTTTGCGTAGCCCGATCAGTTGATTCCCACGGCGGGACTTAACTTTACGTCGGACATCACCTCTTTCTCAATAATATCGGAAATTGTCTGAATAAATTCGGAGCAGGCATTGTTCTCTTGATGTAATTTAGAACTTAGTTAAATCATTTATTGACTGAAATTTGTCCATTAGTAAGTTTTCTTTAGCAATAAAGTAAGCATTACAGAACAAGGTGCACATTGCGTTGTCAGTCTTTCAAGAACTTTCTCAAATACTGATACAATTGGATTACTTTTGGAAGCTGTCTCTAATTTAAGAGCTTGAACGTGGTCATTGCTATTAGCATGCTCTACAACGGCTGACTTTCGAAAAGTTATTTTTAAGTTTATGTTTTTGACAAATGTCACAAAACATGGCATTTAGCATACTGTCAAATCTTAACCATAAAAACAGTTGTAACCATTTATGAATAAAGCTTCTAGCATTTTTTGCAGATTTCGAATTTTGATCGGAATCGTCACGTTTACGTTTGCCCATGATGGCAGATTTGTAAAGTTCAATTTGAGACAAAGTCTTTATAACAGTCGGAGATTGTCATGATTGGCTATTCTTCTTTATGATTTCAATTATAAAAACAGTTTTTAATATGAAAACAAGAATAGAGAACGCCCCCCTTATTTATTGGACAACTCAGCTATTCTCGGTGTTTTTCCTATATATTTCAATAAATTTTCCCCTTTAGAGTACCCCAGTATTTAACACGATGTACAGTGTTAAATAAAATAATATATATAATACTTATTCATTTATAAATATCCTTATTTGAAGAATAACTTTTAAATATCAGGATACTTTTTTAAACTGAATGCTCATTTAAAATAATATCTATAAAGCGTAATTAAATAGGATGTTGTTCCATACACGCTTACATGTTTGACCTCGTTTACCTGATCACCTTTATGTACAGTGTTATGCATCATTAATTCTATTGATAAAGACAAGCTAAGGACACCTCAACAAAGGTTACAAACCTGTAATCAGTGAATGATTTATGGCTTCAATATAACTTATTGAAGGGATAATTGTTTGACAGCTTGTTGTTATTTAAATAAAAGAAAACGTGTTTTTTCTACTTTTTATTGATGTACACAAGCTAAAGACCAAGCGGTACATTTATGTACCCAGAGGATTAGACTAACTGAGACACTTCAAATTATCTGAAATATGCTGCATCTGTTTTATTAAACCCAATTATGACCGAAATATCTTTGTGAAATAGATTGCCACAATTATAAACTAAAATGCTCAAACGGACATGCCCAAAGCCCCAAACGGACATTTTTATCGATCGATAGTTGATAAAAATTGAAATGACCGTTTTATGAAAATGCCTTGAATAACAAAAAGTGGCAAACCAATTCTTTTTGACCGTATAAGGCTGAGAGCAGCCGGACTTTTTATGAAAGTTTCGGTCAAGTCCGGAATATATGACTGTTTTGGAAGCCCTGTCTGAAACTACTGGGCCAAATTTGACCAAACTTGGCCACAATCATTATTGGGGTATCTAGTTATAAAATCTGTCCGGTGACCCGGCCAACCAACCAAGATGGCCGCCATGGCTAAAAATAGAACATAGGGGTAAAATGTAGATTTTGGCTTATATCTCTGAAACCAAAGCATTTAGAGCAAATCTGACATGGGGTAAAATTGTTTATCAGGTCAAGACCTATCTGCCCTGAAACTTTCAGATGAATCGGACAACCCGTTGTTGGGTTGCTGACCCTGAATTGGTAATTTTAAGGAAATTTTGCCGTTTTTGGTTATTATCTTGAATATTATTATAGATAGAGATAAACTGTAAACAGCAATAATGTTCATCAAAGAAAGATCTACAAATAAATCAACTTGACCAAAATGGTCAGTTGACCCCTTAAGGAGTTATTGCCCTTTATAGTAAATTTTTAACCATTTTTCGTAAATTTTTGTAATCTTTTAAAAAAATCTTCTCCTCTGAAACTACTAAGACAAATTTAACCAAACTTGTCCACAATCATCATTAGGGTATCTAGTTTAAAAAATGTGTCTGTGAACCAAGATGGCCGACATGGCTAAAAAATAGTACATAGGGTAAAATGCAGTTTTTGGCTCATATCTCTGAAACCAAAGCATTTAGAGCAAATCTGATGGGATAAAATTGTTCATTAGGTCAAGATCTATCTGCCCTGAAATTTTCAGACCAATCAGGCAACACGTTGTTGGGTTGCTGCCCCTGAATTGGTAATTTTAAGAAAATTTTGCAGCTTTTGGTTATTATCTTGAATATTATTATAGATAGAGATAAACTGTAAACAGCAATAATGTACAGCAAAGTAAGATCTACAAATAAGTCAACATGACCAAAATTGTCAATTGACCCCTTAAGGAGTTATTGCCCTTTATAGTCAATTTTTTACAATTTTCATAAATTTTGTAAATTTTTGTAAATTTTTACAAAATATTTTCCACTGTAACTACTGGGCCAAGTTCATTATAGATAGAGATAATTGTAAGCAGCAAGAATGTTCAGTAAAGTAAGATCTACAAACACATCACCATCACCAAAACACAATTTTGTCATGAATCCATCTGTGTCCTTTGTTTAATATGCACATAGACCAAGGTGAGCGACACAGGCTCTTTAGAGCCTCTAGTTTAAAATCACTATTCCTTCTATTCCCACATGCAAATAACAATAGATGTTTTGATAAATAATTTGTTTTTATAACAATCAAGGTTAATTAAAAATTCACCTGTATTTTTTTAAAAGAAAACATATTTCTTACACTGTTTAAGTATATTATTTAAAAAAAGAAAAATAATAATACACTGTTTGTGTGTAATATGTTTTTCTTCTTCAAAGAATTACCTTAAAATAAATAATAATAAGTCAGATAAAAGAATTAAGATTAAAAAATCATTGAATTTGTAAACCTAAAAAATTGTCATCCGATCACATAAATTGATGATAGTTAATTTTAAAACAAACTTTCCCATCTTGCAAGATTTCCATGTACAACAAATGCAAGAAGAACCTACCAGTTTTACCAAAAAACGTTGATGAAATCAACATAGAGGGTATTTGGGCACGTACTACCAAAGGTGACCCATTCCTGCTAACAGATGACAACACAGTTGGGTGTATGTTAATCTTCAGTTCTCAATGAATCTAACACATAAGCAGCAGCAGATATCATATACTAGTATGGTGAAGGTACATTTTACTCCTGTCCAAGCCTGTTCTTCAAACTTGACACATTTCACGCAATGGTTGACGGCGCAATGTATCCACTGGTACACAGTTCACTTCCAGCCAAGAGCGAACTAATATACACAAGGTTCCTGACTTTACTCAAAAGATGTATGTCACCAACACCAACTACAACTTCAGTTGTTTTTTCCACTACACACAATGCACCTGGAGAAAAGCACAATGAACAGGGATTCAGGTTTCATACAAGAAAGACAACAACATTCGTCAACTAGTACGCCGTGCTGCTGTCCTTCAACTTGTACCTACTGCTGAGGTTGAAGATGTGTGGTTTAATGCCCTAACCGACATTGATCAGATTGATACTAACATCAGCTAAACGCCCTTTACAGACTATGTAACAAAATACTGATGGGACCATTACACAACACAGGGACTGAGGACTACACATCATCTAGAGGGATGGCAAAGCAAGCTGAAGAAATATGTTCAACACCCACATCCAAACATCTTTAAACTAATAAAACTACTGAAACATGAGGAAGCTACGCCCTGACCATGATCCAGTATGCAGCCGATGGGAAGAGAGAGAGAGTGGCCCAAAAACGAAAGTATGTCGAAATCAACAACAAATTAGAAGATCTTATGGATAGATACCGCAACCAGAAAGTCACAACAGTACAGTTTGGTGATGCAGCCTCCCACCTTATTCATGTTGAATAGATTAATAAACTTTAATAGACTTATATACAGTGAATTTCTAATGTGTGTGCTACAACGTTTTATTTGTTTTAGTGCTGTTAATTTGTATTGTTTGTTTCACATTATAATGCTTGCTTGAATCTACTGTTGAATTTGTGATATAAATGAAATAAAATAATTTACTTAGATTTGTTTCCATTTCTTGCATATTTATTTAGATTAAAAACACAGAATTCATACCATGACATACAAAAATAACCTATTACCTATCCAAAAACACTTGTCAATTAAAAGTTGATTAAACAATGTTTATACAGTATAATCCTTTGTTTTTCACAAGTTTTCCCCCTATTCCCACATGCAATTTTAACTTTTCTTACCAGATTTATAAAAAGTGGGAATAGGAGGAATGAACCCACCTGACCTCGACCTCATGGATCAGTGATCAAGGTTAAAGTTACGGGGTCAAGTCCGTATCTCAGATACTATAAGCAGTAGGTCAACTATATTTGTTGTATGGAATGATTGTAAGGTGCACATGTTTGACTGGCAAGTTTCATCTGAATTTGAACTCAATATCATGGTTCATAGGAAAATGTTTAGTTTTTGTGGTTTGGTCTATTTGTCAGATATTATACTCAATAGGACAATTATATTTGGTGTATAGAATGATTGTTAGGTGTACATGTCTGTCTGGCAGGGTTCAAATGACCATAACCTCATTTCCATAGAACATTGATAATGTTAAGTTCATTTGATACTCGTAGTAAAACCTTCATATTACAGACTTTCAATATTAATTCTATGATTAGTAAAACAGGTGAGACATTTCAGGATGTGCACTCTTATTATACTAGGTAACTGATTTTAGTTTATTGACTAGAACTGCTGTAACTCTAAACCTTTTTTAACCTTTTCTTTCTTGATTACTGCATGTAGAAAGATCTATTTGTAAAACTCAGAGTTATGCCTCTTTACACGAGAAATGAGACTTTCTACATATATATACAAATGTATGATTTCTCTCTTGAAAACATGATTTATTTATAATAAGGTATTGAAAAAGAGATAGATTGATATTAAGGCAGATAAAGATATTGAAAGGTAATTAGATATCAGTTTAATGAGTTTGATAAACAACATGAAATCGTGGCATTAAAAAACTCACAATCCATAACATTCTTTTTTGATTGAGTTAAGCCTTCCAATTGATATTTTATAGTGTGTTTTTCTATGTTGTGATGTTATACTATTGTTTCAGAAAAGGGAGAAGGTTTGGTACCATTAAAACGTTTAATCCCACTGCAAATGTTTGCACCTGTCCTAAGTCAGGAATCTGATTACAGTAGTTGTCATCTGTTTATGTAGTTCATACGTGTTTCTCGTTTCTCGTTTTTATATAGATTAGACCGTTGGTTTTTCTGTTTGAATGGTTTTACACTAGTAATTTTTTTTGGGGCCCTTTAAAGCTTTCTGTTCGGTGTGAGCCAATGCTCCGTGTTGAAGGCCGTACCTTGACCTATAATGGTTTACTTTTATAAATTGTAACTTGGATGGAGAGTTGTCTCATTGGCACTCATACCACATCTTCCTATATCTATTCATAATACTTGAATGAGCAATCATTTTCAATTTTTTTATTTACAGAAATTTTATATACCTACCTCTAGACAGTTGCAAAGGTTGGAATCCACAACTAAATCTCCAATATTTAATCACTTTAGTGAGACTATTAATGGCGCCTCTACGCTTAGGGCCTACAAAGAACAGCCAAGATTTATACAGGAGTCACTAGACAGAGTGGACAAAAATATCAGCTTCTACTTTACTAGAATAGCATCTAACAGGTAAATTTCTCACTTCCTTGGTAAAAAAAAAACATGTTGGCAAAATGTAAGATTTATCACATATGATAGATAATATGATACAAAGTAGCCAAATATTTGAACTTTAAGGGTCTTAAATCACAAATAGAGAAAAAAATGAAAACAACATGTTATAAATTTTATTCATCAAAAACTCTTTTCTGGATTTACCTTCATCAAAAACGCTCAAAGCCGAATATTTCAAAGATAAGAACCGAAACAGTTGAAGAGCTATATGACCAAAAAGGACCTAAAAATAGCCAAATCAATCTCAGATGAGTACAAAATAAAAACATCTTGACCTGATGCAGAGAGAACAACTGAATATGAAAGCTTGACACATAAATATCTACAGAAAAGTGGAGGGGGATTATGGGTTAGCAATACAATTGATGAAAAAAGTTTTACTTACTCTTTGTAAAGACTGCAAATTATCACTGCAAAAAATTGAAATTTTATTGAATGACATACTTTTGAGACACAAATTTGACTTTACCCACACTTTTGAAGAAAATGGTTTTATTGTTGTTTATCCAGCTGTACTTTTGGTATTATTGGAAATTATCTTTCGGTTTGTTTGTTAGGTATTTGAAACTTATCCATGATGCTAATATATCATAAGTAGTTGAACTCCAGAGTTTTGTTAGTCTCTGATGTCACAGCTCAAATGTGAAAGATTATTTTACAGGGTGTTTTAACATTGGATAAATTTTGTCATAATTTTGATTATATCTAGTTTGTCACAAAATCATTCTTGTTTTCCTTTACTTTGAATGCTTAATGCTTCAACTTATGTATTCTTGTAATGTTAGAAGTAAATCAAATAGAATATTAAGAATTTAACAACATTTTGTATAAAACTGTCAGAGATGTGGGTTTTATTGTTCTATGGAATAATAGAAATTGAAATTTTCATATTCTGTTTTCAGATGGTTAGGTTGGAGATTAGAGTTCATAGGTAACTTAATCGTATTTTCAGCCGCCCTGTTTGCGGTTGTAAGCGATATCTCTGGAGGATTGGTTGGTTTGTCAGTGTCATATGCATTACAGGTAAACTTTATAGAGAATATTCTGCTGCTAAAATCCAAGAAGAATTGACCAGTTATCTTGCATGTGGTAAATTCTATTAATGTTTTATGACATCCAAATTAATGACACATAGGTAGACTGGTAGAACATAGAACTTAAGTAAAAGAGACCTTGAGCAATCTATTTCATCTGAGAAATATTAATTTCAATATTTAAAAAATGTTTAGATAGTTTTGGTTAGAATTTAAATATAAAATTTACCAGATCCAAGAAAATCACTTAATGCTTGTACAAGTTTTGAGTTTCAACTTAAAACATCCAACACAAGTGTATAGTTTGCCTTGTGACAAGAGTTTACCATCACACTTGCTTTCTTGATATATATAAGTTATGTACTCCTTTGGGTATAATATTTTGGGATGTAAACAAAAACAAGAGAAAAAGTTAACATTGGCTTCTATTGCTGCAGGTAAATGCTGTTAAATAAATAATCTCTAATCATTTGTAATTGATTGGTCAAAATGTATAAATTGAAATATTTCACTTGAATGTTTTAGAGTTTTAATGTGCTATCCAAATAAAATGAATGTTGTTGGACTATACTCTGACCCCTTCATCGAAAAAATTAAATCAAATTTTATTTTTTTTTCATGTGATTATGAAATCTAGCAAGAAATTATGATTTCCTTAAAGTACACACAAATTTTATGTTGGGACAAAAAATCTATAATAATGTTAATTGATAAGTATAATTGGGATATTAGTTGTTTTTTTTAAATTCATGTGTATAGAGGAACCATGACTTTGTGAAATCCATGAAATTGGTACCTACATTTATATATATGAATCCAAAATAATTCCAGATAACAAGTGCATTAAACATGTTAGTGAGGAATTCCAGTGATCTAGAGACCAATGTTGTATCGGTAGAAAGACTTAAAGAATATGCTGAAGTAGAAACAGAGGTAGGTATATTGAATTTTGAGTTTTGATTTGTTTTTGTTATATCTTTAAGATTTAGTTTTAAGAAACCTTATATGAAAGTTAAAAATAAGTAAAAATAGCAGATTAGTTGACAATAGTTTTATTATGATGAAATAGTTATATGAAAATGCATAGTGAAGTCTTTAAAATGGCTAACAAAATTTTATTGGAGTTATGGGACACTCTAAAATCTGCTTCTGCTGGTCCCTTTCAGTCCAATTGGTCAGTCCAAAATGTCTGTTTGATTAGATTTTCGATAAACTTTTAGCCAGTATATTGGAACATTATTATGGCTCCGCAACAAAGTTGTCGGGGCCATATAACCCTTGTCCGTCATTCCCTCATTCCACAACAAACCATTATACTTATTTTTTTTCTAAACGCCTTCAGATATTGGGCTGATTTTTGGTATGTGAGTTAACCATGATGAGTTACAGATCAAGTTTAAGTTTAGTTCTGCTGTGCTAATTTTTGCTGAACTTTGGACTTTAATAATTGTTGAAAATCACAGTTATACAGACTTTTTTTCTAAACGCCTTCAGATATTGGGCTGATTTTTATACGACCGCAAACAAATTTTTGTGGTCGTATATTGGTATGACGTTGGCGGCGGCGGCGTCGTCGTCCGAAGACACAATAGTTTTCGCACTCTAACTTTAGTTAAAGTGAATGGATCTCAATGAAATTTTACCATAAGATTCAATACCACAAAAGGAAGGTGGGGATTGATTTTGGGGGTTATGGTACCAACAGTTAAGGAATTAGGGGCCAAAAATAAGCATTTTTGTAACTTCCAGACATTACTTGTGTGTAAGTGTATGAATCTCTCTGACATTGTACCACAAGGTTCCACATCACAAAGGGAATGCTGGGATTGATTTTGGGGGTAATTGCCTCCAAATTTTAGGAATTAGGGGCCAAAAAGGGGCAAAAAACAAGCATTTTTCTAGTTTCATGACAATAACTTGTGTGTAAGTGTATGGATCTTTATAAAATTGTACTACAAGGTTCCATATCACAAAGGGAAAGCTGGAATTGAGTTTGGGGGTAATCGCCCAAAAAGTTTAGGAATAAGGGGCCAAAAAGGGGCAAAAAACAAGCATTTTTCTAGTTTCATGACAATAACTTGTGTGTAAGTGTATGGATCTTTATAAAATTGTACTACAAGGTTCCATATCACAAAGGGAAAGCTGGAATTGAGTTTGGGGGTAATCGCCCAAAAAGTTTAGGAATAAGGGGCCAAAAAGGGGCAAAAAACAAGCATTTTTCTAGTTTCATGACAATAACTTGTGTGTAAGTGTATGGATCTTTATGAAATTGTACTACAAGGTTCCATATCACAAAGGGAAAGCTGGAATTGAGTTTGGGGGTAATTGCCCAAAAAGTTTAGGAATAAGGGGCCAAAAAGGGGCAAAAAACAAGCATTTTTCTAGTTTCCAGATAATAACTTGTGTTCAAGTGTATGGATCTCTCTGAAATTGTACTGCAAGGTACCATACCACAAAGGGAAGACTGGGATTGATTTTGGGGGTAATTCCTTCAAAATTTTAGTAATTAGGGGCCATAAAAGGGCAAAAAAACAGGCATTTTTCTAGTTCCAGGACAATAACTTGTGTGTAAGTGTATGGATCTTTATGAAATTGTACTGCAAGGTTCCATATCACAAAGGGAAAGCTGGGTTTGAGTTTGGGGGTAATTGCCTTAAACGTTTAGGAATTTGTGGCCAAAAAGGGGCCAAAAAACAAGCATTTTTCTAGTTTCCAGACAATAACTTGTGTTCAAGTGTATGGATCTCTCTGAAATTGTACTGCAAGGTACCATACCACAAAGGGAAGGCTGGGATTGAGTTGAGGGGTGATGAATCATAAGGGGGTTAAAAAAATTTTGGGGGGGGGATTTTTTTTCCCTTTTTTTTCTTTAAAATTTTCCATTTTAAATTGGTTAATTCTGATTTATATATAAAAGCAAATAATAATGATATGGTTTGAATAGGTAAATTAAAATTTTTTAAGTTCTTAGACCACTTTCATTCTGTGTCAGAAACCTATGCTGTGTCAAATATTTAATTACAATCCAAATTCAGTGCCGAATCAAGCTTGAATGTTGTGTCCATACTTGCCCCAACTGTTCAGGGTTCGACCTCTGCGGTCGTATCAAGCTGCGCCCCAGCGGAGCATTTTATTGGTATATGAGTTAACCATGATGAGTTACAGATCAAGTTTAAGTTTCTTTCTGCTCTGCTAATTTTTGCCGAAATTACGGACTTTAGACATTGATAAATTGTTGAAAATCACAGTTATCCGGACTTTTTTTCTAAACGCCTTCCGATATTGGGCTGATTTTTGGTATGTGAGTTAATGATGAATTACAGATTGATTTAAAGTTTTGTTTTGCTCTGATGATTTTTGCTAAAATTACGGGTTTTGGACTTGAAAATTGTTGAAAGCACAGTTATACGGACTTTTTTTCTATACGCCTTCAGATTTTGCGCTGATTTTTTATATGTAAGTCAAGTTTATGTTTCGTTCCGCTATGCTGATTTTCATGTTGTTTCAACACATCTTGTTAGATCTGCAGTACATCCACTTCCTGTTTGCTGATAGTTTGAAATTTAACTACTCATTGATCAAGGAAATTTTTCATCAAACTAGTATTGGTCTTGAGAGCTGAATACTATCCATGCATGTTTGTGTCCACATGTGTTGTTGAAATTTCAGATTTTTCAACTTTTTGAGACCGAGCCATCTAGTTTTTTTAGAATATATACTTGAAGTTTTTCACAAGTATTATAAACCATTTAACTAGGTTTTTTTTACAAGTATTATAAACCATTTAACTACTTTTTTACAAGTATTATAAACCATTTAACTACTCAAGACAAATTGTTTTGATCTATGAAGTTTTAATTTACTAAAATTCTTTGATTAGGCTGAATGGATCAGACCATTCAGGAGACCCCCACATGATTGGCCACAGTCTGGAGCATGTAACTTTATGGATTACAAAACTAGATACAGGGAAGGTTTGGACCTTGTTATCAGGGGAATCACATGTCAAATCCAAGGAGGAGAAAAGGTAACTATTTTGTGTCTATCTATTTTTTGTCTTTATCTATACAAAGAAGTTGCATGTAATATGGTAACTACCAGTTTAGCTTTAAAATTTCTTGGCTTTCTTGAAAAATTTAAATTCTGACTGAAAGAAATATTATAGTAAGAATCAGTAATTTAACTGCTTGCAGAGCTCAAGATAGTGTTATGAAATTGAAAAAAAAAAATGAATAATTTTGCAAAATTATTTATATATAATGATGTAAGTAAATTTTAGTCCATTTATATAAAAAAAAAAGTTGTTTTTGGAATCCAATTATCTATGTTGAATTCTACATTTGATATATTGATGGCTTTAGGTTGGAATTGTGGGGAGAACAGGGGCAGGTAAATCCTCCTTGATGATGGCATTGTTCAGACTGATAGAAGCTTCTGATGGTAGTATTGTTATTGACGGACAGAGAATATCAGATATGGGTCTGCATGATCTTCGTAGCAAGCTTACGATCTTGCCTCAGGTATAGTATTATATTAATGAAAATCACCTTGTTTTCTACATGGAAAATCATTTATTTTTCTTTTACAGTAAAAAGACATAACTTGCTCTTGATGCTACTAGATCATTTTAAAAAGTGAAATTAAAAGTAAAATGAAATTACAATATGTTTTGTATCAAATAAATGCCTTTAAACCAAACAACATGGATTTTTAAATAAATGATTTACAAAAACTATATTTTTATTTGAAAATAGAAGATCATGTGTATGCTTGAATTTGATATTTTCCTGTATTTGTTTTTACAAAATCACACGTTTTTACAGGATCCAGTATTATTCTCTGGTACACTCAGAATGAACCTTGACCCATTTGATCAGTATGCAGATAGCCAAATATGGACATCCTTGGAGCATGCTCATTTGAAAAAATTTGTATCTGAGTTGCCTGAGAGACTGAGTCATGAATGTGGAGAAGGAGGAGGAAACTTAAGGTGCGTCTGACTTGGTTATAATAATTTCTCCATAGCTTATAACTCTGTCAACTTAAAAGTAATACCTACGCTTCTTTTGTTATGTTACATGACCTAGACAGGGAAGAAATGATATTTCCAGCTATGATTTTGACAAAAAATAATGTAATCCCACAATAAAATGATAATTGATAAATGTTGACGTCAATGTGATATGATTTTCTCTGCTACAGCCAACTTGGGCCAACTTAAGCCAACCTATGCAGAGGCAGCTTGATGTTTAGTGAATCTAAATTTCTTTTGCTTAACATAACAGTTACTGTTTTGAAGGTACTTATTGTAATGCCCCACCTACGATAGAAGTGGACAAATTGATTTCTGGTATGTGGGATGGTCTGTCGGTTAGTTTGTTTGTCCAGTCCGTATGAACTTACAAGTTTTGGTTTAAAGTGGTAACCATGAAGTTGTGGTCACATCAACTTAGTATATATACATTTTAATGTGAACTTTTAATAAAATATATGCCAGTTAGGTTTTTGGACAAGATTTTGTAGTTCATTGAACATGGAAGTGTGATAGTGTAAAATAGTGCATTCTCAGACTAAAGTTTTGGTTTGTGGTAGATTAACATAAGTCACGGTCACATCAACTTGAAAGTTAGTACACATGTTCATTATCATGTGAACTTTCTAAATTATGCTAAATTAAAGTTTTGTGGCAGAGTAGGACATGGTGTCTAATGGACACATATTTTTGTTTGTACCTTTGTATTTATTTCAATACTTGTTTACATATCAACAAAATCCAGAAAAATAGTATACTAACAACAACAACTGCATTTTCAGTATGTAAAAATATAACTAGACACACTGAAAAGCTACCCTCAGAATTTCAGCTTCAAATTTAAATTCAGCAGTTATGAAAAGACAAATAGTCTGAAAACTTTTTAACCATTCACAAAAATAACTGATTTATTTAAAAACCTGTTTAGTTGATTAGTTGAATCTTTTGACAGTAAACATGTTCACCCCAATCTTAGAAATTTAATTAAACAAATTACATGTTCATTTAATCTAGCTCTTTTTGTTTATTTACTTTTAGTGTTGGGCAAAGACAACTTATTTGCTTAGCAAGGACATTGTTACGTAAAACAAAGATTTTAGTTTTGGATGAGGCTACTGCTGCAGTTGACATGGAAACAGATGAGTTGATACAGAAAACAATAAGAGAAGAATTTAAAGACTGTACAATACTAACTATAGCACATCGTCTCAATACTATTCTGGATTATGACAAGTAAGTTGATAATTATACAATTGTCTTAGAAAAATAGTTCTGAGTCCACTTATAACAACTATAATTGAGGGATTAAAACAATAGGCTGTTCTAAAATTAAGCACATGAGGGGCATGGGAGGCACTTTTTAAGACCTAGGCCATCCATAAAATACATATTTTCATTTTACCATACCTGTCAACCTATGAAAATGAAAATGCAGGTCATGACCTGCATTGAAGAAGAAAATCTCAGGTCATGACGTGTATAAACTTTTTTTTCAGCTGAATTTAAGTATTTAGGGGACATTTCTTTATATTTTAGATCGAAAAATTTCCAAAATATGTTCACATGGTTAAGTACTAACTGAAAATAATTTAAAACTTTAATTTTATTCTTTCATTGCATAATAAGCCATTGATATATTAATGTGTTATACTTTGTCATTTCATGCCAAGACATACCCCATCGTGTTTCATTCATAGTTTTATATCAATTCTCAAGCCACTTGTTTCCCAGTATGTATCATAACGTGAAGTCAGTTAAGATTTTGTTGATATTGAAATATAATAAAAAAATTAAGCATTTAAAGGAAGTAGAGATAAAAAAAAAAAATAAAAGGAAAATCACTTATGAAATCAGTCTAAAGGCTCAAGAATCTGGGGGAAAACAGGTCATTTTCTGAATTTCTGAATTCCCGGGTTATTTGACGACCCGGCGGGTATTTAAATGTTTTACTTATGATTCTTACAAAATTCTGAGGAAAATGCAACCACTCATATTTAATCAATTTGAATGCCACCCATACCCTGTCACCTGAAAAAGTTTGGAAATAGTCCTAAGATCTATTAAAAGATTCCACCAAACTTTATAAGCAGTAAGAAAAGATAAATATAGTTTCTTGTTAAAATTTACTTTGACTAATTTTGTACCAGAAAAAAAAATTTAGAAGTATTTCAATTATTAAGCAAACTTTAATTTAACAATTTTCAGTGCAATTGTTATGCTGTTTCAACAACCTCTTGAGATAAAGAAAGATATTCAGTGTGAAATCCTATTTTATTCAATTTTCCTTATTAAGATGTAATAATTAAGATAATAGATGACATAGATGACAACTGCATGAATCATTTCCGAACCACAATTTGACAGATTGTTATTGACAATATTTGTTTACATCTCAATTATCTACATGTTCCGTCACAGACCAGGTGTCGACAATGTACATCAGGTGTGATTTATAGGTGTACATTGGAATTCTTTATAGTCACTCTACAGATTAATTATTTTACCTGTTCATTACTTTTGGGGGGGGATTTTTTAAAACTTTTGATTGATTCCTTTATTTCTTGCTTCAAAGGAAAGAATGGAATGTAAACAAAATAAAACATTCAAACTATTTTTTTGTCGATTATAAAGTGTTTTATTGCTATCTTAGACTTTCATTTTGATTGATATTAGACAATAAAGACAATTTATGTAGTTTACAAACTGATAGGATGATTTCTGTCTTGGTGGGTAAAGTACTGGTAGTATATTCCTTGGCTTTTCTGAATTGATTCATCTGAAGGGTTTTGAAATGACTTTTATAGATATCATTATTAAGCCACTTGCCTTTCAAGTACAAAACAGATGTACACTGTGGATTCGTTATTATTCGTGGGATACCAATTTTCGTTAATTTAGTGGGTACAGGTGAACCACGAATTTAAAGGTTAAACAAAGTACAAATTTTCCATAGGCTTGTAAGCAGACTTATGAAAAACCACGAAATCAAATATCCACAAAAATACAATTTATCCTCAATCCACGAGAATAAATGAATCCACAGTAATGATCTCCCAAGAGAGTTATATGCTAAGAGTTATGTCCCTTGCATTGTAGAAACTGCGTTTTATTAAAGGGCAGGCTTTGTTTGTCCTTTGTTGTTTTCATGTTGTTGCTTCATCTATACTAAGTTTTCTTGAAGATGGATATAGAAGCTGTTACAAGTAAATGTCATTGTTCTTGTCTTAGATAATGAAGAAAGCCAGTAAACAAATTGGTTGACTTTAATTTACAATTTAGTTAGGAATGATTCTCATATCATGTTTTAATAGTATTGTACAAGTTGAAGCTACTACAAGTCATACAAGGAAGATAATATGACATACACGTCTTTGCTAGTATCAAAAGTCTGTATAAAAATTGGATCACTTTGACCTACATTTCATGATTGACTCTTGATTATTTTGTGTATTAATGTACATATCTTTACCAAGTAGGATCCAAATAGGTCCACATGTCTTAGCAGACTGAAAATATTACATGACTTTGATTATAAGTGTATTTTCTGCTTCTTTCAATTGTAGAGAGCCCAACTATTTCCTGTATTAGTTCAATGCAATTTTATCCTAATTAAAGGGCAGGTTATTGATTCCCTATATTTGACTGCCAAATTTCAATTGCTTTCTCACTGTTGCGGTCCCCTGCACCTACATATAATTTTCATGTCCATAGTATATCCCATTTCAAAGATGGTCGAATGGTCGATTTATTAAGGTACTTATTCTTGGGTATTAGACAGGTATCCTTGTCAACAGGGATCCTTTTCCAAATGCTCTTGTTTCTTGATTATAATGTTTTGATTTATCCATGGAAAAGTAGGATCAAATGAGAGAAGGATCCATCATAGCTGTTCTATGTTAGGTTTTTTTCTCGGTAACGAGGTTTTGATGTCAAATAAATCTTACATCATTCTACAAGTTCTCATGACAAGTTTTCCACACCATTAGTTGATTTAGATTGATATTTCATACTTTTCTATCCCTTTGTAGGTATAACATATTTGTATGTAGATATTTTAATAAATGAGTAAATAATTGGTTTAATATTGTTTATTCACTACATAAAATATGTTAATGAATTACACTTTAATTAGAATATTGACAACAAAACGACGTGATAATTTGTCGGATATTGTTGAAATAGTCCAACACTGTAAATTAGAAATTATTGCAAAAAAAAATGCAACAGCATCAGGTCACGATAATAAAACCTTGCTTTATAATTTCAGTAGTGATTTTCCTCATACAATTTTTGCAAACACATTAACTAGATTTCACATTTTTGACAGAGGTCAAGGATTCCCAATTATAAATGCACCTATTAATTTCTGAATTTACAGTATATGGTACAATTTAACTTTATGATGAAGACACATAGCAGACCTTAGATTGATATGAATTTATTTTTAAAGAAAATGATATGAGTTGTAAACATGATATTTAAAATGAACAAGAATGTGTCCATAGTATATGGATGCCCCACTCGCACTATCATTTTCTATGTTCAGTGGACTGTGAAATTGGTGTCAAAACTCTAATTTGGCATTAAAATTAGAAAGATCATATCATAGGGAACATGTGTTCTAAGTTTCAAGTTGATTGGACTTCAACTTCTTCAAAAACTACCTTGACCAAAAACTTAAACCCAAAGCGGGACAAACTGACAGACGGACGGACGGACCAATGGACGGACGAATGGACGAACAGACTGAAAAACATATTGCCCCTAGGTGGGGTATAAGAATAGTTGTATATGCTATGCTAAAACTTTGTACTCAGCTGATAGGGTACAGACTTAACATATTAAACAGATCCTTTATTGCAATCTTTAACCATTTACTTATATTATTGTTTGTATGAGTTGTTGTTAAACAAAATCATTAAATACTGTCAATTCAGATATTTTGCTCGCATTTGTTGCCCAATGGACAAAAATGCAAGATAAATTATTGTGATTACAGGATATACTGCATACAAGTAATTCAACCAAATTTCAAAATGCACATTTTAATTTTTATTAATTTTTTACCTATCCTGTTGCATTTTTGGCAGTAATGAAAACATCGCAATCATTTCTGAATTTACAGTAATCAGTTTATAAACTTGTTAATTTATCTTTATATTTATTTACAGAGTAATGGTACTTGATCAAGGTTTAATTAAGGAGTACGACTCACCTGACAGTCTATTGAAGGACAAAACTACAGTATTCTATGGAATGGCCAAAGCTGCTAATATTGTCTCATAAACCATTTGGTGAATCAGGGAGCACACCTTTCCTCCTACCAGAAATTGGATTTATTGTGAATGTTTTGATTGTGGTGATAACTAAATTTCTTTGAGCATTACAATTGAGAAGACTACTAAAAATATTATTACCAGTAAAAGTATGATGATGACGACTGGATAAACTGTGGACCTACTGATTACTAGGTCTGTTTAGGGACATCATGTCTGTATGATATTCATGTGCCAATAAAACAACTAAATCTAAAACTACTGTTTAACATGTTGAGAAGTACAGTTCTGAATTTTGAATTATAAATGTTGAATAATTGTAGTGATGGCTTGTGTGGCGTGTTAATTTTCATATAGATTTAAGTTAATTGGTTGTCTTCCCTTAAGGTAGTTAGGTATCAGATTTACATAAAACTGTATCCTTGCTGATAAAAAACCAGAGCATTGCATTAACTGCATGGAAAAGAGAACTTGATACCAGAAATTAAAAGACGGAATAAGAGAATTTTGTCCATGTTTTAAAACCTTTTGATGAATGAATAATGCAATTCACTTCAGGTCAAAAGTCAAACTATTTAGACTGTAGATAAGTTATATAACTACTGGAACTACCCAAAACATATTGTTAAGACATTTACTTACATAAATAACCAATGAATAAATAGAAAGAAAACAAACATTTGTATGCCCCTGCTGCAGCTGAGGTTGCATTAAGTGCTACCCTTGTACATCTGTACATCCCAAAATTAGTTTCCGTTCTCTAACTTTTAGTTTGCCTCAACTAAATGTTATAAAACTTGTACACAATGCTTTTTACCACAAAACTCAGATCAAGTTTGAATTTTGGTGGCATCACTTATACCGTTCCAGAGTTGTGCCGTTTACAAATGGAAACATTGCTGAATTTTTCGTTTCCGTTCTCTAACTTAAGTTTGTCTCTACCAAATGTTATGAAACTTATACACTATGCTTATTACCACAAAACTCATATCAAGTTTGAATTTGGGTAGTGTCACTTTTACTGTTCTTGAGTTGTGTCCCTTTATAACGTTATATGCAATCGGGGACATCATCTGTGTTCCATCGACACATTCTTCATTTTTTTTTCATCTAATTATAGAAAGTCTTCTTCTTTTGTAAATATGACATCCATTGATTCCTATAAAAGAGTTAAAATTTATAAATTAAAATTACAATTCCATATTGTTTATGTTATGATAAATGCTTTTGTTTTTTTTCTTTTATAAATCAACAATATACATCTATTTGCCCTCTGTGATTTTTACCTGTACCTCGAAATGATAAACAGACAAACCATGAGAAAAAATTTCAGTACTTCAGTGTGCTCTGCATTGCACTGGATTCAAAAGGATTAAGTGTCGAATCTGCTGAAGACAATCTCACGCATGCGTATTACATGTAAATAAAGCACATGTTTAACACATGAAAAAAAATACTTTTTTCTACGTAAATTAAATTAAGTTTTTATTTTTAAATCAGAATTGACGACTGTTTTTGCTGAAAGTAATTAAATAATGATGACAGTTGTCATGGAATTTTAATTTCTTTATGATAATAGTTCTGATCAATGTCAGGTGTGAATTAAAAACACAGGTAAAAAATGATTAGTGATCATTAGTAAATATTTCCCGGAGGCATTAATACAGTTATTATGAGGGCCCTCTGGATTATCATACTATACTGGAGTGGCAGTTTTATTATAGGAAAGGGATTACAAAACAAAAACAAGTGCAAAATGGCGAATAAGAAACCCGATCTCATTGAAATGACCGAAATTATTTCTGTAAAAAAATAAAATTTGTCCTAAATCCCATTATTTGGTTTAGGACAAATAGCTTTCAGTTAAGGTCATGACTGGCAAATATGACCGTTTCCGGACCCTTGATTTTGACCAAAGTTTTACTATATTACTTCATTTACTGTGTTAATATACAGTGACAAGATTTAAATGTGCCATTGAATTTTTATACAGATAATTATTTTTTTATACCTTGTACTTTATAGTTTCCATCAAATTTAAAATATCAGTTATTTGCTGTATAAATATTAATTTTAATGTGTTTATTTAAAATACCAAGATAAAGTATCTATAAATTTAAATGTTGTATTATATGAAGTTCACACAAGTGCCATGGACTCAGATCTTTCAATTTCAATCACATAATTTTATTTTCTTTTCTGTTTATTTTTTTAATGAGTTTATTTTTATATACAGCCAAATTTATCAATGAATGATTGTTTTTTTCAAGGAAAAATTTAAAGATATAATTGAATGAGCTCCATAGAAAACAATAGATATTGTATTCATTCAATGAACAGTTCAATTGGCAAAAATATAAATGGCCAGGTAAACACTAACTGATTCTGGGGAAATCCTTTGCAATAAAAAGATAGATGCATGCAGTGCTTTCCTTTAATATCATGAAATTTATTGAAAACTTTAAAACCAAATCTGTGATAACTAAGGGAGCTACCATTTGATTTTTATGGGGGGCTAGGATGAAAAATTTTGTCCTGCCTTTTTATTTTTCCCTCTATTCGGTCCTGCCTTTTTATTTTTCACTCTATTCGGTCCTGCCTTCTGTTTTTTTTAGTTTATCCTGACTTTTTTTTACATAAATTGTCATCCTGCCTTTTTTTTTTGCAAATAATCTCATCCTGCCTTTTTTTTACTCAAAACTCCTGTCCTGCCTATTTTTTTCAAATTTCATCCTAGCCCCCCCCCCCATAAAAATCAAATGGTAACCCCCTAAAGTTGGATACCTGTGGTAGGAAATATATATTATATAAGTGGTAGACTTATTATAAGATATTCAAATTATGGTTGGAAAAACTGACACTGACCTTTTATTCCATATAACTGCAATTTTGCATCAGATTTGATTTGTATTCTCCTCTTGCAACAACTGCATTGTACACATGTAATGTATTTGAGAATTGTGTGTTATAAGTGTTTGTTATGTATTTTTAGGCATTATATACTGTGATTATTAAGTTATAAATTATTTAATCAGATAGTATTTAATAGTAGTGATTAATTAATGTAGTAATTGTGGGATGGCAGATCTGATGAAAGACATGTAAATTTTACAGACTGTTTGGTAAGTACATTTGTCCAATTAAAACTGAATTTGGTTGACTGAATGTAAAAGGCAGAGATTTATCAAACTAATCCAAAATTTCTTGTTTACCACTATATACTGAATGGATAACTGAAATATTTGCTATATATGAAAAAAGTCGTGCATTTTTAATTGTTTACAGGAGGTTAAGTGAAAATATTATTATAAAGTTAAGTTTTGTGTTGGTGCAAATTTATGTTAGTTTACTCTGAAGTGCTAAAATAACTTTTTATTAAACTTTATTTTTATATATGCTATTATTTATATATTTCTGCTTAAAGTACATATAATTGATTATTAGTGTGAGGATTTTCTGACCACTTTTTGTTGTAATATTACCATTATATTTTTATAGATACATGTACATAGACAATGAATTCATTCAAAGCAATTTTCTAGAATTTCCATTGTAAGGGATCTTGATATTTGTGTAGAGTATGCTGAATGAAGCAGGGTACTGATTTAAACATAGATTGACTTTATTGAAATATTGTATGGCCTATTGTAAAAATAAATGAAAATGAGCCTAGCATAATGTAAATTATTGGATACAGTTTCCATCAAACAGAAAGCAGTTTCCCTGTTACATATTGTATTTTTTAATTCAGTCACTATTTTCACATTTGATGCATTAAAAGTATACAAACTTTCAAATTGAATAGTTCTGTTCATTTCCAACAGGAGAAATCTCGAAAGAGTAATAATTAATAAATGGATTCCACAAAGATTTCAGATTATAAAACTTTAAAACAAGTGAATTTTTTTCTAGGACTTAATCTAGAATACTTCAGGGACTTTACAGAACTTTTTTTTTTAATTGAAATATGGTAAATTCTGTCAACAGGTTATCCTTAGGTTGAGTGCTCAGTATATATAGGCAAAATTAGTACCATCGTCATAATCTATTAGTTGTTTGTTGTTCAATGCCAGTAATTTGTAAATACATAAAATTCATATCAGAAATTCAGGGTGTTTCTATTTTTTTTGTGATTTGTATTCAACTTAAAATTATGTAGTAACTGCATTTGGAGTATTTTGTGGAGAACTAAGCTGAAATAAAATTGAAAAAAGATATAAATTAGTTAAAAATAGTTTCAATAAGAAAATTTAACCAACTTGATATGAATTAGGTATACCGCCTTGCATATTTGCTTTCATGTTGTTAAAACTATGTAAAATCTATCTACAATTTGAAAATTAGTTATTCTTGTGTTTGTTTTTCATAGAATTTAACATTATATCATTTTTATTAATAAAACTGGAAAATTATAGATGTTGTCAAGTTATGTCATTATATGAGATACTATAGACCTATACCAAAGTAACCATGATTAACACTATATGAGATACTATAGACCTAAACCAAAGTAACCATGATTAACATTCTATGAGATACTATAGACCTATACCAAAGTAACCATGATTAACATTATATGAGATACTATAGACCTATACCAAAGTAACCATGATTAACATTATATGAGATACTATAGACCTATACCAAAGTAACCATGATTAACACTGTATGAGATACTATAGACCTATACCAAAGTAACCATGATTAACATTATATGAGATACTATAGACCTTAACCAAAGTAACCATGATTAACATTATATGAGATACTAGAGACCTATACCAAAGTAACCATGATTAACACTATATGAGATACTATAGATCTATACCAAAGTAACCATGATTAACACTATATGAGATACTATAGACCTAAACCAAAGTAACCATGATTAACATTATATGAGATACTATAGACCTATACCAAAGTAACCATGATTAACATTATATGAGATACTATAGACCTATACCAAAGTAACCATGATTAACATTATATGAGATACTATAGACCTATACCAAAGTAACCATGATTAACACTGTATGAGATACTATAGACCTATACCAAAGTAACCATGATTAACATTATATGAGATACTATAGACCTAAACCAAAGTAACCTTGATTAACACTATATGAGATACTATAGACCTATACCAAAGTAACCATGATTAACATTATATGAGATACTATAGACCTAAACCAAAGTAACCATGATTAACATTATATGAGATACTATAGACCTAAACCAAAGTAACCATGATTAACATTATGAGATACTATAGACCCTTTACACATTTAACCATAAAATTTCTTTTGACTCCAAAAGTTGTAGTTTTTTAAGTCCTTAAACTTCAGATCTATTGAATTTAGAATCATGATGGTTTTGAACCAAATCAGATATAATTTCTTATTTTGGAAAATGTCCCCATCCTTAAAGATTCACACATGTCTAGCAACATGTATGAATGCTAAATTTTCCTGCAATCTATACTACTGAAGTAATTGAAGACAATGTAGTGGGGTTGTCATCACATAACGTGGAAATAACAAAGATTTTTAATTCATGTCTTATACATGTAAGACTATTGAGTGTAGTCTGCAAAATTCTCCTTTACAGATCTCTATGTATTTGACAATTAACAAATTCCTGCTTCTTTCCAATATGGTTCTTTTGTAAATAGAGTTGTCAACCTCTGCCCAGAACTTACAAAGGAAGAATAAAGGAGTAAGATTATTTCTCCCATGGAAGTGACTAAAATAAAAAAAATCTTAATGGTATCATTGAAGTCTTCTATCTGACAGATACCTTCTTGACCTGGTTGACCATTAGGAACTATCTTTGTTACAGATGACCACTATACCAGGGTATATTGCATTTGTCACACAGCCCAACTTATTATTCAAAAGCAAATTTTAATGATTTTTACCTGTCATCTTCTACACTACAGGTACCACAACTTGATCAGGAACCTACAGGAGCTTACCCAGGTTTAAAAAAAAATTCTGGTGCATAAATCAATCGTTTCTCCGTCTGTCCTCCATTCCTTGTGTATGAAACAAATGGTTTCCAGATGATAACCTTAGTATCCTTGCTTGTTTGAAATGAAACTTATACAGATAAAAAATATATTGGAAGTCGAGAATTGTTCAAATTTTGGGGTCAGTAGGTAAAAGGTCAAGGTCACTTTCTAAAACTAGATACTTTTTATATGGTTTTAGAGAGGTCAAGTAAGTCTCCCTTACTTGATTGGAATGAAACTTAAACAAATAGATGATAAAGGGGGAGGGAAATATAACTTTTGACTTTTGGATCAAATTCCCTGTTACTAAAAATGGAAATAATTGGAAAAATGATTCCAGGATTGTAGCTTGAACTTCCCTTGCATGATTGGAATGAACTTAAATAGATGGAAAACGTATGGAAGGAGAAGAAGCCTTTCGATTTTTGGGTTAATTGGTTAAAGGTCAAGATCAATAAAATCAGTAAAAGTTAAGAAAAATTATTTCTGGGTGGTAACTTGAGTTTCTATTACTTGATTGGAGTGAAACTTGTACAGGTGGAGGATACAGGGAAGAGGAGGAAGTCTATTGCTTTTGGGGTCAAGGTCACTGTAACTAAAAATGGAGTTTCCCTTACTTGATTGGAATGAGACTTATATAGATGGAAGATATAAGGAAGGGGAAGAAGCCTAATAATTTTGGGCTAAACATATCAAAAGTCGATATGTCACTGTATATAAAATTTTGTTTTTCTGAAGTTGGTTTCGGGTTGTTATATAACAATAAATTGTAATACATTCATAGAGGTGAAAAATTAGCAATAATAATGCCGGTGACGTTCATTTGTCTCATCAAGCTACCACTATTTTTAACACTTAAAATACAAATATTTTCTCTTAATAAATGTTTAGTTCGAGGAGCATCATTTGATAGTGCCAGGTTTTTACTCGTTTCTATCATGATGATTGATATTTAATTCAATTTAGTCAAAAGAATCAAAGAAAACTGATATACATCGTCCCATCACAATCAATTTGGATATTCACTTACTTAATAAAAAAAAAATACGACGAGTTTTATAAACCTAGAACTTAGACATGCATTTTTATTCAATTTACATTTTCTGTCAGTATGGAATACGGCTGCTTTATCTGATTGTTCATTTTACTATTTTAAGTAAGCTAGTGTTTTCACGAATTTGTCAGATAATTTGGAGTTAATGTCACACGCTTGCAACAAAACTCTCAGTAAAGGCAGGACAAAGTATATGCACATTTTTACATTTAAGAAGATTGAAGTGGTCTAGACTACTAAAAATGTGTTATATAGTAGTTTCAGAAGAGGTCAAAGGTTCATTTCTTGTATACAGATGCATTATGGTCTGCAGGTTCCTGTTGTCCATGACCTCATTTTCATGATTCAATTACTATTCAATACAATTTCTGTACATTTTTCATGACTAAGTCAATGGATCTTTTGAGTTTTCTGTAAGTATGAGTTATGGCAAGCCGTTTTACTATTTATTCCAACTTCAAGATATCTCATATAATATATAAGACATTTCATATAATATATAAGATATCTTATATAATCCAGTTTTTATAAGATATCTTATAAACTTTATAAGATAACTGCTAAAGTTTATAAGATATCTTATGAAAGTATATAAGATATCTTATTAAGAAAATTATATGAGATATCTTATAAACTATATAAGATATCTTATAAACTATATGAGATATCTTATAAACTATATGAGATATCTTATAAAGTTTATAAGTTATCTTGAAGTTTGAATAAATAGTTAAACGGCTTGCCATAATGAGTAATGGTTTGTGGAAGTCTATAGCATGACTGTAGTAAAAATGTCTGATACCACTTTTCAGTGTTATACAAAATTTTTTTATGGAATATTCCTCAACGTTAATGATCAGTGATTTTTTTTAAGCCAAATTCACAAAATGTCTGTGAGCATCAAATCCAAATATTCGGAAATAAAGGAATACCTGACCTTGATCTCGTATGCACGAACGAGGGAACACCTGACCTTGATCTCGTATCCATGAACGAGGAAACACCTGACCTTGATATTATTTCCATGTATCATTGATCAACATTACGTTTACGTGATATGGCAAGCATTTCAGTCACAATGCTCATGTCTGTTAGACAAGCTTCTCATGATCTTGACCTTATTTATCAATGTTTTCATGACTAAGCCTGTTTCTCCTTTCCTAATGGATTAATTGATTAATTAATTGTTTCTTTCTCAACGCCATCTTAACACATAATGACTATATCGTGGCGAGCTTTTTCTTTGTCCCAATAATTGGTATAAATCATTGCTAAAGTGAATATGGTATCTGATCTTCCATTGTTACTGTAGTCGAACTGAAATCAGTGTAACTTGCATCACATTACTTGACAGGGATCGCCTAACCCGGGACCTTATTTTTATAGCCCGTGTATTCCTATCAAACGCTTTGTGATCATACATTAGTTTTAAATCTGTTTTTGTATTTTTAGAAGACAATATTATTTCAAGGATTTGTATAGGGTCTCACTATACAAATCCTTGATTATTTATAGTCATTTATTATCATCTATATGTTGTAAGTTTGATACACACAGATTCAATACTTAAACTGCGGGTGTTATTTATTTTAATTTTTTAATTATAAATGACTATTGCTAATAATTCACCGAACTGACTGCCGTTTTCTCTTCGTTTTTTACTGTCCCTTTTTCTGTAGTTTGTCAAAAGTAAACTGACAATTTAACTTTTATGTACGTTCAATAAAGAGAATATGGAATAAGAAAAGTAGCAAATTACACTGTGCCAATTTAAACTGAAAAATCCAGTTATATTCAACTAACCATCGGAATCATTCGTAATTAACTGAGGCTAGTAGTGCAGGAACATATATATGTTAGATATACTGTTCCCAGAGTAATGTTACCTCCAGATAAGCCTTTCTTCGATTAAGTGCGAGTAATCATTTGAGCAATTGCCGATTAAATTCGGTCTATTAAAAGTTTCCATGACGTTTTAATCGAAATCAGCACAATTTGCTTGTGCAAGATAATATTTAAAAGTCAACAAAATCTTAACTATTCGAACAATTGTTTTCGGGAAATTCATGGCATTAAACTTGATTTAAATGCGTTTTTCTTTTGCAATGTAGATCAACTGGTCCCGTTTATTTTTAGGTTTACATGTATCACAAGGCTAATAAGTAAATGAGTGTTTTAATCAGGTTTTGTTTCTGTTTCCCCTTTTACAGTTTCTTGCGCTCCCTATAGCCATGGATGGATGGGGTTTACAGAATAGATGGGCAAAAAAATAAAGAATAGAGAAAAATTTGAAACAAAGTTAAAGAATAAGATTGGTAAACACTGAACTAGTCGTAATCAAGATGTATTTCTAGTCACTTACCATTCACAAGAAAATTGTAGCGTACACAAGAAAATAATAACTTACTATAGCTAAACCATACACAGGAAAGTTTTTACTTACTATAGCTATACCGTCTACAAGAAAGTTTTTACTTACTGAAGCTGTACCGTACACTAGAACATTCTTTTTGTCTTTAAGGTTTTTTTAGTTGTATGGTTGCAGTCTCATTGATGTATATTTTTTTTATATGTTAGATGATAAGGTCCTATACCATTGTTTTGGTGTATACCACATAACATAATGATACAATTTTCTCATCACGATTGCGGTACATGTGGTCTTTCGTTCGTATTTTTTGCCGTGATAAATTTTAATTACTGTCACTTTTGAATGCACAATATGATAAACATCAATGTCAAATTATTCTTTTTTACGCTTTTAAAAATCTTTATTTACTTAAAAATTTACAAATGCAGTAAATAAAAAGAAAGAGGGCAACTCTGTTCAAAAGATATTTAGAACATGTTTTAAATAATTAATGCGAAGTTTATTCATGAAGAAGAAATATTAACGTCATGTCAATTAACGCCCGTCTCGAATTTTTCAATCAGACTGTAAAAACAAGTAAAATAGAAACATGGTGAAATTTCAATAGCAATACAACGTTTTTAACGATATACTTTATAGATTTTTCAACAGATTTGTCTTTATCCATAAAATCGAAGTTTAATTCAGCGATATCAGAAGTCTGTTACTAGTGGTGGACTTCTGGCGATGTATATAAATTTGAACCTCAACATATACATGCACACATGAAGCTGTTTTGATGTAAACTGATATATTTAGATTGAAAAAAAATGGAAAATTGGTACCGTCTCTTTCATTATTCTTATAAATGTATTCAAATGTATAATTGAAAATAAAATAATAAGAAAATGTGGTGTTGGTGTACTCACACAGCTATTGTCATTATTCAAATCTCACATACTAAAATAATTTTATGACTAAAACCGTTAATTAAGAGTAAGACTGACTGATAATCTGCATTTATTGTAAACTATATCAGTGAAATGTGAATTTTGTTTAATTTTAAAATAGTCCTCTTAAATTTGCAAAGGAAAATTCTTTCCCAAATTGGAGAAAAATCAATGAAAGATAGTAACGATTCACCGATATCACCGAATGACTAATCAATGTTCCATCTAGTAATATCTTAAACCAATGAATTGTGTTTTTAAAAAAGGAAAAATATACAATTCCTTGTTTACACTGAAATCTGAATTTTGACTGAGATTTGGAAAAATCTGTTCAAGCTTTGAGAACATAACTTAAATTAATGATTTGTAACGACGTTGACGTATATTTTGTTAAAGTAATGAGACGTCGGGAAAGGTTTTCATGGTCAATTGTTAAAACAATTTGTCACTTTTTCAATCATACCAGGATGGTCATCAATGTATTCATTCGTGCCTGTAATTACAAGAAAAAGGAAAACATAGTAAATATTCCCACTTAGATATTTGTTATAACAATTAAGTTTCTTTAACCATCCCCCAAAAATCAAAATATGTCATCCCATATATAGTATTTGTCATTGTTTGTGTATATTCATCGGTAATTAACTTTCCCGCATTGTCCTGGTATTATTACTATTTACAATAGTATTTACATACTATTTGATACTTTTTTTATTACAAACATCGCATCGAAAAGGGGGACCACCATCTTTTCTGAACGCAGCCCCTCTAATTTCAGTCTAATTTAGGCGCGGATTCAGACAGGGGTGCACTTGGCTTACGCCCACCCTAAAATGTAATTCAAAGGTAAAATTACAGCCATTTTTGGGGTCAAAATATGGTCCTTCAACTCCTTATTTTCAGGAGCGCCAACCCAACCCCCAACTTCAGATCATGCCTGGATCCGCGTCTGTAATAGACTTGTCATATGAAAGAAACAGATGGTATAGCAGAGCCAGAACATTGTTATTTTTATTATTAAATTTGCAAAATTTTGACGCATACACTCAGCCCATTCACATTAATGTAGAGAGAAAAGATATGTTATATCCTACCAAATCGTCTACTTAAAAAGTATATGTTAACAATTATTTTGAATGATTTTACGAAAAAAACATTTGTAACACTAGATTTCAGTGCCTGGTCATTTTTATTGTATGAAAAACACCACAGTTATTGAAGTACGCTATACACATTTTCTCGATGTTTACTCATCAATCAAAAAGATGACAGGACGTGTCCGCCGACTAACTAGGTAGGAATATTTACTTCCCGCTATGACGCTGATTCAATATTATAATTAATAATCACAAGATCGGGATATATATAAACTTAAATAAAACAGTAGAAGTGTCAGAAATAACTTAACAGCATAATGAAGATATCAGTTTTATTTATTGTTTTAATATCATGTAAGTAATTTTCGATAGAATAAAACAAAATCATTCTTATGATTATATTTATTTGTCAATATATTGGTGGATGTTTTTTTTTTTAATTTAGTGTTGCGCTTTAAAATGGTTAACTATCAAAGAATTCAAGAAAGTAACTAAGAGTATCTGTCAGAACAAGAAGTTAAGATGTTGATTTTGATATACATGTACAATGCATAAATATTTGTACAATACATGTACATTTGTACATGTAGATAAAAGATAAAACTATTTGCAAGAGGAAGTACAAACAGTACAAAAATCACAGAAAATAGTAATAATAGCTTTGTATTTCAACAGATGTATGGAAAATTCAATGTGCTACGACAGGGATACACGATGCTGCACCTGTTCTTTCCTCTACCGGAAATAATCCATCAAATAATATAGTGCAGTCGAAACCAGCCGCCGTAGGGCCAATCGTTAGACAATCATTAGCATCTCCATCAGATGCTACTACATTTGGACCTATGTTAGACGGCGTATTAATAGAACCAGTACCAGCCAATACAAATGGTATCTTGAGCCAATTTCCAACATACAAAAATGTACCGATTCCCATTCTCATAAAAGATGACAATTTACTGATTAAAACTCCACCTACCGAGGAAATCCCCATTCCCATTTTGATTAAAGATGGGAATATAGCCACTACAACTATACAAGAGGAGAATGTATCAAATCCTATACCAAGACAAGACAAGAATGTCAACACACTGGGAGAACCGTCACCAGAAACTACGCCAAAACCTATTCTCATTATAGATGACAATTTAATGTTAACGGGTGGTAAGGAAACGACAAATAAAGAGCCCGCACCAGAACCTACGCCAAAACCTATTCTCATAATAGATAACAATTTAATGTTAACGGGCGCTATGGAAACGACAAATAAAGAGCCTTCACTAGAAACTTCACCAAAACCTATTCTTATTAGAGATGATAATTTAATGTTAACGGGCGTTAAGGAAATTACAAATATAGAGTCAATGGAAACAATTAAAAACCCGTCTACAGCAAACACGATTGATCCCGTGTTGACTGCAGTTGCTTCTAGTATATCACATCAACATATGAAACCATGTCCTGAGTTTGATTCACGATACGAGAAAGGAACGTTCGTTGTAACATTAGATGATGGAAAATGTGAAATGTAAGTAATGCATTATATGGTATAAAACACTGAGATTTAATTGCTGATCCATTATTCAAATTTATGACATTTTGACACATTATTTTGATTACTGAAATGCATCAAATTTTTGTTATAAATACATCCTCTATAGATTTGAAAAGACGCCCATTGTGTAATCAAAAAATTAAAAATGTCTCCATGTACGTATATTTGTTTGCAACAAAATCATAAAATGTATGACTTCAGCTGCGATGTTGCATTTGGTTTTTTTAAACCTAAGACAAACCTTCAATTGTAATCGAATGAAACACGGGCATAAACTTGAAAGGCTTTATTTAGTTTCACACACAAGCGCAAGTTAAACATGTAAATGAATAGTTTTAGGTTGAAAACCTTGTCCCAAAATCATACACTTTTCCTTTTTTATTCAAACGCTAATTTATTCAAACTTTACATTCTGTATAATTATTCGAAAAATTCTTACAGGATAATTAACCAGAAACCCGTCGAGGAAAAGCAGAACGACCAATGGGCTCGAGGAAGATATTCTCCAGTCTATCAATTGTTAACCAGGTAATTACTAGAGAAATGTTGAATGAAAATGAATATTCTTTGGAGTAAGGCCCTCTTTTATATAATCATTTAGTCCTTAAGTACACTAATATAATCTCCATACCTTTGAATAATGCCTTTAGTCGGTTGTTCATTTTTAACCAGTCGGGAAGGTGTACTAGTATGAAATTCAGTACGCTCTTTGCATTCTGTAAAAACTGATTCTTACTCATTTTTATATTGACATGGTAAAATTTTGGATCAATCCGTCGAGAGAGTTTTTATTTTAATTTTTTTTTTTTAGTAAATATCGCTTTTAACATGTTTGATGTCTCTCGCAATGGTAACTTTTTACCAACCTTTTATCAAAACTGATTTGGTTTCTAAATTATACAGTTTTCATAACATTGAAAAGACAATATAGTGGGTTTTTATTAAGGAGGAGGGTTATTCTCCCGTTAAAAATAGATTCACGTTTACACTTCTTTCTACTTTACTGTCACTGAGACCATGGAATTATTGTATAGAAAATACAAAGGTTCTAAGTAGACAAAAAGTCCATATAGTGACATGAAAATAACTTCGACTATATCCCAAATCGCGACTGTCAGCATAGTACATGTCAAAATAAGGAGGACTAAATAGATAATTACCAACCAGACGATGTATCCATCAATGACCAAAGGACTGGGATATTAACAACTATAGACCTACAACCTACAACAATGACCAAAAACTATAGAGTAAGCTGTAAAACATCTGAATAACAAAATGTGAAACAATTCAAAGGAGAAACCCAACGTACTATTTTTGGCAAACGGATAAGCACCGTCTGCCAACTCAAATAAATGCAAATGGTACTGCAATCATTTCAGAAGTTCTTTGGAATATTTTTCGTCTTATAAGCCCTATAAAAAAAAAAATATCGATCCTACATTTTTTTTTCTTTTTATGACACATTTTACAAACATACCAATAAATGTAGTTGAATACAAAAGGGAGCGTCTAAACACCACCTAGGCCGCCTTGGTGCACTAAGCTCCTGAAACTGCACTAAGCCCATGATGGGATGGTGCTATGAATAAAAAAAACATATCATCGGATGTAGTTTTTCCTCAAGATAATATATCTGAATTTTTTTGTCAGTATATATTGTAGTTTTGTCGTAATTTGATTTTTTCTGTCATCAAAGATTTTGTTCGACGGCACGTGCCAGTAATTAACAGGTAATACAATCACTGATCCATGAAGAAATAAAGAAACATGACAATTACATGGCTAATATATAATTACACCTTTTTGTTCGTCGTGTTATATTTTGTTTATGCGTGTGTTATGTTTTTGTAGGATTTAAAAAAAAACTTTGTTTGTATTTCTTTTTAATTCAATGTATTTTTGTTTGTACGTATTTTTTTTTAAGGTTATTATGATTTTAATGATTTTATTTGTTTTTAATAATCAAAACTTCATTATGATTCAAAAGTGCACAATTAACGACTAATATCATGAATTCATTTATTAATATATCATTTTGATAACTATCAACAGATATGAAACATATAGTTTATAAACATATGTAAAGCATGGATGACATTATCAATAAATAAATAAATAAATAAATCATTAAATATAAGAAAGAATCACAAGCAAATATAAGTCATAATTTGTCTATATATACATCAACGATTTTAATATCTAGGTTTTGTACGACACACTCTTGGTCTTTTGCTCTGATTTGGTTTTTTTTCCTAGTCTTTGCGGAATTGGAATTTCAAAATTACTGTTGACAGCTCGAATGACTCTGGTACAGTTGGCTGTTTTGCAGTCGTTCACAAGTTAAAGAAAAGTCTATCTTTCTGTTCTGGTGTTTTAGACAACCAACACTGTAGTGACACTTTATGACTATTGTATTGACCAAATAGTTCATAGTTATCGGTTTCATACAACGTTCTTTTCAAATCAGCAAAATGGACTCTGGTGATGTCATGAAAGTTAAGGAATAGGTCTTGTAGACCTTGTGGCTTCCAATTTATTGACTTTTTGAAAACATGATTGATTGACTCGCAATTATTATTTGTCAATAAGCGGTCCTGGTTTTTAAGCTGCTTCATGGGGACACTGACATGATCAAAGAGTCTATCTCTCGGATGGGCATTAAAGTAAGTGGCAAACTGTGGATACTTTTGAACTATTTCTTTGGATATGCGGTCTTCGCTCTCACCGCATATGGAATTTACTGACCCCATATATATCGTATTAGCTAAATAACACACCATGTAACTAATATTATCTTCGTCATTCCATCTCTGGTGGATAGTTGTCTCATTTACAATCATACCATAACTCCCTATTTTATATGAAATATAAATTTAATAATAATGACCTCTTGCAGAATTTCAAGCGGTCTGTCATACTTGTTGATATTGGGTTGCATTGAACCCCAAGGACGCTACATTTTAACTCTTATATTTGAAATAAGTTTGTATTATAATTTGTGTCTATTCGTGCAAATATTGAAACAGTAAATGGGGAAGAATAAAAAGAAAGAAACAGACTATAATATACTCGACTTTGAGTAAAAGCCAATTTCCATTGTTTTTACTGTTATTTCCGCAAATCTTTTATTCCAAAAAGCGCAGACAAACACTTTTTCCAAATATAATTTTTCTAACAAAGCATCAAAGAAAAGATCAACAACCCTTTTATCATTACTAATTAGCAACAAAGAAAAATAATTTACTAGTTAAAAGATAATCCCTCAAAATTGATTGGAGAAGAAGAGAAGAGCGCGTGCCACGTTAAAAATTTTAATAACTTTTAAATTTCTTTAGATCTTCGAACCAACTTTAAACATAATTTTTTTAATATAATGATTTATATTAACTAATGATCTTGGTGCATATTTAACCTTTCATTCATATCCTTAGTGCAGTGTTTATGAATTCGTCAAGCTTCAGTGGGTTCACTCAACAATATGACAACTGGACACATTACACAAAAGTCGGCGCGTGCCATGTGAAATGTTAATAACTCTTTCATTTCAGAATATATTTATTCCAAAATTTAAATATATGCTCTTTATTCAAAGTGTTATCGTACTGAATGACATTGGTGCTAATATGACTGTTCCATCATGGGCTTAGTGCAGTTTCATGAGATTAGTGCACCAAGGTGGCCTACCGAATAAAAAATACGTATTCCACTTCCCATAAGAATGAATTGTTTGTATTTATACAGCTTAATTAGAAAACCACATTCCTGTTTCGATTTAGCAATAATCAGTTTAATCTATATGTATCAAACATTGATCATTGAATCGAACTTGGGTAACACTATATATAAGTGGAAAAGCATCAGCAAATTGTTTGCCTTCGATCAGTTAAAAAAAAAAATGTTATACACACTCTTTCTAATTTCGGGTTAGGTTAAATCTGATTAAAATTCAGATCTATATTCACTCGCGTGCTCGTCATATGAGTATAGCGAAATCAGAGAACTATATTTTAATTAGATTGGGTAAGGTTCAATGTTTGTACGATAATTTGGTTCTGGGTTCTCAATACTTAGCATAACATTCATACAACTTTGTTGCAGTTTTTGACTAATGTTTCAATTTAATTTAACAGAAAGTACAAACCAGAAGTCACTTTCAGACCGACATCACTGGCAAAAAAAGATTATTTATGTCATCACCATACAAGGGAAATGGGTTCTTTCTTTGTAGTGGATACTGTGTTAGGGCGCTGTCAAATGTAAGTAGTATAAACTGAGCAATTTATCATAAAATAGAGAAGTAATTAAAGGTAAAAAACTGAATATTACGTAAAAGGTACAAAACCCAGAGGTTAAATATACAAATGTATAATAATAAAAGCTTAAAGAAAAGTAAAAAAATACCAAGTAATAAAGCTTTTGTGCATTGTTTTGTGGTTTTAGTTTTTGTGTTTTATCAGCAATATTTTCCCTTTACAACAACCTATCGGTAAGGCAGATACAACATTACAAAATCTAATTGTGTATTGCAATGGCAATTGGAAACACAGACAAAAATCTCCTGTACACGAACGCAAAAACAATTGCAAAAATAGCAATAGAGAATACATATCATATTGTATCTGTCGTTATGATAGCCGGTAATAAGGCGCGTTTAACCACTTCGGTATTTTTCTATTTCATTGTATTCTGGTATTCAATTTTACAACAATTATTTAGAAAGCTGTGCATGTACTTAAAAATCTTTTACAATAATAAGGCATATTAGTTTTCTTACAGTTTACCTGAACAATTAAATTAAATCCACCGGTTCACGATACATTTTCCATTTCAAAGAAAAACTATTATAGCTAGGAAACAATTATGTTTCGCTTCTTGATCTAAATTTCCACCAAATCATGCAAGTTATAACTTACTTCTTTGCTGCTAATCATTTTATTTTTAGGAAACAATGTATTGTTATCAATGCTATCCAATTGATAAAAAACTTAGACTTACTCTACGTTTGAGCACGATGAAATAAAAAAAGAATTGACCACCTGCAATATAAATATATTTGTTTTCTATAGAAGCAGTCTAAATACATGATTGATATTACTTGTAGGTCCAATGCATAATAATTTTAAGTAATGCTAAACATGTTTACTTCAGGGTAATTGGAATACCAACACTGCCTGACCTTCGGTATATTATGTCGAACACAAGACCAGCATGGACTCCACCAATGAGAAATATGCCAAGATGGCCACGACGTTCTTCAGAAAGTGATTCTTCTGATGACTAAATTGTGTGTTTCGTTCAATTCTATTGAAATCCATTCATTATTTCAATCAATTAATTTATTAAATATTTTAGTATAGGTCGATTTGTTTTGCTTTTTTTCATATTTCTCATTTACAATAATCCGCCGTTGCCTAGTGTTTTAAAGAAACTATACCCACCAAGCAATGACTGATTGCTTGTTTGGTTAACGTCCAACAATGAGTTATCACACTTGTAAAACTTTGTATAAATGAAAAACGATGTGATATAAAGGAAGATGCACAAGAGACAACTATAAAGGAAAGATCATAAAAAAGTATGAAAATAATAAGATGTATTATAATTGCCAATGAGACAACTATCCACCACGGACTGAATGACGTAGATGTATACCGATTGTGCAAAATAGAACAGGAAAGAATTGAAATTTCTCGAATAACAACAAAGCAAACTGCGTTGTCGTGATAAGCGTTCCCCAATCGTATTTCAACGTACTATTATTGGAAAACAGGAAGTAGGTTTCAGAGAGATCCGAAAAGCGCATAGATGTTACAAATCCTTACTGCTTGGTCGACCAAATATGTAGTCATACCAAAGGGATATTCAAACTCATAAGTCAAAGACAAACTGACAACGCCATGGCAGAAAACGATGAGGATAATGAGGATAGATGGATAATAAACGTCCAGCGGCAAATCAAATGCATATTCAGGACGAGAAGATGTTAATGTGGTATGAATATGAACCCTGCTTTGTAATAGATCGATACGCTGAATCGGAGTTCAAGAGGTAATAGTCTGCAGGAAGACATGCATATGTTAGCCTACCCGGACTTATGATTCTGATTCCAAGCCGACCAGTCTTTGTTCTTACTCCTTAATGCCATATGCTTGGTGAAGAAACAGCAATGACTAATTTTAAAGTCTTCGGTTTGACACGGTCGGGGTTCGAACCGAAGACCTCCCGCACTCGAGACCACACAACCACCGAGGCGAAAACGAAAATCTATCAAAGACGTGCTACAATCAACAAAACACAACATAATAAACTATAGACTGAGAAAAACAAACCCCACCAAAAATTGGGGATGGTCTTAAGTTAAGAAGTTTCTGAAAAAAATAAAACAAAAATATTTGTTGGACGAATGGACGAATGGACGTACGAATGGATGAAAAAACGGACGAACGGACTAGTGGCCTCAATACAGCCCCATTCTTGAATTGGGTTTAGTATATTCAATGTTGTGTGAAGTTCAAGTCGTGGAAAGTACGAAATTCTTTTTTGAAAGGCAAAAAATATAACTGTTTTTTTTTGTAAAGAATTTTATTGAAATTTAGATATCTTCTGCATAAAATATACAGAATTTGACCATTAACATATACATGTCTGGAAACTATTCATTTTAATATTTTTCAGTCTGGTTATAGTATCTTAAATGACCGACTTGTTAAATAAAAAAAAAATAAAACACAAGATGGATTTTCACGATCTGTTTTCTCTTCCTTTACTGACTGTCAAGCTGCCATGGGCTATGAATTTACAACAACTGGTCGTGAAATCAGTCTGCAAGTATAAAATTACATAATTTCCTTTTAATGTAAGGGACATTGAAGTTCTCTTTGACACACTACATACACATGAATTATTTTTAACTGTATTCCGCATGTTTAAGACCCCAAAATAACTTTTTAGAATGTATTCTGTATGTTTTTTTTTAATTATCTGTATTCTGTATGATTTTCTTTTACTGTATTCTGCATTTTCAAAACCCAGGAATAACTTTTGTCAATAAAGGAATTGCATGTTATCACTATTCTTGTGATTAAAACTGAAATGTTACTGTAGAAAAATATCTCGGAAATTTGATGGAGTATGGTAAGCCGTTCTCGTCAAAACTATGTAAGTCATATTTCGAAAAATTTACACACTGAGATTTAAAAAAAAACACACAATGAGTTCGAAAAACTACAAAATACACGTTTAGATAAAAAAAAAAAAACCAACATCATTGAGATTTAAAAAGGTTCAAAAATAGAGGAAGATACTCACTTCGGTTGGGGAGAAAATGGATTCATCTCTCTGAATTGTTTCACTGCGAAGGTGCTATAAAAAATAAATGTTATGTTGTATTCCAGCATTTTACTGTAGCAATTTATAGTCACAGATTGATGTATATCATTATGAAAATCAGCCGAAGTGAAATAAAAATAATCATGAATGTAAATATAGAAAGGGAATCTATGATTTTTTTTTTTTTTTTGTGATATAACTTTATCTAATCTATATAAATTTGCTTCCTACTAGAAAGATAGGATTTTGCAGTAAAGTAATCTTTTTTTTTGTATTCAACTGAAGCCTTTCAAATAATTGCTTGTATGTAAGAAACACGCAAAGTGATATATTTTATAAGTAATAATGCGATTGCTCTGTTTTCCTGCGTGTTTGTTCTCATCTTTAATCAAACTTCTCTATTTCTTTTTGCTTTAATTATTCATGAAACATGTTAAAGCGGTTTTTTATATTACTACTGGGTAAAAGTCTCTGATGACTGATGACCCGGTATCAAGGACTTCTAGAAAAAATGAAAAAAAAAAACGAATTCAAAAAGGGGCACAGCGGACATCCGCCCCGGCCTCCCTTAATATTTTAAAAATAATGTGTGTAAAAATAAATTAAAAAATAATCGTATCGCTCCGCTCAGCAATACTCTGGGGATTGCGCCTTTAATCATGAATCCACTCCTTGAAACGCGGGTTTCCAGTAGTTAACTATTAGTCTGGCAACTTTGATGAGCTTTAGTTGGTGATTTGAAGGTCGGTTACACTGTACCCCCTTCTATATAACAAGACATATTCTCAAACATATGTTTGTACTTACAACTGACAGTTTTTGGTGGTTTTTACAGTAACGAGAAATCCTTTGTATTCATACGGCAGTTGTCGACAGATTGGTAGTATATTTTTGAAATGTAGAATTGGTACGTAGGTCCTGAAAATTGTGAGAAAAAAAAACGATTTTTAGATGTTGGTAATCAAATGCATTGGTAACATATAAAACTATGCCAAAAAGATTTTGCGGTGTATGTAATAAAATGCATTGGTAACATACAAAAACTGTGTCGAGAAGATTTTGCGGTGTTGATAATAAAATGCATTGGTAACATAGAAAACTGTGTCAAACAAAATTTTGCGGTGTTGGTAATAAAATGCATTGGTAACATATAAAAACTGTGTCAAAAAGATTTTGCTGTGTAGGTAATAAAATGCATGGGTAACATATAAAAACTGTGTCAAAAAGATTTTGCGGTGTTGGAAATAAAATTCATTGGTTACATATAAAACTTAAAAAAAAACACTTCGGTGTTGGTGATTAAATGCATTGGTTGCACATAAAATTGCAATAACAATTTGTCAGTAAAATGGTATCAAAAAAGAAATCACCTTAAGTTATATAGTCTTTATAAGGAGACAAATATGTTATACATTGGATAGTCATATCATTCTCGTCAGATTCGCTAGTACTAATGCAAAGACAACAGACATGTTTAAAACTGATGAAACAAAACTTTGTACATTCTGAATCCTCCATTCAGTGTTTTTTGAAAAGTAGCATCAAATGAAAATCAAAATATATTGCAGGGATATAATACAAGATCTGTAGATTAAGCCATATCAAAAAGATGGTTTATTTTTAGTTCTGTCTGGTCTTATATCATTTCTTATTATTTCCATTACTACAAAGAAAACTAAGGCTAGAGAAACACGAACCCATCAAAAACCGTAGGTGATCTAAGGTGCTCTGAAGGGTAAGTAGTTCCTGTTCTTATTGTGAAATCCGCCATGTTGCTCGTGCAGAGTAAAGTTGATAATAAGTCACATTCTGTTATATTTTAATGTAACATTACTTCATTACTATTCCGTAGTAAATCTTTTTATAATCCATTTATCAGGTCGGGATATGCGAACTCTAGATTTCCTGACGCCAGAATATATTTGCATAGTAATTTTATAAATTGAAGGTGAACATGGCCTTGAAAAACTGACCAATCGACTCAATGAACTACAATGCATTGTGGGCTACTACGAGTTTACTACCACTTAAAAACACGTGGAATTAGTGGGAAAACTGTCAAATAATATAGTGTCTGGGGCTCTCATAATAAATGTTTTTGTTCACGGTGTTTTATGTAAAATATATAGCATAATCTTCAATTTGCATGCTCAGATAAAAAAAAATAATTGTTTACTGGCTTCACGATTCGACTTTCTTTTTCGCCTTGTAAAAGTATTTGAACAGGTTTTGTCACCATTGTTATGTCATGATGCATTGTATCTGTGCATTAATTTCACGTGAAACAGTGAAATTTCCGAAGAAGTAACCACTGTCCAGTATAATCAAAGTACCGAAGTACTGAACATCGGATGACCGCAAGTTATGGTGGATGGTCACAAGCACTTATCTCAAAAAAAAATTATATCTCTATACCTGAAAGTTAGGTTAAGGTACATAGATATATTTTTTTCTGAGACAAGTTCTTGTGTGGATGATGAATAAATGATAGGGAATTCAACCTCACCGTAATAATTATTATATTGTAGTGATATAATCATTTGTTATCAGTATACTCTGGTTTTGTTGTTATATATTATATTAATATTTGTATAACAGTAATATATATATAACAGATCATCTTAATTACTCTACAGGCAATTTTTAATCCATTTATATATCATTCTATTCTACTATTCTAATGATAGTGAAGTGCAAGTGTATGGTGGACACTCTTCTGTAAGAATTCGTTTTTCTAATAGATTGGATTTGAGTAGGCATTCATACTTTCCCGCTCTTGTTGCAAAACGTGTTCGAGATATCCTTCCGCATGCGTTAACACAAATTTTCGGTATTCATGATTTGTTATTGATATATATATTTCTCACGACAAAACATTTTCATATCATATATTTATGTTCTTACAAATTATTTTCATGAATATTTATTGATGAAATTAATATATAACAAGCGATGAGGAATGTTATTTTGCACTCGATAATATCCGCGTAATTTTACGAAATACGTTATCCGTCAAAAGGCAAGGAAATTTCTGCGGCAACATAACACCGGTATGACCACTCAAGGTTACATCCGATGTAAAATTCATTTGAGCTCTTTTAAACCTGTCAAAACGACTTGAATAAATGGGTTACACCACAGTCGCCTGAAGATTTCGTAATTATAGCGAAAAAATGGTGGAAATAAAATATTTTTAGTAGTATTATAATAGAATAATATTCTATTATAATACTACTAAAAATATTTTATATTCTATTATAATACTACTAAAAATAGTTTATTTCCACCATTTTTTCGCTATAATTATGAAATCTTCAGGCGACTGTGGTTACACGTCCATCTATATATATATGCTATTGGATTTTTCGTATCCTGTATAATGCCATTCCTAAAATATTGTTGCTTCGAAAAACACAAAGAACATTGCACTGAAACACTGCTTAATTTCAAGCATGTTCCCGTTGCAGCGTTACAGGGTGCCCGGCAATATGATGGATGTAACGACAGACGCAGACTTATCTGCACTGGATGTGTAAACTTTTTATCAGGACCTGATCTAAAAGTACGTCAAATTCAGTATTCTCAAAAAATTGTGTTATATATAGCAGGGGCTGTAAATTATAGCTTGACATATTTTGTATACGTTTGTCCATCCATCGATGAAGTCCGTCTCGGTTGCTAATTTATCCTAAAATATACCTACTAACATATTAATGATTAACATATTAAGATAACGGAAAACCGATCTTTCTGAAAGGTGTTTGTATATAGAAATAAGATGTGATATGATTGCCAATGAGACAACTATCCGCCAAAGTTCAAATGAAGTGGCTGTAAGTAATTATAGGCAACCGTAAGCCCTTCAACAATGAGAAAAACCAATACTGTATAGTCGGCTGTAAATGGCCCCGATTGATGATTATATGTGTTTGTTTCTTAAAGACATATTAATAAATACCTACCCTTTATCGATTGAAATGACTTTTTAATAAAAAAAGAAGGTACAATATCATAACATCAATTTTGTGAAAAGCTCGGAAATATTAGTGACCCAACAGATATTTGACACACTCTAAGCTAGTCTTCCCATTTTTTACGAACCAAAATTTCAAGGATCCCTTATTTTTTTTTAACTATCTGCATGAATGAAAGTTTGTCTTATGGGTAATTGTGTTTTTCACTGTTGTTTAGTTGCTGTCTTTTGGACGAAAATCTGAAATCTTCGTGTAATTATCAATGATATTAATGGCTATATTTCGGATATTTTTAAAACACTCGTTTCTTCGCATAGAACCAACTCTGCGTTAATCTGAGCATGGAACTAATACTTTATATCACGGACTATAAATGTGGATACAAAAAATGAAAAACTAAGCGAAATTGTTAATCCCGCAATGCATGCAAAATTGATGTTGTATTTCAGTAAATAACACGTGTTCTCGGTTGATCGTTAACACGTAGTAGTCCATCGTGCATTGTTACTCATTTAGTAGATTGGTCAAAAACCCAGGTAAAAAAAATTACGTCATACGTAAATGCAAACTCCGAAACAGTGGTGACATCATGCTACGCTTCTTTACAGTATGACCCGAACGATAACGCTGTATGGAGTTTGACGTAAATAAACAATTACATGTGCAAGGACATAGGTATGCTAATTTATGCATATCCATATAAGGTAGTGTTCCCGACATGTTTATATGTTTGAATTCAGTGTTTAAAATTGGAATTCAATCTGCGATAAATGTAGTTTTCACTTTGCTGCTACTTGTGATTAAAAACTCGTGTCATTTTATTTTATATTTATAGAGACCAGTTTTCATGGTTTTCTCTAAAAAAAATCGAAGAACACATATTATTTATGTTATTTCCTAATATAAAAAAAGGCAATGACATTTATCTAATATTAAATATTATATAAAAAATAGCAGTATGAAAGAAATTAAAAAGAGATTAAAAAGGAACATCTTCGCTAGCCAAGTTTAGATCCAGCCCCCTCCTCTCTACAGAGGATTTCTAGTTGTATCGTGCATCCTAACGAGTAAATGGCTAGCGAAGATGAATAGGAAGACTTTTAAGCTTTCGAAAAATACTTCGAATTTCAATCTAATTCAACATAAAGTAATATTACTGCCAATTTGATTATTTTCCAGATTAAAATATCATTTTTTGAACTGGCTTAATAATAAGGAAATCTCAAATCTTGAGAATAGTATCCCGTAAACTAGCATGATAACAATCTCCTCTTTTTGTAATTTAACAAACTTCAACTTGAACCTATTGCATAAATACAACCCATAAAAACCTTAGAATGTAAAACTTTACTTATTTTCATTTCTTTCCTATTGATAAAACTTACTTCTTTTTTTCTGGTGTCTTCCCTGTCATGGTGATTGAATCTTCAATTGCATATTTTTCTACAATAAGCTCACATTTTCCGGCCTGCAGTACCAGTATCAGTTTATCACCTTCGTAATAGATTTTATATGACGGACAAACAACTTTTTCCTGGACAGTATTTACAGGTGTGTTTCCTCTGTCGTTTTTTTTTACAGGGCTGCGTAAACTTGGTCTTTGAAGTGCGTAGGGATTAAATGGAAAAATAACAGCATCAACCCATTTACTCGTTAGGATGCACGATACAACTGGAAAGTCAAATGAAAATATAAATAAAAATACTATTCTAAGCTTTTTTACTAATTCTATTTTAATACCGGATTAAGAAATATAAGAGAAGTCAGAATTCAGCCAGAATTACTTCGCATAAACATATAACCACTGCAGTTTTCCTAAATCATATTTGAAAATAAATTCTAATTTATTGTTTAAGAAAACATCTCCTTTTGATTTTCGTAATAACAAATTTCAAAAAACTCATTAAAGATTCCAATTTTTAACTTGATAATACTAACCAGATACAAGGAATATTGAAAGGTCCATTTTCTTTCCGTTAATATCGTATTATGATATCATTATTGGCAATACAGGACTATATACCACAGGTGCAGAAATATGTCAACAACAATCACTCAAATAACGGTAAACGTCAGGTAATTATCATTTGTTGGACTACAAAAAATGCTTGATTAGCCCATAATGATCTATGATCTAACAGTACAAATAAACAAACATACACGCGATATATCGGTTTATTGCAATAATAGTGTGCACTTTTCGGGATATGATGTTAAATCTATATACACATGGTGGATTGTTATGTCTATTTTAGTGATCAATCATATATGAAAAAGTATGGACTTCCAAACGCCAACCTAGTATCACACAATAGTTGGTCAGAAAATTTGACCTATAGATCTCAGGCTCAATTATGTATTTATTTTTACGTATTTCACTACGTAAATTCTAGAATTGAGTCTAAAATTCTGGCTATGGGTAAGTTTGACCTTCAACATTCACGTGCTTTAAAGCTTTCAAACGTACCTGATACGCTGCACCTTAATCAGTGCCAGGGGCTGTCTTGAACTTTACGTGTTTGCGAACTTTCGCTCCGCGTTGAATGCATCGTTGTGAATTTGACGAAGAACAGCAATGATAGCGGTTGCACTGTTCAATGCGGATTTGGATAAAAATACATTTGCCATTTTGGTTTCACAGTAAAACTATAGCGATGTAATTATTGATCAAAGTATAGATACATGTGGTGAATTATGCATCTGTTCTACAGAATTTATCATAATGATATGAATCATACGCTTAAAAAAATCCGCCTTTTAAGGAATATCATCGCTACCATCTGCATGTCGTGTGATGCTGTGTTTTTTTGCTTTTCCAGGCTTTAAAATGGTAATATGCAGGTCTTTGGTGATTTTTTGTCTTCTTTAAATCTCAATTAACACCCGTAGGCGTAAGCTCTTTTACTCTAGGGTCAACGGTTTTAATCATTAGTTTTTATGTTTGAATGACGTTTTAATAGACAAGCCACCATCGACATTTGCAGTATTTAAAAGCACCAAATCGGGCAAATCAATCTCACATTAACAATTTGTACAGCTATGGTATTAGTATGAAGATTAAAAAAAACATAAAACTAATATTAAGTTACTGAAATCAGACAAATTGTCTCTGCTGAAATCTAACGACAGATCTTGTTATTGACTCATTTTTTCAAGCACCTTTATGTTAGTAGTCAGTAAACTTTAAGGTCAAATGACCATCAATAGATCAACTATAAGAATATATATATATATTCGGGTAGTGAATATATGTTCTAAATAAGTTATTCAATAAAAAGGCATATTCTCTGAAAATAAGTAATCGAAACGAAGCATCTAGTATTAATTTTCGTAGTAAATGCTTTGTCATTGACTAACCTTTATAGAATATTTCGTCAAACCAATCACATAGAACTGAGACTACTACAATCCACGTGTTTTAATTTGGGAAACGCATAAGGCACTTTTTGATCCTCACACAATACCTTGATTACAATACAATGTAATCCTACCCTTGTGGTCACCCATGCATATTTACTTGATACACAGAAAAAGTATGTATTATAAAATTTAAATGGAAAATTCAAGCAATTTGATTGGACAAGGAGTTTTGACTATGTGCTAAGTAATATAATCTTAAGTAGAAAAGTCGGAAGGTGTATACTTCCAGATATACAAAGATTTAAATATATGAAAAAACATATCATAGCTTATAGTTTAACAAGCTATAAAACCAGGTTTCACCAAAATTTTCTTTGCAAATTTAAAATGCCTGTACCAAGTGAGGAATATGACAGTTGTGTTACATTTGTTCCGTTGGTTGATGTAGTCTAACGTTGCCTTTGTCAGGTTTTATAGACTTGCCTCTTTTTGAATTTGGCTTGGAGTTCGGTATTTTTGTTTATACTTTTTTTTTTACATCAGTGTTAAATCAACTATGAAATCTAGTGTCTTTTTTGTCAGAAAAAAGATATCTTTACTCTTTGACACTTTGACGTCAATTAACAAACAGAAATCACTTAATAGGACAAATGAAATGAATTAAAAAAAAAAACAATATAATTTTGAATGCTTTTTTGGTAGTTAAAATATGAAATAGTTGTTATCTAATCACCTATGTATCGTAGATGAGTTCAGTCTGTGGAACAAGTTAAAGGATGAGCAGTTTACATAAAGCTTTTCTTTGAATCTTTGTTTCAGGAGGTTTGCTACATTCGATAGCAGATAGGAAATGAAAACCTACAATTGAGAAATCGGTACCGATATATCCTTTTCAAACTACATATCTTTATTTATCAATTCAAGGTTAAGAAAGATCTACGAGATCTGTTAATCAAATTTGTTTCATTCTTGAACTGTTGTTTATGACATATTATAAATCCCTGGTTATGCTGATTGAAACCCAACTATTTTACTTTATTCCAAACAACGGGGTAGACTTGCCAATTTTAATCAAAATGATTTTGAAAAGGAATTCAAGACGATTAGACGACAAACGCGACGTTTTGATCCATCAATCTACGATATCAGTATATATCTTAAATGAACCAGCTCTTCGTTAAGGTTGTCCACTAGAACACATACTGAATCATTTGTAGGCTAAACGTAACGTTATTAGAGATTAAAATGAGAGATTGATAAAAGTTACGAGAACATATATAATGCTTCATTTGTACTAAGTAAATACATTAGTGATGAAAATAGATATAATATTATTTGTTGAATTTAACAAAATTTGACGTTAATATTACATCTGCTTTGAAAAAAGACAAATAAGATAATTAACATGTTTTTTTTTAACAATTTGTTTTGGTATACAGAATATTCTATATATAACAAGAGTCTGTCGTTAGTTAGTATTTCCCAGTATCAGAAATAGTCACTTCAAAGTAAACCTGTCAGTATCATCACCTGTTCATTGTCATTTATCTTTGTTATTTTTACTTCTCTCACCATGTTATAAAAATGATACATTGCCTTGGACAAGTAAGTTTTCTTTGAACTTCACGACGTTATCGAAAGGATAACAACCTGTAGTAGACCATTTACATGCCTGTTACTGATAAAAAAAAACACTTATCTCAAAATTATACCTGTATTGAATACCAGTATTTTAGTTGATATCAATAATAATGCTAGAACCGTTTCAAATCGTATGACTTGAAATGAAATGATAAACTAAATTTGGTAACTTGATTCCCGTTAAAAATTTCAAAACCACGGATGATTTAATGCGCTTCGGAACGATATGTTGACCCTTCTCCTTTATGTCTATCCTTTTTTATAATAAAGGAAAAGGAATTATAACGGTAAGAAATAGATTTGTGGACATCGGAGGAATACACTCAAAACAGGTTAACAATCTTATGAAGACAACTGAAAACTAGATGTGTCGGAACGACACGAATGGCCCCGCTCGCAAAAAAAGTTTGAAGCCATTTTTAGGAGTGGAAGTTTTCAAAGCATAAAATCCGCAATTTTAGCAAAATTCATTGGAGCGGAATCAAATGTAAACTCGATTTGTAACTCATCATTGTGGACTCAAATACCAAAAAAAAACCAGCTCAATATGTGAAGGTGTTAAGAAGAAAAGTCCGTATAACTGTTCGTTGCGAAGTGATGGAACAACGGAATGACAGATAATGATAAAACTTTATGGCCATAAAAATCAGATGACCCCTTTCCTGTGAAGTTTAGATCTCAACAGACATGTACTAGCAATTTCAGATACCATAGAAAAAATAGACAGTTTAAAAACAAATATGAGCATTTAACAAATGTTATCATTAGATTTGTAATACTTTATCCTTTTTTGTTGGATATCATACTTTTTTGAAACTTTTTATGATAAAACCGCAGTTCTATTGACTTGTAATTATAAAAAAAACTCGTATAATACTGATATCCATAGTTATTTTTTTTTTGTTATTGCTATTATCAGAAGTCCATTACTGCTATTATTAGTTAATGTAAATAACGTGTTAATAAAATAAATGAACAAGCATACCAACCTATCACAGAATATTTGATTGGATAAGACGGGTTGTCATATCGTTTCTACCGACTGAAAGGAACATTTGTCAAATATAAAATAAACATAAATCTAATTTCAAGAATGTTTCTCACCAATTCTGGAATACTAAGGACATATCAAAATTTAAAAGGGATGCTTAGAATCATAACTTTATTATCGGGTAAGTTTTATAACATTTTCTAAACTGTTTTTGAGGTCATTGTATTCCTAGAAACTTATAATACAAGATATTTATTTTTCATAAAAAAATCAAATGTTTTTAAAGCATCCAGTTTCTTTGAATACTGTTTCATATGAATAACCATGCAATGGGTTACATTTTGTTACGAGATAAGCTCCAGTCCCATGTATGTTCGTTGAATAATGCTGGGAATTTATTTATAAACCTGTTAACACCACCTGATTGTCTGGCTTTGGCTATACTTTAGGTCTTTTTTGGTTTTATCAGCCCTTCAACGGTTGTATTAGGTGTTGGATTTTGAAGTATTTTGGCGTCGAACACGACTTAAGTGACATAAATTTTGAAATGAGCATCTTTTTCAGTAAAGTTGGTTTTAGTTATTAGTTTCGATTGTTGTTTTTGAATCTTTCAATTTTCTATTCGAGCGACAGTGATGAGTCTTATGAAGACAAAATGCACACCAGGCGTACAAAATTATGAGCCTGGCATCTTTGATGAGTTTTTACAACCACTTGATTAATGCCACTACTGGAGGATGTTTCGTCCCGATCCCGAGAGGTTCACCAGGCCAGTAGTCAACTGCACTTCTGTGTTGACATGAAATATCATTGATACAACCATTTTCTGTATATTTACTGATATAAAATGTTGTATTATTCGAAACGCTAAATTTTCTTCCCTCATACATAGAAATCATTATGGCATTACTTTTCTGAATTTTAGGTTTTCCAATGCACTTCATTTTTGATTTAGCCTCCGTTAATTAGAGTTTTACTACTGGGTCCTTAGGTAGAATGGCGTTCTGAATCAAAAGCCTAGTATTCCGGATGATTTTTTTTATATATTAAGTCTAAAATTAATTTTAAAGGTTTGACTTACTTCATAATCTGTCTCTCATTTTGATATTTACGTGAAGAGCGTAACAAACACTAATTTTTGTTATTTAATTAAATGCTGTATTTGAAAGAGTAAAACCTCCCCATCGACCGTTACATTGGCAAAAAAATCCTTACTTAGGAATAACATTTATAATAACAGCTTTATTTTACATTGTAACTGATGCAGCCCTGTTTAATTTTGATTTCTCTAAATACAGTACTTAATATTTTGACGAATTCAATCAGTGTCAAACATATGCTTCCTTTTATTATCTTGGCTTGAGTAACTGAAGCAAAAAGAGAAGTTTGGCTTGCTTTTGGATTGAAAGTTTTGTTACTCCCCTAGAGGCATCACTTCACAACGTTATTATTACATTCTACATCACTTAGCGTATGAAAACTAATATTGGACATTAAACTTAATCTATGTAAATAACACATGCAATGTGGATAGGATCTACGTTGGAAGGAAACTAACTGATTTACTTTCATGGATGCAGATTTACATGAGTTATTTGATTACATGTCAGCAAATTAATATAAGTCAAAAAAGCGTTACATTTTGTCTTCAACGGCTCAATTTTTTCACAGGGCAACTATATGATTGTAGCCAATTTGTATCAAAAAACATATTTGCAATATATTTCCCTTTCTCCTTGTAAGTCAACTCGAGTAGTAAAAGAAAGAATTTGAAATCATCATAAGGCAAACTGTAATCATTAGTAGCAAGCCTCTGACACCATGATAACATTTTTTTAAATGCTCTATTCCTTAGTTTAATTACCACCCGAATACATGTTAAAATCGGGAAATTCGAAGGAAATGTTTAGAAAAGTATGTGGTAGAGTTTTATCCCACAATATCTATTCTTACATTTTGTGTTATCGCAATACCATAAACGACTGATCAAAGCTTGAAATGATATGTTTATGTGTACAAAGGTTAAACGTTGTTTGACGCTGACAACGATATAATATCATTGTTAATGGAGAGCAGTTTTTGAAAAAAGTTTGACAAAAAATTATTTTCATCTTATTTGGCATTAAGAAACCTTGTTTTCTGCCTATGGAATTAATTTGAAGGTGAATATTAAAGTTTACAAGAAGATATGTCATCGAAATCATGGTTTTTATAAAAGTTTAATGCTGACAAGTGACAAAAGCAAATTTTTAAATTTTATTTTAGATGAATATGTTTACGTTTTTTGTTACTTCAAAATATGACATATCGTGTAATAAAGGATAATTTTAAAATATAAGCAAGGTAAATAATAAAAAAAAACAATCAAAATAAAGGCAAAATTAAGAAGAGTTAAATTGTTTGTAGGCAAAGGTTTCTGAAATGCATTTTGATTCATGATAATTAATATACTTAGTATAATAAATGTTGCTCTTTTGTTTTCAGTACTTGTTGGTGTTCATCTAGCAACGACAACAACAAGGTCACCGGAATGGGAAGGAACAACTGATATTCCCGAAGAGATTGAGGTTGGCGAAGATGTCACAACAAACAATTCTTCAATACCCACTACACCACTTGCTAATGGTACGAAATGTTTGAAAAAGCTCACCATCAGTGATTCCTATTTGTATGCTCAAAATGATTATTTAATATTCATGGTTTATACATTCTAATGAACAGCTGCAAACTTTAATAGCTGGTAGGTCGTCAAATTAAAAACTAGTTAAAATTTCCATAGCCAAAATATGCTTCCTCGAATTGCACAACTGACAGAAATGCAAGAAAGAAGTAGAGGCTTGGTTCTAGTTTATATAGTATATTGCGTGTATCGACTGGAAACCATTAATTTTTACCATTTTACAAGGAACATATTTCTGGAATAGTACATAGGATTACAAACGACTTCTTGTGAGTAATTGTGTCAAAACAATACATAGCTGCGGAACCGTGGCTCTTAAGTCCTTACAATATTTTTTAACAATTTGTGGACCGCACAAGTCAGAAAACATAATAAGGACCATTAAAGTTACTGTTCCTCATCTAAACAATATAAATTTCGTATTCGTAACACACTTTAATACGCAATCATCTAAAAATAATTATCAGTTTGAGTGTTTTCAAGGGGCGTATCTTTTCAAAAGTTGTATAATTGCGCCATTTTGAGGATGCCCTGATTTGATGGTAGGTTGTTGAAAAGCTTAAAGGCTCTACTACAGGAAACATGTTTCATAATTTTGATTAAATTTTAAGGGTCATAAATCGGGAACGGTAATTGAAGCAACTGTGACAATATTACTTGAACTGCATTTCATAGTAGGCGTTCTGTCTACTAAAGACTCATCAGTGACGCTCGAACCAAAAAAGTTAAAAGTCCAAATGAAGTTAGAAGTTGAAGGTCATTGGGGACCCAAAATTCAGAAAGGTTTTGCCAAATATAGCTAAGGTCCTGAGGTAGAAAATCCTATGTATTTCTAACAATCTAAAGTTCTGAAACATGCCACAGTTCAATGTGCACAACTGTTGAACATCAATGTCAACAGTGAAAATTGAACTTTATTTTCATGTTATTGCACATAGTTTTACCACAAGTTTCTACTCGAAGGTAATCTTCGGTTATCCTGAAACCGTATGTTTCGGCTAAAGAGGATGACAGAGGATTCCTAATGATTTGATAATAACGAATGGAGAAAATCAGAAGTAAGGGAAGGGATAAGGCGAATGTGCAATGATAGGCGGTGTTGCCGTTGAATAGCGGATTTCTGCTATATATATATTTGTCTTAGAAAATATTTATAACACATGTAAATGCCAAAACCAATCCTCAGATATTATGGATCAAGCATGCATATTCTTTTTAATACAAAGCATGTTACTTATTGTGAATTTTATATTTCTTCAAAGATCCAATAGAACAGAATGATTTTTACAACCCCACTAGACGTCCGCAAAATGTTAACAGCAAGACAACAAAACCAGTTAAAGTAATTTCAATGACAACTGTTAAAAGTACAAGAAAGACTACCTCAGAACCAACGGAAGCACCAGAAGCAATGGAAACAGAGGTTGAATACGAAGGAACAAGCGGTAAATGTCTACGTTGTTAAGTCATCGTATAATTCAATGTTCTTCCGTTGTCATAACAATTGTCAATTACTGATTCCAGTTAACAGGTACTTTTAAATATTCTTAATTTGATTATCATTCATAAAATGTTCATTCATTTGGTTTTGTTTTTATAAATCTGTTTATCCTTTATTACACATCACATCAATCACGAGAAAGTAAGTTAGAATAGAAGCTCAAAGCAGCTTATCTACCTTCATTTGTTTTGGTTTTTTGCATGTGTACAAAGTAGTGACCCAATCTAAATAGCAGTAAAGCAGAAATGGTATATAGAATACTACAGCAAAATGAAATAAGAACCACATGGTTGAGCTACTACAAACCAGAGGTGCCGTAACTGTTGAACTACCAATACAACACCACATTCACAGTACAAGTGCTTCGATACTAGCATGATTTGAAATTAAATATATTTGCTTAAAATTAATTTAATTGTCTTAAAATCAAGGCAAGAGATGAAAAACTCTTTTGGTTCCCAATTGAATCGAGTTTGTTGGAAAAAGGTTGATATGTAAAAGTATAGTTTCAGCAATATTTTAATACCAATTTGAAAATTGACAAAATGCATGACATTTGCATTATGCTTGGCATGTACATTGCAATTCTGCATGCATTTAAACATATGATCAATAAAACAATGATTGAAAACTGAAATGTGTGTCGTTCGTACATGATCAGAGTTCTTAAAGTACGTTTAAAATTGGAGTCTTGATTCATTTCATTTCCACAAACATTTTGACGTACCTTAGTGTAAAGAATGACATAGTTATGTCCCTCTTTTCTTCGTAAAATTAATGAAGGTTGATTTGATATTTGCATAGTGCATGATCGTTTTAGACATGTTTCAATACCTTAAAACGCTCTTTTAATTGTATACGAAGTGGGGACATTTATTTCTTGACACAAACATGCATTTCAGAGAAAGTTTTATTGAAACAAAATATTTGTAAATGTGTCAATCTAATACTACTAATATGAAATAGGATGATGGCGATGAAGATGTGTTGACCATGTTAAGCTTCTTTTACCTCTCTTATCCAGTTTTATCATCATCAACTGCAGACTAAACCAAGTATGTTATGCATCAATGGTATCATTTAAGACTATTTTGCACTTAAATGTATAGAAATGTTAAAAGGTATATGTAGTTATATATTTGTACTTAAAGTCATGATTTGTAATTTAACAAGATTATGTAATGACATAGTTTTAATGTCATTCATGTCTTTTTTTTTCTAAATCTGCGTAATTCATTTTCTGATATTAATAGGTGGGAACGCAACAAGTAAAAGTAATCTACAACGCAAAAATACAGGCAGTTGTCCACCCTTACATGATGCCATAGTGGAACATCATGTCATATTGAGGCACGGAGAATGTGAAATGTATGAGATTTTTAAGAACATGCTTAAATAAATCTTGATTTTTTTTCTGTTTCGAAGGTCAGACATAAGTGTTCGAGCTAAATGATTAATATTAGAGATTAGACTTATCTAATGTCAAATTTATTTTGATCAGCTTTTTTTATATATAATTATCTCTGGGATGCACACTAAGTATTTTATTCTTATGATTATAAAAAAAACATGTGAGGCAACATTCAATGACGTAATAAAAAGAATGCAACATCTATTAATCAATGTGCTAACATGCAATATAATATTTCCACATAATTTTGCATCTGATATAACTACAAAAATATACAGCAATGGCTCTGTAGCCACTAACCACATTTAACCAGCATACTTTATATATACTAACATTTACTTTCAGTGTGATATCTCAAGACGATTCAATCCGCTGGTTTAATAAGCCTGGAAAAAGGTAATTTTACACTGTGATAGCAAATTAATCAAAGATTCTCACAATCTTGCATGTGAAAAGAACACTTATTTAGCTATGCACAATGGTATAAGCTCACTTACTTACAATTACTTAATTTACAATAATTTTTAAGTATGACCTTTATTTAAAAAAAAGACATTCACTGTTTTAATTGTTTCTTTCAGTCCCCCCAGTGTATTCGTACGTCACATCAACACCTGATTTCAGCTGGCTATGGTGGTATTATTCAAAGAAATGATGAAAAGATAGATTGGATGTTTTTCTCGAAAGAAAGAGAAAAAAAAACTAACATTTACACATATGTTTTATCGACATACATTTCATAAACCGTGTTATTTATACAAGGAAAACATTGTTTACTTACAGATATGTCGGTCAGTTCTAAATTTATCTAATTTTTGTTCTGTCACCCTCCATGGCACAGTTAATCTATTTTGTTAACATCTTCCTTTTTTATTCGGTTTTATAGTAGGATAAAAAGATGGCGATATATACTTAATGACCATATAAACTAGAGACTAGCGATTGCTACAATAACAATGGGTGTCTAATTTAAGCCTAAGTACTTAACCACGGTAATCGATGTTCGTTTTTCTTCTTCTTGAAGTGGTGAATATTTATGCAAGAAGATTCATCAATTCCAAGGTATTTTAAAAAACGAAAACATCACGTTATAAATTTCATGCGTCCTAAGCGCTTTTCTTTAACCTTCGGACCAGGTGAACTAAAAAGTATGATACCGATTTATATACACACGATATGGAACGAAGCATTTACTCGGTATTTGATCAGTTAACCCATTTTTATGCAACGTTGTACCAAAATTTGTTCAGCATCCTCAAGGCACGATCAAACTATGTGACGACACTTCTATTTTGGTATAACGAATATTTTTTTAAAGAATATAGGCACGTAGTGGTTAGATATAAGACTCTCGAGATTCAAATTAGTTAATTAGAAGATTTTTCGGATGGATATGCTGCTTAAATCAAGTACGCCAGACGAGCGTTTCGTCTACAAAAGACTCACCAGTAACGCTCGAATAAAAAAAAAACCAAATAAAGCACGAAGTTTAAGGGCCCAAATTCCAAAAGGTTTTGCCAAAGACAGCTGAGGTAATCTATTCCTTAGTGTTTCGAAAATTCAAAGTTTATAAACGGTTAAAGAGGCACTAGCTGTCAAATTCATGTTCACCGATTTGACTCAAATTCTCATATTTGATTTATAACAATGTAAAACATTTATCCAAATTATAAAAAGTCTAAAATAAACAATATTACGGGCATGGGCTCGATAATATGTAGCTTCGTTCCGTGTGTATTTTAATCTAGACGACATCTAATTAACTGTCGAGTTGACCCCCCGAAGACCTCCGATTGCCATATAAGCGATATAAACATAAATAAAGATATAAATAGATATAGCAGAATCGTGCATTTGGATTTTTCTATGTCTGTTTAATTTCATATTATAGATTAAAAATATATGTTAATCACCGTTTTTACCTGTATAAGAATGATTTTTGGTGGATCGAATCAGTCAATCAAATGATTTACCTTTGTTTCACTTTCAATGTTGACATTCTTTTCCTCCTTTAAATAATTGAACACGCACAATGCATGCGGTATCCATCTCTAGCCAAGGGGTTAAATTGAAGTTCACATGAATACGGATTCAATGATGTCGAATTATTCACTTGCAAGTGAATAATTCATCCTCAATGTTTCTTAGCTTATTTTGACAAAATTGAACAATACTGGCTGCTAAAAGTGATATATTATTTCACTATTTCACTTTCATTAATGATTGAACAAGAAAAATCGTATTTTAGATTTTTTATATATCTCGTAGCTAGTGCCCCTTTAATTCAAAATTATGACCATATCAATGATAATTCACATCAACACAGAACTGCTGACTACTAGGCTGGTGATATCGTCGGGGAGGAAACCATCACCAGAAGTGGCAGCGAACCAGTGGTTGTAAATAAACACATCATAGATACCAGGCTTTAACATACATTTATAGTGCTTGTTTTGACAGATTAATACGCATATGGTCATTTAGCAAGTTTCAAAACATTAACAGTAATTATTGTGGTTAGAATTTGGGACACTAAAATACATGGATAAGTTCTCCATATATAGCGACAATAATGTTTTAACCAGATCCTTTGCAGTGTATCGTCATTGAAGCATGACTATACAGTTCGGTAGAACATTGATAAGATAAGCCTATGTTTTTTTTCACTGGGTTTAATGCGAGCTTTAAGTTATATGATACCAGGCTAAATGTCATGTAATAGATTTTGTAGTTTCACTTTTCAACCATTTATATCAATTAAAAAAAAAAGGAGAGAAGGGACAATAAAAAACTATAAGTCATACACAACTGACCACACCATGCAAAAAGAAAACACAAAGTCAATGAACAACTACAAAGAAAACTATAGATTAACAACACCTAAATCACCCAAAACTTAAAAGGGGTTAACTCAGGTTGCCCGGAAGAATAATGTGTCCTTTACCAGTGACACCAGTTGCGTTAAACCTTGTTCAAGTTATTTAATGAATCAAAACCGGTAATAAGACATCAAATACAATGAGATTGGTTAATATTTGTTATCTTAAACCATCTTAATTTTAAACCTAAACACTACCCAATTAAGACCAGTTCCTACTCAACTTCAGCCACACGTGATAAGAAAAATCCGAGGCAAGACATTTTCGAAATTCGGGGATGAAACTAAAGAGGAGAGGACGGGACTGTTGCTTCGACGAAATACACTAACGATACACAAATCAGACATATCGGTACTTCATGAATACCACTGCCTGGAATCTAAATGCGAAAAATAGGTCAACGGGAACTAAATGTCAAGTCAGTCTGTAAGACATCATTAATGTATACTATTTCAAGACATGCAAGCATTACAAAAATAATCGTACCGGTACAATTATCATGAAGTCCTAAGGCAACAATTCCGAGAAAAGTTTGTCTACACAAACAAAACCCTAACTTATTTTGTTAGTCATCATTAAATAAATTAAAAAAAAAATATTTACAAAATATTTTGATAAGAACATGTCCAATGTATATGATATTTTATTAAGTCCAAGTGTCAATTTAAAGTCTGTCAACCGGATCAAAGATAGAATTTACTTTAATTCCATGTACGATCTTCCTGTGCACTCTCGAGCTCTCGGTCTTTTCAGATTAGCACAAAAGTCATGAATTTCAGTTGTATGCGTATTGTTTTATCATAGTTTCAATATATGAAATTTTATTCATAGGTTTTGAATTTCTTTTTCTAAAATCCATCACTTTGTTTTGTCTTTTGACCTCGTATGTACACGAGTTTCATCCAGAAATAGTTTTTACCTGTGAAATATGTAAGCATTACTCTTTCAATATGATCAGCCCAGTAGTCAATACTTCAGTTCTGGCATGAAAATAGAGATATTGTTTGATTGAACTTTGCTGTTATAAAATTTTGAAAATTATTTTATATTTAGGAATATCTCCCTCATGCATAGCTCTGATTCCTTCTCTGGATTTGGATATTCTTGAGGCTCCTTTATCTATTTTATCAGCTCTTCAACGTTTGTATTAGGTGTTTGATTTACAAAATGTTTGACTCGAGTGTCACTAAAGAGACATTAATTGTCGAAATGAACACCGGGTACAGTACAATTGGTACCGTTATTGTATAGTAGATTGTTCCAAATAGTCAGGTTGATAGCTTTCGGGCCCTTTTTAAAGGTAGCATCCATCAATATATACGTCCAGAGGATACACTTTCAGACTATGAAACGGGTTTTTGGAACAAGAGGCTCGAAGGAGCCTGATCGGTACATATTGGAATATTATAGAAGACTAAATCGATTTAGTATAACGTTCTCAATATTAGCTGGCTGACAGTATTCAATTGATATATTGATACAGGCATAATACACAATTTCAACATTTTATGTCAATAATATGTAAAAACTCATCAAAGATTAATTGTTGGAACAGCAGCAGTATTAGTTCATTTTGTCAATATTCTATTGATACTGATAGCAACAATGACCATGACAGGTGTTAAGTAGGATCAACTGAAGAGTTTTTAAACACTCTGCAAAGATGCAAATGCTAAAAAAAAAACTTGCCTTGTTGTTCGAAAACAGTGTTCTAGCAGTATTGGTTCATTTTCTCAATGTCCTATTGATACTGATATAGCAACAATTACCATGACAGGTGTTAAGTAGGATCAACTGATGAGTTTTTAAACTCTCTGCAAAGATGCAAATTCTAAAAAAACTTTCCTTGTTGTTCGAAAACAGTGTTCTATGTATCAATATGTTATCAGAAGAAAAAAAAATTGTAAGAAATCCACCTTCAGAAAGCTATCTAAAACTTTCTTCAGTAATTGTTTTTTTTCAGCAAATTCTATCTATGAAATCAGATTTTGGTTAGCCAGTGGAATTCATCCTACATTTGAAATAGAGCATGATAGAACTGTCAATTTGTAAGTATGTTGCAAAAGGATGGAAAAGATAAACTATCCCCATATGGTAAATTTATATTAACAGCGACATACGATTTAATTGGTCTGCATGACTTCTGAAACTTAGAAGCCAAAAAGATGATTTAATACCAAGGTTGAATTCAATGGGCTTCTTGATTTTAGCGAATGATTTAAAAAAAAACCAACCAACTGACAACAGAGTACAATAGCCCTCACTTACCCTTTGGGTCAGGTTCACATAAACGAGTCACCTCCGAATAATACAGACAAATATATGAGTTTCCAACTTATATTTTCCTCATCGATTTTGCATGAAACCATGTGTGCGCTAGTCCACAACAAGTCACATCATTCTAATGAAGTTTTACATGTCTGCCAAAATATAGCCAGTTTTACGAATAATACTTTTCCCAAGAAAAATTTTTTTAATCTTATTTGACATCTTTTACTCTTTAAAAAAAAAGATTCAAAATTTTTTTTGGGGAATGATTTGGTCTTAAAATTAGGATTATTAAAGCAGAAACCGCTTAAAAGACATGTGATTATCATAGGCTAAACTCTTGCCGATTCTTGACTTATCATGCACACTATTTCTAGCTTACATTTCAAAGGATTTTATGACCAATATAACAATGAATCATAGCCAAAAGAATGAGTTGTTATTGATTATGCCTCTGTGTTGGGAATGTAGAAATCAGCGTTTTCATGACGTCACATGACAATTTCTACATGGCTTTAAACAGGGACATCTAGACACAAAATGAAAAATTTGCATTATCCTGTAACTTTGTATTCCGATATTGATGTTCTTTCTTTTACTAAATAGTTCGAAGTTATATTAAAATATCTCACAAATAAGCTAGGCCTTCTATTACACACACAAAAATACGTCACTGTTTGTGATGTCCTGTGCTGTCGTTAATGGAAGTTC